AATTTATCGCAAAATCGTTCGATTGCTTGTTCTTTGCTTACAAAATAATTGATTGTCAAATTACATTTGCATTGTGATCTTTAGATTATTTCAAGATCAAAATCTGAATCAATCTGAATCTGATTCAAGCGATTGTAACTTTAAAGACTTTTGACAATTTTCAATTTGCAATGATTTTATGATAAAATGCATTTGTAAAGTTGAATTATCTCGGTTTATTAAGATGCAATTCTTGTAAAGTTTCAATTGAAAAGTTTGTTTTATTCCAGTCTAAGTGATTGACCATTTCTTGGTTGTGCTTTTTGCTATGGTCAAGCAATCAATTTTCAGAAAACTTTTTTTTCTCGTAAAATTTATGCTTTAACCTGGTTCTCTGTTTTTTTGTTGCGCTTATAAATCAAACTAAATCATCATTATAGTTATTTATCTTTTGAAAATTATAAGTTTTTGTTAACTAATTGAAAAATGTTGAGCGAAAATTTTTGAAAATTTAAAACTAAAAGTGTTGCCGAAAAGTGTTGTTGTTTTCGCTGTTTGGCTTCTCTCTGTTTTGACCCCAAACCGATGAACGAGATACAAGTCGAAAATAGATTTGCCTTGTTTCATTTCCTCTTTCTTTCCGTCTCTTCTTTCCATCTTCATCTTCATCTTTTCGTTGATGTCTCGGTTAAATGCTGAGACTTCACAGTTGATCATCTTGATCTTCACTGTTAATCCCATTGCCTTTTCAAACTCGCCTTTTCCATTTCCATGTTTATACAGTTTTTCCGTGTGTTTATACATACAGCTCATTTGGTCTTCATTTCATTTGTATAATGGCGGAAAAAAAGACGGAAAATTTAGCCCAACAAAAAAAACAGGAATGAAGATTGAGATGAGAACGAAACTGTTGAAGATAATACAACGTCTAATGTGAGTTTTTTGACGGAAAAAGCCATTTTTCAAGAAACAGCAAACTCCCACTGAAACCAAAAAATGTCCAAAATCTAAATGTACAGTGAAAAGATGAGACTTTTGTTAGCTAAAGTGTGATGATAACTTGATAATGGTTTACCCTATTTAACTAACTTTTCATCAACCAACGAAATTGTTGAGATCATTACAATTCACCCAACATTTTGATCATAGAGTTCATTGGTTGGACAATTAACTGAATATTATCCTGAAAAGCGTAACAATAGAGCAACACAAAATTGTTGTATCATGATAAAAATGACTTGAATATTTCACGTTCAATCAACAAAATGTTTACCAATAAACAGCAAAAAAGTATAGGAATTACATTTTATAGCTGAAACAACTCATGAAGTTAACAAGGAAAAAAGCAAGTGAATGAAGTAAAACTTAACATGATTTCATGAAATGAATCTTCGTAAATGAACTTGAAGGTCCACTAAATGTCGGGTGTGGACCAGATGACATGAGTTGAACAATTTTGAAATGTTTGTAGTAATTGGAAACTGTTGTCTGTTATTCAGATATATTGTCATGGGTAGTCTCAATGGGCGATGCATATGGTGATATGGGCAAGAAAAAGGTTAAACCAACCAAAATGATCACTTAACTGTCATTGTTAATGAAGACATTCCTCTTCATCTTTCTGTCTCTCTTTCAAAAGATGAAAGATGAAAGAGAAGAAGAAAGAAAGAAATAAGAAGAGGAACACAAAAAAGAAAGCAAAGAAGATAATAAGTTTTAACCTGAAGTTTTAGTTTGCACCATTAGAGGCTATCAAAGGTAAGCCCCTTGGTGTGAAGTGAAGCTTGTCTGTTGATCGCACAAATCTATGATTGCTTTAGCTGGTAATCAGCAAAAAGTCAAAACCAGTAACAACAAAAACGCAGAATTACCTGGTCTATTTTTCGGTTCCATTGTTGGTAAGAATGAAAAATGCGAAAAGAAAAGTAAAGAATGAACAAAAAATCTCGGAATTAACGTTTACCTTTGTGCTGATAATCCTAGTTAAATAAGACATTTTGTTGACAATGTATTTTGTCCAGTGAAAGCAACATTTACCTGTATTTTATGGATACAAGTTTGTTAGTTTTTTTGTCTAAATTGTTAGGTTAAAATAATAAACCAATTTTTATGCGATTCATTAATTTTCAATCTCAAAATCGTTTATCGCCTTTCAACATTTCCATGACAAATGTTTTCCTTTTTACTGTTAAATCTTTTAATCTCAAATCTTTTCAGTTTCTGGTTGGTTTTTCATGTTAAAATGCAAAATCACCAAAAATTAGATGAAAGTTGATTCTGTACCAATCAATCAAGTAAACTTTCCCTTTGAATTGCAAGTAAAAACACGATTTTCAAACAATAATTTTACATTTTCCTATGAAAAAAGTTCACTGATTACGAACAATTCATTTGATAATAAAAAAAATGATTTGCATCAAATTGATTTCATGCATCTCTATATTTATCTCAATAATTTTGTACCTTTTTCTGGAAAATTTTCATCATAAGCTCATTTGAACAATTTTCATACAAAACTGTCTCTTAATCTTTAAAAGGTTTTGTCTTCTTTGTGTTGTTAAATCCTTTAATCTTAAATCTTGTCTGTTCTGTGGTCGACTTTGCTTTTACCAGCAAAAATACAAAAAGCCCGATAATTAGAGGTAATTTTTACTCCGTTTAACACTAAACTTTCACTTAAGTTTTTCAGCAAACACTTTTCACTTTACAAAATGTTTCAGAAAAAATATTCAATGTAATAAAATTGAGGTCAATTTTTTCGTTGATCCAATTGTTGAATGAAAATATATTCAATGACCAATTGAACCAAAAGTGTGGTTCAAAATTGGCGGATTGTTGACTTACATGTTAATTGAGATGTTACCCAATGAAAAAATATCTCAATGATTTATTGAATGATAGGCTGTGATAGGTTTTGATAAACAAAAGCAAAAGGGCAACACATTATAATATAGATTGTAAGGTAAGAAAAAAAACGAGAAATGTTTGCAAAAATGTTGATGAAGATGATGATGAAAAGGAGGGTGAGAAGGGAGGAGAAATGGTAGAGAACTAGAAAATAAAAAGAAAAGAGAAAAGCACACCTCAGTTTGTGATGATAATTTTTCTTCAGGAACCGTCAAGAGAAGAGAAGAGAGAGAGAGAGAAATGATGATTTCTTGAACTGGACTCACTTTTAAGTTGAAAAAGCATCAAACGCTTTAGGCCTCTGCAAAAATCGTGCTTGATCATTTTTACAACCCAAGATTAGGTTGATGGCTTCATTATCTTCATTCTTTCTCTCACTTTTCCTCTTTCTCCCTTCTTCTTTCTCGCCTCTCTTCTCATCTTCATCTTGAGGATGTTTACCATCACCACGACGCTCCCATGAGATATAATTGATACAAGTCAAAAATAGACTTGCCTTCTTTCATGGCCACTTTCTGTCTCTTTTGCCTTCTCCATCATCTTTATCATCATCATCATTCTCTTCTTCTTCTTCTTCTTCTTTTCATCCTTATCTTCATCTTTTGCTTTACATCTTTGGTCTGAGACCTCCTTGTTTCTATACAATTGATCCTCTAGTTTTTACAATGAAAATGTTTCAAGAAAAAAAACGACTGAAAAAAAGCAAAACAAAGTAAGGCAAGTAAAGGTGACCCTTAATCAATTTTACAAAAATAATTACAATTTGAAATGATTAGTTAATGTCTATGACTGATGTGAGGTTAATAATATTAATAACACAGCAGCACTTGATAAATTATTTAAGGCAAGAAAAAAGGTTACATCTTTATGGTGATATTCATATGTTGCCATTCAATTGGTGGGTTAAAAATGACCTGACGCTCAGTTGAAAACTCAGTTGTCGTCAAATAACTCGTCTTCTCAATTGCTCTAGGGTGACATTTGACAGCTAATCAACAATTCGTGACCAAAAAACCTTTATTTTTCATATAGAGTTAACTTTTCTTTGCCTTGTTTCTCTTGCTTTCAACTGCAATTTTTACTCGCAAGAAACTGGTTCCACTATTTTTTTTTGCCTTGCAACTCTCAACATCTTCATTTACTTCTTGGCCATCTTCGCCATCCTCTCATCCTCTTCATCTTTTGCTTCTTCATTTTCATTCGCATTCTACATCCTCTTCTTTCTCCTCCATTTTTCAACTTCAATTGTAGTTAATACCACAAACCTGTTGTCTATGTTGAAACTAGCTGAAAAGATTGAAATAAATCAGCAAAACATCATAATAATAACACACACACAAGCAAAAAAAAAACAAAGTGAAAGTTGCTTTTGAAAATTGTTGAAATTGAAAATTCATTGCTTGCCTCTTGACTTTTGTGTTAATAATGATGATGTTGTTGTTGATGATGATTATGATGATGATGATCCTCAATTAAATAAAGTTATATAGTAAAACCAGTTTTGCAAAGCAAAAAAACTTAAGATAATCCCTTGTTATCAATAATTTGCAAAGTAAACAGCTTAGGCCTGAGCCCAAAACTGGTGGTACTCGAAAATCCTGACGGATTAAGTGATCAAACAAAGTTTTAAGTCCATGTCTTGATTAACCGCTATGAAGTCAATTAGTCAATGTCGGTAAACAAGTTAATCTTGACTTGTTAATGGTCACCTTGGGCTATCAACAGGCAACTATTTTGATTACAGTTTTTCCACTTTTCCACATCTTTTTTTTCCATTCTAATTCAATTGCTTTACATCCAAAACTAATTTAAAGCTCACCTTTTCACCATTCATTGTTTTTTTTCATTCTCCTCTCTCAAAATATAAATAAATTAACCATCCAGGTAATAATAACAATAACAATAGTAATAATCATAAAAGTCTAGATAGTCATTAATTTCATGTAATGTGATTAACTTTAACCTCAAATGTAGTCGATGAATTTTTATGCAGCAAAAACACTGAGAGAGAGAAAAAGATTCACAAAAAATACATTAAATTTAAATGGTCTGTTAAATTAATAATTGTTTTAACTCTTTTCTTTGTTTTCTTCTTCTTTGAAAATGTTCTCTAGGCTCGCTAAGTCCATCATTAGGCCATCCTCCGTCTGAAGCTGGTCTGGCCTCACATCTTCATCCTTTTATCAGGTCACCAATTTTACTGCCCTCCGGTCCAACAGGTCCTGGTTCATTGGGATCCAATTCCATATTGACTTGCCAAAATTCAGCATTCACACCTCATATTGGTCTCAACCATTATCATTATTCATCTCTTAATCTAAGCAACAATTTAACTAATTTTTCAGCTGCCAATTCCAACAACACTAGTGCCATTAATGCCAACAATAATAATAATAACAATAACAATTCATCATCGGTTATCGGTTTATCTGTTAAAAAAGGATCTTCAATTGTCACTGGTGTTGACTCGTCCCCATCATCGGGTAGTAATGGCCATGAGACTGCAAGTAATGTTGTCTCATCAACTGTTCTTGACAAAGAGGTTGACCGTGATTCAACCAATCTCAAGATTAAAACGAAAAGGGTTGAAATTGAAGAAAGTAAAATGGAGGATCGAGCCGATGGTGAACCTGGTAACAACATTGAAACCAATTGCCATTGGGGTGATTGTACTCTTGAATTTGGTAATCAAGAAGATTTGGTTAAACATGTTAATATTGATCATATCCAGCAGACAAGTCATAAACGATGTTTTGTTTGCCGTTGGAAGGATTGTTCAAGGGAAGGTAAACAGTTTAAGGCTGCTTACATGTTGGTTGTTCATGCTCGTAAACACACCGGAGAGAAGCCCAATAAATGTACCTTTGAAGGTTGTTCCAAGGCTTATTCACGGTTGGAAAATTTGAAAACTCATTTAAGATCCCACACAGGGGAGAAACCATATTCCTGTGAGTTTCCAAATTGTACCAAAGCCTTTTCAAACGCTTCAGATCGGGCTAAACATCAGAATCGAACCCATTCCAATGAGAAACCCTACGAGTGTAAAGTTCCGGGTTGCATGAAGAAATACACTGATCCAAGTTCACTGAGGAAACATGTTAAAACTGTTCACGGTCCTGAAGTTTACGCCAACAAGAAACATAAAGGGATAATTAATGATGACAACAATGACAGGAAAGGTGGCAATGGGGGTAGCACAGGTGGTGGCGGTGGAGGCGGCGGGGGAGGAGGCGGTGGAAGCTCAAACTCTAATAGTCATCAAAGAAGTAACGGTGATGGTAATAGCAGAAGCAATGGAGGAAATAGTAATAATAGCAACAATAACAATAATGGCAATGGTAGTAGTCATCGTAATAATAACGGGAATAGCAGTTGTGCAAGTGACATTAGGACTGCTAGTGGGAGTGTTAATTGCCTTATTAATGATCGTAAAGGTAATGGTAATTGTGTAAATGGGCATGGAGGAGGCGGAGGTGACAAAGTGTTAAGTCAAACAATTAAGTGTGAAAAAAGTGAAACCATATCAAGTCCTCCTTCAATTAATGTACACAACCATTATCACCATAATAGTAATACTAACAGCTTGGATGGTGTTGATGTCAATTTAAATTGTGTCGGTGATACTCTTCACAGTAACAGTGCCAATGGAGCTTGTATTGAACCTCCGATAAGTGACAATAGTGTTTCCACAACCTGTATTGGTAGTGATTGGTGTACACCAAATTCAGTTGGTGGCAACAGTGTTAATGACGGCTTGGGAATTGATTTGGATACATCTTCAACAGATCTTCATATACCATCAAATGGTATTAGATTGAATCCCGGTCCTGGTAAAAGAGGTGGCAATATGAATGGCGGCGGCAGTGTTGCCACATCTATTTATAGTCCATCCAATTACTCTTCAGTTGTATCACCAATCGTTACTCTAGCCTCACCCATGGCCAACATTTCATTGAAAGAACCAATGAAACCTCGATCTTCCTTTGCCAATAAACTGAAAAATGGATTTCGCTCAGCAACCAATTGGATACCAAACGTATTGATCTCTAAAGGTCATCATCGTGATAACAACACCAATGGTTATCCCCTTGATCATGAGCTAATTAGCACCGAGAAAAACAAAAAGTCGGACAAAAAATCACTCGACAAATCAAATCTAGTTCGCCATGGAAGCACTGAAAGCAGTATAAATTCATTTTATTCATCGGTCCTTGGATCGGATGCCAGTCAAATAACAACAGAAAGCAGCTCAAATGGTTTGGTAAACTGCAACAATTTAAACAATACCTTGGATGGTCCATGTAATGGTGCCAATCTCGTCAGATGCACTTCTTATGATCCAATCTCACTTGGTGGAAGCAGCAGACGATCTAGTGATGCATCAAACTCAAGTCTTTTAGGCTCAGGTCTTGGTACAGGATTACCTGGTGCACCAACCAATGTCACTAATGCATGTAATAATAATAATGGTATAACTTCAGCAACTGTTAGCCATTCAAGGATTAATGGACAGTTGAATGGTATAAATCGCCGTGCACCATCTATGGGACACCATTTATCGCAAACTGATAACCTTATAATTGCTCCACAAAGTTTAGCTCTTTCAACAACTATGGCTGTCAGTCCTGAACCTTTTATACCTTCAGCTTCCCTTACAACTTTAAACAGCTCCGTTTCCATTGCCTCAGGGGTTAACTGTGTCTCAGGTGGTTTTAGTGACACAGCATCAACTAGGACAACGGTTACAGCAGCAGGTTCAACTACAGGATCAACGACAACTGTTGTCACTGAGATTCATTATCCAAATGAACCTGTTAACAATAGTGATAATAAAATTCATTATAACCATAATCACAGCCATCCAGCCCATCATAATCACCCTAATCATAACCATCAAAATCATCATCATCACCGAGAGTCATGTGTAACAGATCAACAGCCCATCGAAGGCAATCAAGACATTATTTTACCCGATGAAATGATCCAATGGTTGACTGAACAAGGACAAATTAACCACAATTCAAATATGGTTGTAAACGATCTTAATTCAACGCTGAATACACTTGCCGAAGAAACACGATTCCTCAGGATGTCCATCCATTAGAACAAACCTCTATTTTCGCATCTCATTATGTATTATTTACTGTAAATAGTTGTTCTTTTTGCTATTGTACGTCTCTTCATCCGCTTTTCCTCTCTTCCCTTCTTTCTCTTCCTCTTCCTCTTCCTATTCATCTTCCTCATCTTTCCATCCACGTACAACGTATTCATTGATTCCGCATCACATCTTCGAACATTTTTTTATAACAAAAAAATCTCAAATTACACTTATATTAAGCTCAAAATGCCTTAGCATGTAACTAAGTTTAAACATATTTTAATTGTGCCTTACTCTTTTAATTATATTTAATTAATGCGCTTAATGTGCAATAAAAAAGAAAAGACCACACATTGATTACAAATTTTTCAATTTCAAATTCCAATCGCAGTTTCATTTTCAAATCAAAGTCCATTTTTGACTAAGGGTTTGATTTGACGGTAAACAATTTTTCGCGTCTTTGTAACTGATATAATTTAATTGTTTGCCTGAGTTTGGGTTTGATTGCTCGGTAATTTGGGTTACAGGCTTTGGCTACTTTCGTCTCAGTGCTTCTACCAACTGAACGAATCAATAAAGCACTGATTCTGTTTGAATTGTGGTAAACATCAAAACCAAACCAAAATCCAAGAATACTAAATATCATAATTATACACTCAGAAGCAGTCATTGCAGGTGTAACGAAGAAATGTAAATCTGGTTCATCAGGAGCATGAATTGCGATTACAATCATTTTTGTAAACGCTGGTAGCTCACTTGCCTCTAAACCCATCTTTTGTAATGTCAACAACTCTGATTCACAATTAGGGTTAGGATATCGACGTCTACAATCGTCTTTGATTAGTCCCAATTGATCCCAATTATTGTCAGACATGTCAGGAATCAATCCAAAATGATATCCTTTAAAGTCTTCCAGATCGATCCATCGTCTAGGAAAAGATGAATTAAGCAGCAAGATTGAAGCATTGTTGAGACAATAAGACATCAATAGATCATGATCGTGTTTCCGACAGTTTGTTGGGTAAGGACTGGGTAAGCTGAACATTCGCTGAATCGAAAATTTAAACTGAACAATCAATGGATCATCAACATCGTAACTAAATGACTGTCCAAAGTCAAATTCAGTTTCTCTTCTAGGGTAATCCATTGATTGTAGGTAAATAGTGATTGCCTTTGTTCTAGACGCTAATACGGAATTGTTTAAGTTGAACGAAATCAAAGATTCATAAAGAGGGATAAAACTAGGGACAAATCGTCGCACATTTATCTTATTCGCTGGCTCTTCGCTACAAGTAATTTTATAGCAGACATTTGGATAGCTGATTAAATCCTTAGTCTTGCAAACTCCATTTGCGAGCACATCAGGAAATCCATGGATATAAACATTAACTATTAGCTGATTTGATTTGATGAGAAATGGATAAATTGATGTGATGTCAAAGTTTTGCCTGATGATAAAGTCGAGCGAGGGAATTTTAAATTTACGCAAAACACACTTGTCAACGGATGAACTATTGAGACAACTGTTGTTGAAAAGTGAAGCTCTTTCAGTTACCAATTTACCATAATCAAGAACAGTGTGGATTGGAGTACAAATTATAACCTCTGGAACTGTTATATTTTCACTGTTTAAACTAATCACTTGGTAATTAACATTTTTTGAAAAATAATTACGAGTAAGGAAAAAGATTTGAACAAAGCAACCAAAAATGCAAAGACAAGTAACCCAATAGCTGATTAGAAAGTGTTTGATTCCATCTAAAACAAGTCTGCTCGTTAACCGTTTGGGTTTATTGTTGCTTTTACTCAACTCACTGTTGGCTTGGTTGTTACCACAATTATCTGGTAACCAAATCATGATTCAGAGATAGTTATCCACAAACATGTGAAATGTATTCAAAAGCAAATTGTAACACTGTTAAGAGACAATTTAAGATTACACTAGTTTCACGTTGGCTTGGTTGTTACCACAATTATCTGGTAACCAAATCATGATTCAAGATAGTTATCCACAAACATGTGAAATGTATTCAAAGCAAATTGTAACACTGTTAAGAGACAATTTAAGATTATATGGAAAGTTTCAAAAAGCTTTGTCTTTTTTTTCGGTTACATTTAATACAATGAGCATTAGTTGGCAACAACCTATGACTGTATGTGTGAAAGTCTCAGTCTCACAGTCTCGGTTAGACTAATACTGTAATTTGTTAAGGATAATTTTTTGAAAAACTTGTCATCATCATTAAACTTCAACTTTGACTGGCAATTTATTTAGTCTTTCACTGTCTCTACTTGTGTCTACTTTCTTTATCTAATCTTTACCATCAGAATCATTAATTTTGTTCATATTGATCAAGGATTAATATGTAAGTTTTGTCTCAAGCTGGTTCCATTTTTTTTTCTGGTTACCTTGTTGTTTTGTTGCAAGTTTCAACCTGAAAACACGATTAATGGTTTACATTTTGTTTGATGCTTTCGACTCAGAATAGGCAACAAATTAAATGACATTGATCCAAGGTTATCTTATGATTAAGGTTATAACTTGCAGGTTAATTAGTTGATAGGTTGGTCAGATAATGAATTATGTTTGAAACGCTAAAGCAGGCAATCAAAAAATCTTTGTTGATAATGGTTAAAAGTCTAGTTTGATTAACTATTAACTAATAGCAGTTAAATGTTGAAGAAGCTATCTTAATGCTTATAACTCATCCAGCATTCCATGAGCGTAACAATAGAGCAACAAATATTGTTGTATCATGATAAAAATGACTTGAATATTTCACGTTTCAATCAACAAAATGTTTACTTACTTTGAACCAAATTTTGTATCCAAAAAAAGCTCAACAGGATTAAAGTCAATTGTCTGGTTGCTGTGATTAACATGAATCTAATTATCTTTAGCTGTAAATTTACATCTTTAATACATGTCAATGTATTTGATTAAGATTAAGTAAATATCTCATCTTGATCGACTGTCAACTTGATGTTTGGATTTAACTCTCTGGCTTATTGTGGTTTAATTTTTATTGCCATTTCGATTGTATATATCAAAATATGTTTACATTTGATTGGATAAAAAATATTACAAACTAATTATTCAAAGTTGATCAGGATAGTATAAATTGTTGGGTTTCAGAGTAATTCCAATTAGATTTGGTTGCTCGTAACCAAATCATCAATAAAACTGGGAAAACAAGGAGAGTCGAGAAGAACCAGAAAATGAAACCAGGATTTATAGAGAAAGTATAATTAAGAATGATTTCGCTGAAAATTGAAAACAAAATGGGAAATATGTGTTCCAATGTGGATAAAATGCTGAAAATTTGTCCAATTTCATATTCTTCAATAATTTTAGATATTATTGATCTTATTGAGATAGTTACAAGACCAGAAAGACAGCCACAAAGATAAGAAGCAATGAATCCTTGAGGTTGAAGGAAGAAACCTCGAACAATGTTCATCAGGAGAAGTGAAATTGATCCAATAATACCAACAGTTGTATCCTCATAGTCTAGAGTTTTGGTAAGTATTGGTGCAGTTACCAGAGTAAAAAGAGTTGGAACCAAAATTATCAGAAGATTAATAAAGGTGATCAACATTGGATCCCATTGGTAGACACGAGCAGAGAAGTCAAAATGAATCCTGGCTCGACCAGAAGTACAACACAAAATAATTAGCAACCCAGCGATAAGAAGCCAAAGTCTTAGACGTCCATTTTCAAGTCTCGGTCGAGTAAATGTGTACCACATAACACGAAGATTGGACAATTTGAATATGTTCTGGGAAATGTAGTAATTAGAAACTGTAGTCTTGTAAGAGTATTCAGATATATTATCTGTGCCACTGGTCTCTATTGGCGTCACAAATGGTGATATTGGCAAGAAAAAGGTTAACCAGATCAAACCAATTATCAATACAAAGGCTAATAACCCAATGTAATTTTCGGGTTGAGCTGTTGTCCAAGGCCTTGATCTTAAAATCCAACCACCGACCATGGTTCCACTTATTGAACCTAAACCAAATAATAATGATAAATGTGTTAGACAAGTTGTATTGGTAAATTGTTGGATAACTTACCGGTTATAACAAAAGTGTGTAATATTGCAAATCGAAGTAAACGATCCTTAAATTGTGTTGTCCTCGATATGAAAATATATACGGCAGTCATTGGACTTATTGTACCACCAAGAAGGCCAAAGGGTATGTAAGAGAGTATTGAGGCTACACTATCTGGAAATACCGTTTGAAAAAAAACGTTTGATTAATCATTTGAAATTTGCTTAACCAGTTTTGTTTGCCCCTGAAAATAAAATCAAAAATGTTGACCCCTTCAAATAGCTGGTTGATTGAGATGGTAAACTACCAAAGCAAACTCAAGGTTAATCATCTAACCAGGAATTAGTGTAATCATGAATTTAAACGATGTTTGAGTTGATTTCTTTCTAGACTGTAAATGTTGGTCATTATTTGGCGATTAAATTACTATAGATTAGTAAACAAAAGGCCAAAATAACAAGGGCTGCATAAATGCATAATAATGTGATGATTACCATGTTAGCTATTAAAAGATTTGGTGAGAATGACAATAACATTTCAAGTTGTCTTATAGATGAGAGATGAAACATCAAAGTTGAATTAAGATGTATAATAATCACAATAATAACAATAATCAGGTAAAAATGGCTAAACCTCTATCTTAATTATCTTGTTTCCTTTAATGACGAAGTAAGAAGAAAAAAAATCTTGTCCATACAATAAAGATGAATGTTGTTGTTGCTGGTGATGATGATGTTGATGATAATGATGGTGAAAAACGTCAGGTTAGGAACCATGTAATTTAGCAGCGAAACAAGCTCAATTAACTCATATTGATGTCTTTTTAAGATCGTCAGGAAAACAAAAGTATAGATGCACAAAAAAGGTAACATGTAAATTACTGGGTTCACTCAAGTCAGGCCTAAAGGTTGAAGGAAAAGGTTAAGGAAATGAAGAGGTTCACCCAAACGTCTTCTTTTACCTCTTCGGCCTGTCATCATTTTTCACAAGAATAACCTTTAATATTTAATTAACCAGATTTGACCGCATTTCTGAAACAAGGTTAATCAAGTTGACGATTACAATGGTTAATTAACAAGCAAAAAAAGCTAAGTTAACTCGGCTTTTGTGGGAAGAAGAGAGCAAAAAATAGAAAAAGAGAAAACAAAATAACCATATTTACTACATATGCATAGTAAATGAGTTTCCAACAATTTACAGTCTACTGAGATTTTCTCAAATGATACTGTAAACTATTAGTTTATAATTACTTACCTAGTTAGTTTATTTGATTAAATAACAATAATAATAGTGATGATAATGATGACGGGAAATGTAATCACTGTAAACACTGTAACTACTGTTGAAGCTTGAATCACTGTTTGGATCAATGTTTACATATGGCCTTTAGATGATGTAATTTGAACCTTGAGTTGCTATTAACACTGGAAAAGGGTTTATTTTTGATTTCAATTGTTAATTTTGTCTACTCACTTAGTTCAAAGAAGGATGTGTTTACAAGTAAAATGACAACTTGACAAATGAATCCCAATGTTGGTATGCTGACCATATACTTGAGATACTTTGGATAGGCATCGATCCAGATTGAGAAAAGAGCGGTTGTCAGTGTTGCCGGAATTATGGATAAACTCAACTCGATTGGTTTAATGTTGTAAATCCGTTTAACCGTTTGAAGTGTTAAATTAACAGTGTCCTGTCCATCCAGTGTCATTGGGAAACAAAATTCACTGCGAGAGTGAAACTGGTTAAAGCAAATTTTATCATTCTCAATCCTTGTAACAGTAATATTTTGAACGGCTGAGGCAAAAATTAGGAAAAATATCATCACATCGATGCGAAGTTTACACCAAATTGAGGTTGTCCCCGGATTAACCGCCGATTTACGGCGTGTAATTGATACACGGCCAGAATTGTTTTGATTGCCAATGGACCAGGTTGTATATTGACTGTAACGACGTGAATCCACAGAGGCTCTTGATCTGGATCCATTTGCAATGGTATTGATATTGAATGGACCTGGTGGATTGGTTACTTTTAATGTTGGTATATTGGTCGATGAAGATTCAATTGACTTTTCAATTGTATAAGATCGCACTCTACCTTGATCGTTCATCATCTCATTAGACAATTCAAATGTGACAATTATCCATATAAAAGTCAAGAAGCAATTATAAGGCAGTAAACAAAATCCTGCAATCAATCTTTAAAGGATTAGTCTATAAATCAGGCTTAATCTTAACGTCTTTCAGCAAGGTAATTGATTATAATATGAACGTTGATTGTCAATATTTTCATATGAATTAAGCTAATAATTAAATGTCGTCAGTTTAGCCTCACGCTGAGAAAGACAGATTAATTGACGCAACAATAATTTTTACTGTTGACAGTTTAAGCGAAAGGTTGAGCTTTCAATCCAATTTTTTGCCTATTTGGCCAAATGAATGATTCAAATAATAAAGATTTCAAATTGGTAAGATTTAACCATTAACCATGTAAAGGTGTTTTAACTATGCTTTTATTACCCTTGTTAATTGGTTAGCTAACTAACCACATGGATCAAGTTAAATTATGATTGAAATGAACTTGGAAATTTTATTTTTATCTCTAAATCTTTTAATATGAGATTTATTTTCAATCTGTTTCTATATATTTTTTTTGATAGTAAATGCATTTTAATTTCAGTTATCCACTTAATTGGCATTAAAACTCAAGAGTAAACTGATCATTGGTGATGAATAACATGATATTATTAATCACCCTACAACAATTATCACTTGAAATCTTTCAGGTTTCACATCATTTCTTTATCATTTTCATCTGATTATATGAAAACTTGACTGGTAAAGTAAAAATAAATATAAAAAAAAAGGTAATTACTGTTGAAAATTTTGACAACTTTATCTAACATAATTTATTCCCAATAATGAGGATAATATTGCAGATTAAGTGACTGATGAACATGTAATCCACACACCTTAATAATAAAAATTTGCTTTGATTATAATCATTAATAGCACTTTCTTTTATCATGCTTTTACTTCCATGGTTTTCAAAATCAATATGAATTATGATAATAATGGCTAGGTGATGATCAAGTTGATTTTGCCTTTCAATCCGTTTAGAGTTGAATTGCATAGCAATTTGTTGATTCTCAAGCAACACTGTTCACCAATCTTAAATGTAATTACAATAAAGTAAAGTAATCGAGTCTCACTTTTAAGTTAATTTGCAACTGAATAAGTTCAAGTGTTGAAAAATTTCACTCGGTTGTCAGTTGGTGTATTTCTTGACCAATGGCTGGCAGCACAATATTCAAAGTTAAAAATGGAAAGCGCTAAATTCAATTTTTGTAGATTCAACGCAGACTCTCACCTGTATGTTTTGGTTGGTCTAATGATGGTAAGTTAATTGTCATAATTATTTGTTTACATTTTTCTTATTGATTAATTTGTTTATTGCAGGCTCCACAGAAACTGTCACCTTCGGAAGAGTCATTAACTTTAACGTTGATCGAGAAACATTCCGTAAGCTGTACTTACATTTTTAATCTTCAATTTCAATCCTGGTTTGAAGGATTCATTGGTGATAGTGTTGAAAATTTTCTATAATCTAACTAGCTTAATCAGATATGCTGGTGTTGCGATTAGTGTTAATAACATTAAACACACTAAATGGCGATGGGAATGCAATTCTTAGATTGCATTCTTTATCCAATGTTGATAAGATGTTAGGAATCATTGGGTAATAATATAGAATTTTCCTTTTCGTTTCTATCTCAGGCCCGTTCATCTCCTTTAACATCTAAATCTATTAATTTAGATTTTTTGGATCAAACAACCAGTAATCCAGTAACCAAATCAGCTGTAAAGAAAAGGATTATTGTGAACCTGGTTGAACGAGATGGTTTTATTTACATGGAAGAGTATGATACAAATGAATATGTAAGTTTTTGCACGTCATTTAGAAATGGTTGTAATAGATATTTTTATCTTATCATTAGGTACCTTTAAATGAAAGAGATGTGAAACAAATCAAAGGAGAGCAATCTAAGAGCATCGAAGTGAAGAAAATTAGAAATCGTGGTCCACCAGGCGATTGCAGCTTTTGTGGGAAAAGGTTTGGGCGTAGATCTACAGCCAATCGCCATGAGAGAGAAAACTGTAAAAATCATGGAGCTCCGAACCATTTGTGCGATGAAAGTTGCCCTGGATTCTCTTCGAACGATTCCAACCAAGACAAAAAGAAGCAAAGGACAAGAGAATGAAAAATATTTATTTTTTCAAGATGCAGCTATTCAGCCGTTGTCCAGTGATATTTATTGTTTATGCATAAACAGCTATAATCATGATAGATCCAATCAATTTAATGGAAACCAATTCCTCACCCTTTGAAATCAAAGACTTTTGTTGATAAATCGGTCGATGTGGTAAATGTGGAAGAAACTATCGTGTTAAAGGATATAAATCCTTACAAATTCTTCCTTGATCTGATTACTTCATCAGATAATTTATTGTACTTTTTCTTGCCCTTTTATACCACTTATATGCTCATCAGATTCATCATAGTTTTGATGTTTCAACCCGGTGTTTCTAAAACCACTTCATTTTGTGCTCTTTTAAATAAAAGCTATTTACACCTAGATTCAAATTTTCAAACAACAAATTATGATTAGAGTGGTTTTGCGCATCAGATTGTTATATTCAAAAGCAAACTCTTACATTTGTTTTGCTACTTTAAATGTAATTGCGTGAGTTCAATAAATCTCAATAAGAATCGAAGAAAACGGAAAAATGCGCAAATCAAGGAAATCATTAATTAAGCTTTGTTGATTGATCTCACTCGATAGGCTCATATGATTGATCAATTTTTATCAAATTAACGATCAAATGATATATTTTTATAATAATCGACAGTTGCCGATATTTGAGCGAAAAAAACAATCTTTTCAACTACATTGCTGTCTATTTATTCATCCAGTGTTTGAACAAGAAAACGATACAAGTAATAAAACGAAATTACTTCCAGGGAAATTCAATTGTAATAAGATGATGAAGATAATTTAAAGTTACCAAAATTAACAGCAATCAAGCGATCGATATTGAAATATTTAAATAGCATTAAATTATTTGATTGAAACCAAAAGAAATATCAATGTTGAGAAATTGTGTTTCAAGTCTTTTTTGTTTTCATCAGTTGATTCTGTCTATTTCTCAAACAACTGGTTAAATTATTTTCCCATTAAATTGTATAATTTGTTTTTGTTTTCACTTTCGTTTATTGATTATCAGCTTCTTATTATCACTAGCATCAATCATTTATAATATCATCAATTTGATTGTATCTGATTCTTAGTTTGTGAGACTTGATTAATCAAAGTGTATAAATAGTCTTTTTAGAGATGAAACGAAAACAAAAAATATTGATGATTGTCTCATGATAATGTTTTCCTCAACCAAATCGGATGAAATAACAATCCTTCACTTCAACGATGTTTACAATGTTGATGAACATAATGTCGAGCCCATCGGTGGAGCAGCAAGATTCGTATCAGCCTTACAATCAACGAGAACCCAATCAACTTTAACATTATTCAGTGGTGACTGTCTTGGTCCATCTTTATGTGAGTTTAATCATAAAAACCTTTACTAATCTAAAAACCCTCAAAATTAATCAATTAATAGCAATCATATACAGTAAGTACATTCACCAAAGGTTCACAAATGGTTCCTGTATTGAACAGTTGTCAAGTTGATTGTGCAGTCGTTGGTAATCACGATTTTGGTGAGTTAGCTTTCATTTTTAATGTTGCCATCAAGTGTTAACATCAACTTAACCTTTTAAATAGACTACGGGATTGACGCTCTTTCCAGGATAATCCAGCAAACCCATTTTCCTTGGTTATTGTCCAATGTAACTAGTCTTACCGGTAATACAATTGCAGGGACTAAAATTTATCATATTATTGAAGTTCATGGTAAAAAGGTAAGAGATTTCATTAAAAACAAATTCACATTAGATGTTAGCAATATGATAGTAAATATTGATACTTTTACATCGTAGTAACCTCTAGTATCTCTTGATCAACTTAATTTTAGGTTTATTTTAGTTTGATTGTGGTTATGAAAAGTGAAATTAATATAATTTGAGATTTAATTTATAATGTCAATTGAATATAAATATCTTTTGAAACTGAATCCATTAACAGTTCCATTGTTATGGATGTAATTCATTACTCAATGTTAAGTAACATTGGCAAGATACCAGAAGTGAGGTTGATGACTTTAACGTTGACTAACAGTTAATTTAATGTGTTTGTTCAATTCTTTTCATTAAAGTTTGGAATAATCGGATTAGTTGAAAATGAATGGTTTAGCATTTTATCAACCGTTAACCAAAATATAATCATATACAAAGACTTTGCTTTGGTTGGACAAAAACTGGCTGCTTATTTGAAGTACAAGGTATAAAAATTTAACACTTAAAGTAATAATCATTATTAAAATCAACATCTGAAAATACAAGCAATAAAGATACAAATCAATTCGTTTTCATTGCAGAAAAATGTTGACTATGTTATCGCCTTAACCCATATGCGTAACCCAAACGATATTAGATTAGCAAAAAAAGTGCCTGAAATTGATCTGATTTTAGGTGGACACGATCACATCTGCCAGTCAATCAAAGTGGACCATAAAAGGATCAATTCAAGTACATTTATAATCAAAAGTGGAACTGATTTTAAAAATTTCTCAAAAATCAGCTTACAATTAACAGACAAAACAAAACCATTTGCAGCAAGAACCAGATTAACCCATGAAATAATCGATGTAACCTCCAACTTCACTGTAGATAGTCAATTGAAAGGCCAATTGGACACCTACAAGTTAAACATAGACTCGACTATGGATAAAATTATCGGAATTACAAAAGTGTATCTCGATGGTCGATTCATTTCCATCCGTCGGAAAGAGACCAACCTGGGAAATTTAATAGCTGATATAATGCGTGCCTCTACAAGATCAGATTGTGCCATTATCCATTCGGGTACATTCAGATCGGACCAACTCTATGAGCCTGGACCAATTAGTTTGAAAGATTTAATCAACGTCTTTCCCACTCCGGGAACAATGGTTCAACTCTTGGTTTCTGGACTGGTCATTTGGAAGTCTCTTGAAAATGGTGTTTCTCTTTGGCCTCGACTTGAGGGACGATTCCCTCAAATCTCACAAATTCACTTTTCATTTGATCCTAACCGTGAACCAGGCAATCGAATCGATCCTGAAACCATTAAGATTGCTGGTAAACAATTAAATTTAGAGGCTAAATATCGTTTGTCAACCAAACTGTTTCTATACAAGGGTAATGATGGTTACAGTTGTTTGAAAAATTGTCCTCTACTAATGTCACAAGATGATTGTCCTGAAATGATAACTGCAATTGAAAATTACTTTCAATTTGCTTTTGACATCGACGCCAATTGTAATCATACTAATCAATTGAATAGCTTGAAAGATGAAAGGATACAAATTAGAATGGTTGAACCCAAAGTTGAAAATAGAATCAACATAATTAATTTTATTAAAAAAGAGATGACAAATAATTGTACAAATACTGTTGACTCAATTGGATCTTTTAATGTTAAAAACAACAATGTAAATCACATCAAATACTAATTATTACAATATAAATAAATGGTTTAAATTTTGTACAACAATTTAATGATCAATCTAGGTTGTCAACGATCTGAAAAAAGGCATGCTGTGATTTTAAAAAGTGCGATTGATCATTGAGTGGTCTTAATAAAATATGTTTTAGGAGTAAAAATGCTGAAAAATTGATTCTTTATACAAAAGCTTTGGTCACGGTTTAGCATCTAATTGTAGCAATAATGATAATATAAATATATTAATATGAGTATAGATGAAATTTCAATCTCTTGCTCTTTGTGCCTTTTGGTTTCATTGTGAGTTGATTTTTGTAATTAGTTAATCTGAATGACAAAGTGGTGATTGATGGTTGGCGTGTTGATTAAATACAAGCATGTAAAAAACGCGTATTTCAACTTATATTTACACTATGATTAAAGACAACTAAGAAACTGCTGAGCATTAACAGAAGACAGACGAAATAGGAAAATGTAATAATATCATCATGATGGCGAACTGTTGACATCTCTAATTGATGGCTCGGTTGAACTTATATCATTTAAATCAGGGTATGGAGCATTTTTGCAGAGAGGATCAAACCAATAATGAACAGATGATTGAGGTGAATCCGGAGTAACTGACATGGTTCGATCATCAAACAGCCAAAACCCTCGTCCTTTAAAAAAATAGGTTCTCCCTGAAAAGAATATGAAAAAAGAAAAAGAAAATTAGTTTCATGGTAATGAAATCAAGTTGGCAGTTGATGCAGACATGTTAACCCTTAACTGTGTATCAATAATAAATTGCTAGCGACAATAACACAAGATATAAATCCTACACTGTAACACTATTAAATGTCAGTCTAGTGATAAATTGAAGTATCGAAAAGTATCGAATTTACAAGCAAATTTGCAACAACAATTTATCATTAGAAAGTTAATTGTCTGGCAATAAAGTTGATTACAGTAAATTTGGCAAATCTTTAGATTGCATGTAAACCTTGGTAAAAATTGGTTGATACAATTGTAATCCAAGATTAACAAACTGGTAAGAAATAGCCAAAAATGAAATCCTTTTCATATCCTAAAAAATGAGTTTGACCTTGCCCTTTCTGCTGTTTTTGTTTAGCTACAGAACGCCCTTCATGTTGAGATGATTGAAACTATGAGTTTTAGTTAAAGTGATTGAACTGATGAAAACCAGGAACCAGTTTTGGTGATCTTGTTTTCATTTTACTGCACTTTTTTTGCTGATTCTTGTAAGCATCAAACTTCAACTATCAATTCATCAACTGACCATTTTTTTGCCAATGAAAAGCAGCATCTAAATTGGTTGGAACACCTTTCCAAATTTTCATGCTCCTCGGATAGTCGAGTTCAACACGGTTTGTCCTCTCATCTAACCTCCAATATTGATTGCCAGCAAAAATGTAGACTAGACCATTGTAGCCCCAAGTTGTAACAGCGTCAACTGATTTTAAATTTCTAGGTAATCCTAAATCATACAGTGGCTTTGGGTAACCGCTTTCAGCATTATTCCCGTCAAATACCCAATATGATGCACCTGGAACAAAAAATATGAAAGTAAATTAGTGTTACATTAAGTAAAATAATGAAGTTACTTACCCAGAAAAAAGACTATTTTACTGTCTAAAGGTCGCTCATAAACTGCATCAATTTTTTCAAAATCTTTCGGTAAATTAAACCAAAAATTATTAACAGGAATAGCATAGTCTCTTTCCAGGTTTTTATTTTCATCCAATCTCCAAAAATACTGTAGAAAGGAAGAAAAAAAGTAAATTTAAAAATGTGAATATTAATAAAACGTTAAAATTTGCTTTTGAAGCAAAATAATTTGTGGTGAAAATGAGCAAAATTATCTGATATAATCAATATTTAGACATGAGACTGGGCTAGAAAAATTACATCAGAAACTTCAACACTTTCCACTAAAGATGAGAACAAAAGTTACTTTGGTGTTTATTTTAAAAGATTCATGTAAAGTTGAGATTAATTTTTAGGGCTAAGTAAATAAATAGATGGAAATGCATCATTAAGTATTGATTTTAACTGTGAGTTGTTGAGTTCATGGTATATTATTAGAGGCGATTATTTGAATATTAAAAATTGAAAGCTTACTCGGCCTTTGAAGATGAAAATTTCACTTCGAATGGTTGAAATTGCATCAAAACTTGTATCACAGGTTGTAGGAGGTTCAGTTATCTTTGGTATATAAGTTGTTGGACGGTTAGGTCGTGGTGTGGTAAATTTAGTGGTTGGTTTATGAGTTGGCCATTTTGTGTCTGATGGGCCGTAAAGAGCTTGGATTCCGTTAATATCATCTTGAGGAAGCTCAAAATCAAAATCAATGTCTCTATAGTAAGGAAACATCAAGGATTCAACAATTGGTGAATGAGATAAGCCAAGTGAATGGCCAAATTCATGAGCAGCTACACCAAAAAGACCAGTCCCTGAGTAATAGAGTGATTATAATTAGAAAAATCAGAAGAAAATCATGTCATAAATTATTCAAGAACATTTAAAGGAAATGGTGAAATGGAAACGTTTTGGATGAAACTTGGCAGCCTTTTCTGATTCTTGATCTTGGTCTTCTTTTGGTAAGGCTGAGTTAAAAGCATATTAAGTATCATCAGTAAGAAGATACAGTTTAAAGTGACGATTCAAACAAGTCAAGTCAAGTAAAATAAATTAAATGTAAATCCTAAATTGAGGAATACTGATTGAGAGGGAAAAATTGTCTACAGAATTAGTAAACTGCTGTATCAACTTATTCAAACAGCTAACATTACTATCTTTGAAGAATAGCAAAAATGTCACTCATTGAAAATCAATAGATTTGCAGTCTCTTCAGATTTCTGCAGGTCAATAGTAATTTGCTTATTGATGAAAAATTTTGAACACTGCTTGGTACAGATCAACGTTAATTTAGTGAAAATTATGTGACATTGATCAGCAAATTGTAGATGAATGTATTCGGCTTAGCATTTGACATAAATCAGATTGTTGAATTAATAATCTGATACTGAGAAATGAGCTTCAGAATCCATCTTCAACAGTGAATTTGAAACAATAAGAATCTGAGAGCAGAAAATTATGGTTTCAATCATTGATTACCAATTTTCCCTTTTTGTGACTATTACTTGTCAAAATATGTCCTATTAATCATCATAAACCGAGTATTAATAAATTAACTATTTAAAAAGGGAAGAAAATAGTTCCTTTTTTTCTGCTTTTCAACATCTGATTATCAATCAATGTTGAAATGAAACAACACAAGACTAGTTTTCTGGTTTCATACAGGATTTCCTTAAATGACTAATAATCAGGATTTACCTGATGGATCTTTTTTTCCAGTTTCTATCCATGTTTCATCTGCATCAAAATGAACATCCCCTCCAAAGTCAGGGCCAGGGAAAAAAGCATGGGCTAAAACACCTCCAATACCATCGAAAGCTAAATTATCTCCATGGTCTCGACTGAAAAAGGTAATTAAAATATCAGCTGGATTCGAACCAGATGGATAAAACTTTAACTTTGAATGTCTGCTCCACAGCAGAAGAGCTTGATGAATTTCACTATCTAAAACAGTCCTTCGCATGGTTGAAGGAGTTGAACCATTTATCCTGGAAGAAACAAAACATGTTGAATTAGAAAGGGTTAATAAATTGCTAGGAGCACAAAATATTTAGTTATTAGCTAAGCTAGTTTAGTTAAAAATAGATCAACAAGTTAATGACCACAGGAATAGCGAGGGATAATTTAGCTAACCAGGTTGACAGAAACAATAAATGAAACAATTAATATTCTCAGTAAACATCTAATTTTGATGTGAAATTGTGATAGTTGCTATGAAGTTGACAGAATCACAACAAAATGATGAGCGATATTTGTAAGATCACTTCAATTGATATGAGTTAAATGTTAATATCACTTGGTTAAAGGTAATAAATACAGTAAATTACCTCCAGGTTAAAGTTGTTTTATCCCATTTTGGTCCTTTTAAAACATATCTTTTTACCCTGTTACGAATGTCTGATGGGAAATAATCAGGAACCCCACATCGAGGTCTTTTGGTTAAATTAAAAGTTGCTGCATCGATTTCACCGGTTGCAGGTAAACCAGCAAACCTTTGCATTCGCTTGATGGCATCTTTCAAGTAATCAGAACTTCGAATGCTTCCAACACGAAAGTCATCTTTAGGTATGTATCCAAATTTAAAAAGAAAATCCTGACAAAGAAATGATTAAAAACTTGGATTAGATAGACAGGATTTGTAAAATTAAACTTTTCACTTACAGAAATATCTCCAGATCTACTATCCAAGCTATCGATCTTTAATGATTGAGGTAAAGGCAGCTGATGTGACTTGTAGATATTAAACAATAATAAAATAGGTACAGTAAGCAAACCCAACAAAATCATCATGTGAATGTAAATACACAGTCAAAGCTTATGTTGGGAATCTCAACCAATTCAAAATCTCCACCCCAAAATTGGCTGCCAATGCGCAAGTCAAATTAATTTAGCACTTGATTTAAACACTTAAAGATAATAAACTAAATTAGTGTCAATAAATTACCTCAATTTGTATCAAATCAGCCTTTCGATGTATCAAAATTTACATTGACAACCACAAAAAGACGCAAAGTATTCTCAATTCTGGTATTTCAGCTACAAAGGCTTACTTACACTTGGAAATGAGCAATTTAACCGTCAATTGTTAACCAAAATTACACCAAAAAATAACCTGACTTGCAATTTAACAGTGATTTAAACTTGAAACTGTTAGAAGAAAATTTGAATGAACACATTTAAATGAAAAAGATTTAGGTGAAAATTAGGCCTTTGCATGTGGATTCACGTTATTACTGGCTATTAAGACAATTTAACCTGATAATGACTATCATCAACATTGTTCACAACAATTAGTCACTTTTATTTCACATCATTATCAAAAAGCTGTTTCGTCAAGTAACGGTAATGAGCAGTGGAATCAACTGTTATTAAAATGAGTGAATGAAAAAAGACAGTGAGTGTCAACAAACCCATTTTTGCTCTCAGGATGAAGCAAATGGAAAAGTGGAAAGCAATGAGAGAGGAAACATTGGTTTGATTGGATTTCATTGATAAATCACGTTAATTAGCTTTGAATTGCCGCCTAATCCACTCATCATATCGATATTAATGCATTAATTAAGGATATCTATTGGTTATGTTGACTTTCGAAGGATTAAAATTGAGAATTGATATTAAAAATCAAATATTTCCAGCTGTAATGAATCAACCAAATCTGTTCTGTCTATTCAAAATCTGGAGTGTATCAAAATTTTGAATACTAGCCCAATTAATAAATAGCAAAACAAAATTAGTTAATCATCCGAACCAAGGGATAATTATGGTGTGGATTTAAAACATCCTGTAATGAATTTCATTCATATTTTTGGTTTTTCACAGTTTTTTATTTGACAATGGCACTAATTACAATTAGAGAATTGTTAATCTCTTTTTTACAAAATGGTCACTTAATGAGACCAAATAAAATTACAATCTAAAGGTGTTAACCTAAATTATCTACTAATAATGGTTAAAAATTCACGATTGGACAAATAATTACAAAAAAGGACAGAGTTGTGTGAAAAAAGGTTGATTATCAAAGATTGTAAAAGAGATGATGAAAATGAGTACAAATGGTGATTGTGATGGACAGTGATTATCCTTTCCATGATGATGTGATGATGATCATGATAATTAACAGTTATTAAATCCAGAGTCTGCTTTGTTGTTGTCTATTTTTTGATTTTGGCGTTGCTGGTAAAGTTGATAGTTTATGGGCAAAAGAGTAATCAGTAAAAGCACTTGAGTAATTTGAATGGTTTGGATGGCATGAATGATGATTATGGTGATGTTCAGCATACATTGAATGATCCATGATATCAGCTCCTGAATGATGGTTCCAATTGAATTTTCTGTCATCCAGCAAAGATGTACTTCCAACATTACCAAACGTCATTGAATTATTGAGGTTGTTGTGCAGTTGATGATGAACATTTACCTCGTCTGGCTCAATGTCATCTTCTGGTGCCGGAGGTGGAGGAGGTGGTAATGGCGGTGGCGACGGACTTGACAATAAATTATTTGATTCCGAGGTTGGTGTCATCAGTGAACGAGGAGATGAGCGCAATGTTTTGGCATGAAAAGAGCACAAATGTGGCTGAACAATTCTCTGTCCTTCTTCCAAAGAGTCAACTCCAAAGTAAAGTGAAGGTGGTGGAAGAGGGAAATGGTTACCCTGTCTTGAATCCAACTGAGGTTCATTGTCGAATTTCGGTGACGTTGGAGGAAAAAAGTGTCCTAAGAGTCGAGAAATAAAATGTAATTAGTAAATGTTAAAATGCAGACTTTTCACATTCTTTTTCTTTGCCTGTTGACTGTTGAGCCAACTTATTGATTGAATACTTTCTACCCTGATTATCTTCTTATCATGCAATATCATTGTGCTCTAGCTTTTATTTTTCCGGTAGAAAATGAAATTTCCGGAATGCACAGTATTGTAAGAGAAGTAGATATTGATGTGGAAAAAAAGATTTAATTATGATTGATAAAAGGTTGAATAATTACCTCGACCAAAGCTACTGACTGGAGTTCCAGTTATACTTCTGATGGAGCCACAATTGGTACTTATTGATGGAGGATTGTTGGTCAAATTGGGTAAATAAGGATTTAAATCGGACATAACAGTGGACGCTCTATCATATGGTAAACTGCCTCGGCCACTATCGTCAATCATTAGCATACCATTGGGTAAATTATCATCACTTGAGTTTAAATGGCGATCCTCGTCATCATTTGAATCACACCTTTTAGAGTTCATTTTACTTGATGATGATGAGGTTGATGAGGGTGAAGATGAGGTAGATTTGGTTTTACCAAAAGAGAGTAATTTAACCATCATTAACAGTAAACACAGTCCAATTGATGTTAGGACACAAATGGCAATTATAAGCAATTGACTTGTAGTAATGACCAGGAACTGTCCAGGGCCAATTGGTCGAGATTCAGTTGAATAACGTAAATCATTGTCATTAACAATCATATGGTTAGATGAACGTTGGTCTATCGATTGGATTGAAGATGATTTAACTGGTTGAGAAGATGGTGAGGTTTTTAGTGTTGCCTTTGGTATGAATACAATTTTAAATTCAATGCGAGAAGTAACTCTACTTCCAATGACACTTATTTGAAATGAAACTGAATCAATTGTTGGGTGTCCAATCAAGTGAAGATATCGTATTTTACCTTCATTCAATTGCTTTTGATTAAAGTAACTAACATTGATCCATTGTCCGTTTGGTCTGAGTTTCTGAATAACACCATAATCAGGTATTTTGAGTATTTTGTAGCGTAACTCAAAAATTTGATAATCGGTTGAGTTAGAGTTGGTTGTGAAAGATAAATTGTTTGGAGTTAAAACAACTGAATCGTTGTAGTTAACTAAGCAGCCAGTATTATACAATTGTATTAGGGTTAAGTCAAATAAATGAATCTCAATCATGACTTCCATTAAAGAATCGGAACGATTAGGATTGTCGGTTAAGGATAAAACAATTCGCACTGAAGAAGCATTCAAACCAGAATTGATTGGTGAATGGACAAAATATATTTTATGTTGATTAACATCGGCTTGAGTGAATTTGGTCAAACTGTTTGATGGATAATCGGTTGATTCAATGTAACACTCTGGACATGAGTAAAGTGTGATCACATTGTAAGTTAACTCAAAATCTGAATTATCCGAATCAGATGAGTTAAGTATTTTTGGTGTTAAACAGAGTTTCGTGAATCTCGCCATTAGAATCAAGTTATTTGATTCAGTTGTTAAATGATTCTCAATGCCTTTATATACCAGCGGAATATCATTAACTGGTATAATTTTGATGGGCAAAGTAAAGGTTTCCACTTGATTTAAAAGGTAAGTTGGAAGTTGAATTGATTTGGATGAAAATGAAAGGGTCAAAGTTACAGAATCATTTGTTGTTTCACTTCCATCATGAGTATAACGAACGGATCCCATATTAAGCTCGGAGTAAGTAAAAGCATTATCGGATGAGGAATAAGATGAAGATGAATAACGATCAATGAGTAAAGCTCCGTGTGAAGGGTTATGTTTGATTGAAAAAGCACCATTATCACCAACATTGAAGCCAAAAAGTTTAGAATTAAATTGAATATTTTTAACAGTAATGGGTTCACTTTTACCTTCTAAAACAATTAAAGGTTGAATTTGAACAATTGAAGATGAATTTGATTCAGTTGATGGCATTAAGTCAGATGGTTGAGTTGAGGTTAAAGGTGTTGTTGAAGATGTCGAGGCAATACAATTGCCAGATTCACAAAAACACCGAAATGAGTTGTAACCTTCTGGTAAACATGTTGATCCATTAATACATGGTTTAGAGACTAGACAAGGATAATCCCAGAGACAATTTGAATGGACTCCTTTGGTAACTAACAATTGCCGTTGGCCCATTGGAATTGAATTTAGGTGTAATGAACGAATGCAACCTTTGAAACTGGTATCTATTGAATCAGATAGAAATGATTTTAAACCTTGCTGAGAAGCAATGAGCATCTTGGAAACGTCGATTCCTCCAACATAAAGATCACTTGTAAAATCATAATAACGAGACTCTTTTTGATTGGATTGAAATTTTTTGCTCCTTCCATCAACACTAATTTCATACCAATCTGGTTTAAAGGTAATGTTTACTGAATGCCAATGACCAGTGTTTACTGCTAAATCGGAAGGTACAATGATCAGGCCACTTCCATCATTGGCAGTTACTTGGATGGTTCCATTGACCAATTCAATGGCTAAAAAATCATGAATATAATGCTCTAATCCTGTTTTGTAAAACAATATTGAAGATGAACCAATTGGTTGAGATGTTTTCAGTTCAAAGTAAATGTTTCCACCAACACGGTAATCAGTCAGGTCAGAGGGTAAAGTTAAATATGATCCATCACCAAGAAAACTAAAGGTTTCCTGGTTAGTTGCTGATGTACTTGGTATTGAGTCAAAATCGGTTGAACAAGCTCTTGTGACATCTTTCAGGACTCCATGAGATCGAAGTGATTGAGAGAAAACATTGACTCCATTGAAGGTTAACTGTTCAATGCAACCACGAAAGTTAACCATGTTACCAAGAAAAAGTTCAGTAAAATTACCCAAGCCACCAATGTAAAGGCCATAATTGATGTTTAACTCGAAAAATCTTCCCTTAATGGTGTAATGCTTTAAATGGATTCTATCAATGGTTAGCACAAGGTCACTTTGTTTACGTTCCAGGTCAACCTCATGCCAAAGAAGGTCGTTTAATTTAAGATCATTGGGCCCATTAATTAGCTCTTCGCCAGAGCCCAAATTAATTCGTACCTAATTAACCAAAGGAGCAAAAAAAGGGATAAATAACAAACAAAATGTGTTCACATGCATTTTACTTTACAATGAATTATGCTAATGAAATACATTTCCTTGATTGAAAGCTAATTCAAAAAACTGTTACCCAGAATCAAGGGTGTGTTTAACAACAATATAACGTATTATGGCCTGAATGAATTGAAAGTATAATTTGAAATTTGAGTCAATCATCTGTCAATGTTAATAAAAATTAGCAATGAACCAGGCTTTTTGTTTTACAATTAGACTTTCAATTTGGGTTTATTTTGCTAACTTGGATATTGAAAGTAATTTTTAGGTCTATGTTGTCACCTTTGATTATCAATTATCAATCAAATTGTCTGTGTAAACTTACGTTGATATTGCCATTGACAAGAGTGATTAGACAATAATCTTTAGGACCAGAGGCTAGGAATAGGAAGGCATCAGTGCGATGAGTTTTGAAACGGAAGACAATTTTTGTTGAATCTCTTGATTCTTCCATAGGAATCCAAATATAGCTGGACCCATAGAAAGAGACTGTTCAAGTTGTGAAGGAAAAGAAAGAAAGAAGAAGAAGAAAATGGAAGAAAAGAAAAAAAAATGAAAAGTAAAAGTAAAAAGACGAGGGATGAAGATGAAGAGGAGATGAAGATATAATTAGATATCTTTTCGTTTAACTCTCAAGTAACGCCATAAACCGTTTCATCTTCTTCCTTTTTCAGAATAAGCTTTGCATTTTCATCTTCATCGTTTTTCAGTCAACCTTTCAAATCACAAGTTAATTATGAACCAAATTGGTTTATCAGTTAATAATTTTGGTCTATTTCCTTTTCTGTGTTTTTGCTCATCTTTGATACCCATTTTGCTACTGTTAATACAATGAAACTTGGTCATGCAAAGGGAAACAATGAAATGTATCATTAAAGTCAATTAATTTGTGACTCTCAAATAAATCAAACTGTCCTGAAAGATGATCATAAATATATGTTTGCCTTGGGATTGGTTGTCAATTGATTACCTTTCATTTTGATGGATAACAAGGATGAAAAAGTAAAATGAAAGTCAAATGGTTGAATTAAAGAAGCAAACAGTTCATCTAAATGCATAAGTAAAAATAAATTGGGTAAAAACTGTATGCTTATGAGTAAAAGTAAAAGGAAAGTAACGAGAAAAGCAAAATATGTTAAACAAATGGGTACATATTAATAGCTTAAGGTCAATTTGCGTTTTCATTTTTGCATACTTTTGACCGGAAGCAAGACAATTTCTGGTTAAAACCAGGACCACCAATGGAACCTTATGCCAGTAAATATGCATTTCATTCATTATTGGTTTACAAAATTATTAGACGACATTGGATGAAATGCATTGCTTTTCAAGTTTACTACTTGAATGGGTTTTGAGAAACAGTTACACTGTTGCAATTCAATGAATTTTGGGTTAACGTTTGGCTATTTGCTTACCTGTGGATAGTCCAGAATCGGGTGTATTTGATAAAATTTGTGAATCATAATGAGGATCAATTTGACGAGTTGAACGATGCTTTTGAAAATGATTTGTTACTAGTTGCTGATTTGTAGGATTGCTTGGTGAGGGCAACAAAGGTGATAATGAACCAGAAAACGATGCATCAGGCTGATTGTTAACAGAATTTTTAAATTGTTGAAAATTGGATAAACTGTCAACTGGTTGGGACCAACTGGTAAAGATGGTGATGATTAATAGATGAAGATGACAATTTAATCCTCTCAAGTGCAACGGTTGAGGTAACATTTCTTGATAAACACAAAATTGGTAACATTAGGACTTAATGAAGACGAAAGACTTGAATGTCTCCTTTGTTTTAACCCCTTATATTGGTAACTTCAAACGCATTTCATTTAGTTTTTCATCAACAGTTAGGATGCAATAATTTACAAGAAAACAAAACATGGATGATATATAAGACACTCAAAACTTTGATGGTTCAGAAGTTGAATGAAAATTTTGTATCGGCGATGCAAATGAAAACAAAATGGTAACTTTTTCCGAGTCGAAGATGATTGAGAAATTGTTTTTTCCGATTTTTCACTGTTGAAATATTATTTGATTGAAGTTGATAGGAAAGAAAACTATCTAATTGTGTGTAACTCGGAAGCTCGATAAGGTTTGTAAATCTGAAATGAAGGAAAATGATAAGAAGTGAAGAGAGAAGGACGGAATAAGAAAATGAAGTTCAACATTTGGTTGTAGGATGAAAATGTCGAGATGATGCCAAAGAAACTAAGAAGATAAATTAGCTGAATGCGCAGGAGGAGAAGAAAAAGAAGAGGATAAAGATGATGGGGATGATGAGGATGACGAAGACGATGGAAGTGATGCAGATGATAGAGATGAGAAAAGGCCTACAAGTCCAAGAAGAGTAGGTAAAGAGAGGGGCGAAATTTGATTCTTTCAATTTTTGTCTAGAACCTTTTGCACTTCAAGTGCAATATGCATTTGAAAGGGTTCCTGAAAATTGGAAGCAACCATATGGAAGATCCGCCTTTTCGCTACTAATTAACATCCAATCCAAGTTCATGGCGCGCCAGGCGATCATCAGCAAATTAACGGCTATTGAAAAAAAAGCCAAACCAAAGCAAACTTCAATTTCAACTGACTAAATTCAACGACCATTCGGATTCTCATTACTTGCTCAAATAACGTGTGACAATCTTTAAAAGAAAGATAGAGAGAAAGAGGAAAATATTAAAACACCATGAAATGATGACCACATCAAATTGAAGATTATTAATTTGCAAATTACAAAAATAAAAATCAACCAATAAATTGAGCTTACATTTGGTTCCAATCCATGCAAGCCATTTTACAAGCCTCCTTGTTCACTTATCGACCAATGACAGCTCTATTTAAACTGATAGAAAGATGAATTCCTTATTTCTTAAAAACTGGATTATATTCATTTAATTCACTTTGAAATAAATTAAAAATTAGATTAATTTTTAGTAAACATTTCATCAATTGTTACCAATTACTCGAACTTTTAGTCATAGTTAACTATTTTCCCTAATAACAGATGGCGAAACTTTACAGCTTAGTGATGTTAGTGAACGTTAGATGGGGTCATCAGTAGAGCATCAATTGCTTTGCAAGTTGATGAAATATTTTTGTTGAGATGAAGGAGAGTAACAAGTTGAACGGCAACTCTCATCATCATCGTTTTCATCATTTTATTTTGTTTTACATCTTTTAATTCATTGTTTTATTTCGTTTGATAATTCATCAATAGTTTAATAGTAATCATGTAAATATTACACATCTGTTGGATACTTTTTGCTGTCTTCTGTTTTCGATACATTTTATTGGAGTTTTCTTGTTCATAAGTTTTAGTGATAATGAAGTGTTTTGGCGGCTCAGATAAACGGCGAACTTATCATTGTAAAATTGTTTTACTTGATGAGACTGAGCTTATCCAAGAGATTTGTGACACCTCTAAAGGACAAGATTTACTGGATATTGTGTTTAAACATCTTAATCTTCTTGAAACTGTCTATTTTGGTCTTAGATTCATTGGCGCAAATGGGCAAGCCTGTTGGTTGGATTCAACCAAAAATATTGTTAAACAAGTTAAAAATATTAATCCATTGACATTTTATTTCGGTGTCAAATTTTATGCCTCTGATCCGTGCAAACTTCTGGAAGAAATTACTAGGTGAGGATTAATAATTTCAATTTTCTCCTGACTTTGCTTCAATTGTTTAGCCTTTTCTGATTATAGCATAAATTAACCTTCCCATTCTAAATAAGTTGTTTCATTGTTTTATTTGTTCATTTAATTCCTTCTAATCCGGGAATAGAAATGTTGAAAAATAGCAGCAAGAATCAATTTCAGTTGTATTCATGCTTTAGATTTCAACCTCAAGTGCTATTAAACAATGTCTTGTTTCCTCTACTTTCATGTTTAAAGTAATGGTGAAAATATTCTAATTGATTGTTTTATGGTTATCAACAGGTACCAATTTTTCCTCCAAATCAAACAAGATATAGTGCAATCTCGTCTACTTGCTCCAAGTGATTTGTTGGCTCAACTATTTGCTTACGCAGTTCAATCTGAACTTGGTGATTACGACCCAAGACGTCATCAACGTGGCTATGTATCCGAGTTTCGTTTCGTGTCCAATCAAACCCCTGAACTCGAGGAAAAAGTGTCCGCTTTACACAAGACTTTGGTCGGACAAGTTCCAGCCACAGCCGAGATAAACTTCCTGGATAAGGTGAAATGGCTTGATTTGTATGGAGCCGATCTCCACCCTGTTCTGGGTGAAGACAATGTTGAATATTTTCTAGGTCTAACACCAAGCGGAGTGATCGTCCTGCGTAACAAATCCAAGGTTGGCAATTATTTCTGGTATGTATACGTCCATTATCAATACCATAAATTGGTAAAACAAGCATAACAATTGTAGATATAATTTTTATTACGATTGGTTGAATTGACAAATTTAGTGTTTGTTTTACGCCTCACTGTAAATTTGCCTGTCTCATGGAAATCCGTTTCAATTAATGTTTTTTCAGTTGATTTGCTTCTTACAGCCGTAACTGCAAGTTGTTTCAAGAAATACTAATTTCTCTTTATTTTTCATATTCTCTTTTCCAGGCCAAGAATTGTCAAAATATTTCGAAAGGATAAATACTTCATGCTTCAAGTTGTTGAAAAATCTGTAAGTACCTATCATTGAAAGTAACCCCTGTAACGACCTTTTACCGACATTCACTAAACCGGCTTATGTCACTTGGACTTCACTTTCAATCGCAGTTCAATTAGCAAAGCCTGAAGGTTTAATTTAATTGACCATTAAATCTCTAATAACTGCATCACGATGAGTATCAATCTGATACTTTCACTTGATCAATATTTTGTCATTACAATTTCATTCCATTTTCTTCCCCTGAAGAACTGAAATTATCATTCATTACAAATTCCAATCCAGTATTCACTCTTTAATTGTCATTACCTTGCCCTGGGAATTAAATGATTAGATAATCAAATGAGACTCAAATGAAGAAATCAATTCTTGATATTCTCAAGTTATTCATTGTTTCTTTTCACCAAATCAATGCAATTTCACTATCTTTCAGATATTAATAACTCTTATAAATCCTCTTAAATGTAACATTACAGAGTTTACAATTTATTATCAATCAAACTTGTAAACGTTTACACTGAAAATATATTGTTTCAAATGAATGTTTATGAGTTCAATTAGCTTATAACCATTCAACTGGAATCAACCCAAACCTTTGATTAATGAATAATTTAACATTTAACTTTTTTATTACTAGACTCAACCATTTTCCTAGCCAATCAACCATAATTGTAATGATAATTATTTCACTCTCAATCTTTCAATCTCATAATAGTTGAAACATGCATACACTTAATCCTAATCAAATTTCATAAGCAAACCCATTCAACTAATTTCCAGCAAAAATATTATAATCTCATTTCAAGGTGCGTTTTCCCAATGCTTTTATCAACAATTAATCAGTAACAATTATGCCTACATCACAATCAAGAAAGTTAAACAAACTCAGTAGTCAAAAGCTTCAACAGTCAATACTCAGCTTTTTATGCTTACGCTTACTGATCCCATTGATAACTATATTTGATTGGTTCATTAAATTCCGTAATTATTGGCTAACAATAATCATCCGTTCAGATTAATCAGTCCATGAGGTGCGTTCAACGGTTCATCATAACCCTTCAGCCTACACAATGATAATAATTGACCAAACGTAGGAAGCTTTTAATGATATTTAAAAATGTATTTCCACAAAAATCATTGAATATCAGTTGGACATCAAAAGATTCAATAGTCAATAGTGCTTTCAATGACCTTATTCCCTTCATGTTAGACACATTGTCCAAAATGGCCAATCCCTTTCAATAACAAAGGGTCAATTTTTACGACTTAAGATTAGACAAAATCTTTACAATCTAACCTTTTAACTTTCTGTTAACTTGTTTTTCAATGGCAATTAAAGAAGCAACAAAATGTCATTTTCAACTAATGCATCGATTTTAAGCAACTTCACTTGATCATAAAACTGTTCATGTTTTGATTTAAATAGTTTACCTGTTTTGTTTCCCTGAACCTTGAATCTTTATTATCAGCCTCTAAATCAATGGTGATGAGGTAAATCCAACGATGAGCCTAACATATCCTAGCTTTTAATAACGATGATGCTTTTAAATAAAAAAGGTAATCCAATTGAGCTGGAATCAAATTGATTGATAAGAGTAAAGGAAAAAAGTTGCTCCATCTAATCATCAGATTGATTGGTTACTAGAAGATGAAATATCAAGAAAAAAATGAACAACTTCAACAACTGAATTAATCCAACTCATGAATTAAGTTTACTGACTTTTACCTCAAAGCAAGTTTTTCACCTTTTGTACAACTTTTCCTTTCTCCAATTGTGTGAATATTTATAGCCATTTGTAGCTATCATTATGTTAATACCGTAACATTGAATATCTGTGTCTATGCAACACACAATAACCAATTTGCCAATAGCTACTGTTTACCTTTTGTTACCTTTGACTGACCAGGAGACAAAAAAAAGACCGACTCAGTCAGTAGCAGATTATCTGAAAGGGTTTCAAATTCAGAATCGTGTGTGATTTTTTCTAATGCCAACCATTGATTGATATGCTTAAGGTGATTGACGTTGTTTTCACTCATTTTTTTCCTCCCCCAGCAATTCATTGTCCCGTAGCTTGAGCTTAACCACCAACGGTGTATCATTTTTTTACCCTGAATCATTCAAGACTATTCCTTGTCTACTTCCTCTGATCTTTCTTACCATTCTGATAGGTCAACGAACCATTCATCAGACATTTTTTTCTATCCTCACTGTTTTTGCAATCAAAAGCTACAATCAATTAATCTCAATCAAATTAACAGCAAACAATTACTCTCATTTAGTTCCATTGCTTTGTTTTTTCATCTTTAATCGCAACTTTACTCATTTCTTGATTAACCATTGTTTTTTAATTTACTACTTTCTTGGCATTCATCTTGCGTAGTTTCAACTAATTAGTTATCTGATTGATTCTCGATTCATGCTGGGTGAAACCTTGAATTACTCTTTCGGCTACTTGGAATTGCTAATAGATTTTTGATTAGAATCAAGTAAATCTGTTTACATTCAACTTTTCTGATCATTTAATACAAAATTGTTATGAAAAGAATGAACAACAAAATCTTCTGTTTACTGAATCACTGTTAATTCACCTGAAAGGTGTTAAAATATATGAAATTCTGATTGCTCGTGAAACTATCAACCTGAATCACGATCCTTCAAGTAACCTGTTGATAGTGATCAACTGATGCTTCCTGATTAACTATTACAATCTCATTGGGAACAAAAGGTTTTGCTTCTGTTTTTAGTTTCAATGAAAAGCTTCAAGTAAAACCAACAACATTGAATGAATCAAGTCCAGAAAAGTCAATTTCATCATGATTTCGTTTTGTCAGGAATCAAAAATAACATCAAAAGGATGAGCAACATTAATTGTTAAATCAGTCATTCCATTGTTTTACTGATTAACTTTTTTCCTTTATTAAAATTTATTCATTTATAAAATGAGTGTAAATTTACTCGTTTCAATCTCGTGCAATCATATTGTACATTTGAAATTAATGATAGCCTTTTAATGGTCATCAATTATACCATCAACATGATCAATTACTAACAATATCTGAAATTTGTGGTTATGTCCACTTGTAAGGTTGAAAACAATGATTAAAAGGGAAAATTGAAAGCGTGACATTTAATCATGTAAACTGATGATGATTAACTTGATGATAGTAATGATGATGAGATGTAATTTTGAGGCCATTTAAAGTGATATTCAAAGTTCAATATTAACAGCGATAAAAAAATGAAAATGAAGCTGAAAATAAGTTTACAATTGCTTATAATTTTTGCAACATTTACCTTTTATTTTGATGAACCAAAAAAGGTGGAAGAAAAAAATTGAAGTAAAAATGACCATTTGAAATGACCCATTCGAAGGGGGTGAAGTTAGCAACTTCAAGCCTGAGTGGCCTCAGAATGTACCAAAACCATTCATCCCAAATCTTATTGCTTACAAGTCTCACGCTCTTTCTTACTTGGCTCTCACGCTCTCAGCCTTCATCATCATAATCATCTTCATCCCTCTTTACCTCTATGTTTAGATATAAAAAGCCATCGGTAAGAAAAAGATCTTTCACTTTGCTTTAGATTTTTTTTTCTTCAAAAAACAAGTTTTCTTCCTTTTCTGCGCATTTCTCATTGTATGCTGGCCTTAGGCCATTTCCCCCGTCATCTTCTCTCTCCATCTTCCTCCCTTGATCAAATTCCTTATTACCTTTGGAGATTGTTACCTGTTACAAGCTATTTTCCCGGGCTTAACTTGTGTGTTCCCTTTTTTTACTATTGACTTCAGGTTTTTATTTTCATATTCAAACTTTTTCCTTTTCTTCTTCACCTTAAACATTCAAACATTCAAACATTTTCTTTACATTTCTTGACAACACCTTACAGACCTTTACCGACAAGATATTGATCACCAATAATAACCCAAAAATGTCCCTTTCACCTTTCGTCTAAACCGTAACCTGTTTTGTAACATCCGATCAGTTGGTTTCAAAAATTTCATTTCAAAAAAATGTAATTTTTAAGCTAAATCTCACTTTTTATAAAACTAGAAATGCTTATTGCAATTACATTTTCATCAATCATTTTGGAAACTTTCATTTTACAAAATGTGAAACTTCAGTTTATTTAACTGATCAATCCTGTGTTCATTGAATCAGTTTATATTTCATGAAAGCAATTAATTTGTTTTATACTTTCATTTCATTGACGATTAATTGCTGTCAATGGATGATGAACCATTGACAGCAATTAAAATGCTTTTACACTTTTAAATTTTTGCATTTCTCTTCTTCAATTGTCTGTGTTATTAATCACGAAAAATGTGTTTATCCGCTCATGCTAATGATTTTATCATGTTAGTTGTGAAAATTTTTTCACCAATTCATTCATATTCCATTCAGTCATTCAATATCATTATACATTAGCCTTAAGGTAACTTTTTTTCATATCCATTTGATTGTTTCAAAGGTGTGCCTATGTGATCATCATCATCATGATCATTAATACAATCAATCTTGACCCTTATTGTATTACTTGATTTAAATAATTTTTACAATTGTACATTTAAAATGAACAAAATTAGCGTCTAACTTTCCGTTAGCAATTGTAATTGAAGCCAAAATTAATTTCAACCCTAACCAAGAAAAAAATGCAAAATTAAAATAAATCACACTTTTTATTGTTTAAATTAATTGATGATGAAAATTGCGTTTCTTCAATTTTTGCTTTCAAATCCGCTCCCAATTTTCATGATCAAGGAATGAAAGATTGATGATTCCTTAATCTTACAACTCATTTCATCCAACATTTTGATGATTCAGTATCAACTCGATTAACTTTACAATTTGCTAAAAAGCTGTTAACCATTATTAACTGATCATTTCAATCGATCATGACAACATTTTGACTGACATTATTATATTGATATATAATCTTTAAGGTAAATATTATAAGGAAATCAATCAGTAAATAACATTATTCAACCCACCATGTTATTAAGTTCATGAACAGTTGTTATTAGATAATGTGTGAGTTCATTAAATTGGATTATGAAAGGCGTGAGATTACAAGAGTTTGTATGAAAAAAATGATAATCAGATGGTAAGAAGAAAAGATTCCCAACTTCAGCTATTTTCTGGTTAATTGCTGTCGATAACATGATAACAAGGTATGAAAATGAAGATTTATTCAGTAATGATGAAAGTGCTTCTTGGACTTTAAAGTAATATTTAAAAGGTTCAAGATTCTGTCAAGTAATGAATAATTTCAACTGTTTCAGGGTTACTTTTGAAGTTTGCAAAAAAAAGGTCATTTCAAGGTTTATTTTATGTAAAATTACAATTAATTAAATATCATTTAAATTAGTTTCTAATGTTTTTTTTCTTTTGTCTTTCAGAATGAAAATAACACTTATGGGTTTGAATTGCCATCTAAACAAGCATGTAAACACTTATGGAAATGTTGCACTGAACATCAAGAATTTTTCCGTCTAACCCAAAACCGGGATCGTCTTAACCCAACCAACAGTCGATTTGGTGGATTTACCTCAAGATTTCGCTATTCGGCTCGATCCTTGAATAAAGATGATCGAAGTAACCACACTCGAGATACTCGTCCTTCACCGGTCATTGTTAGAGTTCCTAGTCGACGGTATCAACGTCGTCAACCTGATGGTTCAGAAGGTAAATGAGCAATTGTATTGTTTTTATTGCTGCTGTTGGGTCCATTGTTTTATCCTGGATGGCTGTTGTGATCTGCTTTATCATTTCTGTTAATTGCTGTTATCATCATGTAAAATGAGTACAGGGAAAAGAGTTCACACGTTCATCATAACCAGCAATTGTTCCCTATTGAATATAATTAATCACAGCCATTAGCTTAAACAGTTACTTGTTTCATAGTGCGAAACAATTGACTTAAAATTTAGCGAAAGTTTCTAGTTGGATTGCAATTTAACTCTGAAAATTGATGCTACCATTAGTCTTGAACTTTTCATTAACTTCACTTGAAATTATTGCAACTTGTTGACAAATTTAATTTCAAATAAATAAAAAGGTTAACTGTTGTCAGGTCAATGGAGGAGGATAACATGTACTAACTAGTAGGACCAACATTCCGATAGCGATTATTTTAGGTCAACTTTGTAAAAGCAGCTCTTGTTTTTTTGTTAAGGTTAAGGGGCTTCACTTGAGGTCACCTTCTTAGCTGTCTTCAAGGGAGACAGATATGAGAGGGAAATGAAGAAGAAGAAGGAAAAAGAGAGGGAAAGAGTAAGAGAAGAGAGAGGGAAAATTGAAGAAAGGCTCACTTGTTTCTCACGGTCACACGATCTTCCATTTTCAATAGGCATTAATGTATTATTGTTTCTCTTTCTTTTCTTTAGGACCAACTTACAAAGAAGACGCGTTAACGGACAAACCTATTCAGTCAGATGGCCAGAACAATGTGGTTGTTCCTCCGGGTCGACATATAACTCAACCTGTAATATATCGATCAACATCAGTTCCTGGGGCGTTAACTGTTAATGATTCACCTAAAAGCATACGATCAGCGCCATGGGAGAATCCTCACCAGAAGTAAGTTGAATCCAGATGATTGAAACAGTCCGGTGATTGAATTGTTGATTGATGTAAGGCTTGCAGGTTAATTAATGTTACTAGTTTTGGTGTTGTTTTACATTTGTAAAAGAGGTTTATTCAGGGAGAGAGAGAGGAAAGTGAATTGGATGTTATAGGCTGTAACTAAAGAAAACTGATTTTTTAATGTCAATCAAGTCAAATGGAACCGGAGGAAATTTACTTTTTTTTGCTGTATTGATGATCACTGTTTTAATGAATCAGTCAACTGACAAACTGAAAGTAAAGTGTGGGAACACAGCTTTATTTCCGATTAATTGATTGCTTCTGAAAACTTTTTTATCAACCTTGAGTTAGAATAGTCATTTACATTACTCTTTTTTGTCTTTCAAGCTACACTTTTGTGTCCTCTTTTTCAGGCCTTGTTATTCCGTGATTGCTTCATTTAATCAGTCACACAGCTTCAATCTTTACTTTTTTTTCCTGCAAAATTTTCATTTTCTGACAATTCAATAATTGTTGCATTTATCTAATATTCACTCTCCTTTTCAGAGGCCTTTTCTCAAGTTGTGGCGATGTTTCACCTCATTCAACACGCAATAGTGTAGTTTCTGGTAATCCCCATCGCACTTCTTCCGTGGTTAGTGGTCAAACGTTAACAAACAATAACAATGGCAACCATCATCATCATCATCATCACCATCGACGAAATTCATCTTCATCCATCAACCGAGGCAATTCAAAAAGTGGAAGAGCTTCTGATAATGAAAGTGAGATTTCCCGTTGTTCAAAGTCATCCCGTCATTCGCATCATTCAACTCGTAGCTCTGCTTCCCATCATCATCGCTGTAAAAGCCGACGCAATGGTGATGAAAGTGGAAATGAATCAGATTCCTCTAGAAGACGCCATCGACGTCGACGTAAATGTTGCAGTGAAGCTAATTTCACTATGGTTGACTCGGAACAACAATGGAAGGAGATCCAAAGACGCCAAATGGAAGCTCAAGAATCTGGTTTGCAATCTATGGGAACATCCAGTAGACCGGTTATAATTCAAACGGCTCACACAAGAGACTATAGTCAAAGACAAGATCAACTAATTACTAATGGTTATTACAGTCAAGGAAAAGAGAATGAAACTGAAATTAGAGCTGATGAAACCATTAATCGCATGAGAAGAAAAGATAATGTAAGGATAGGAGATTTGATCCCGCAAGAGATAAAAAAGCATATTCAATATGATTTGGTCATTCCGACTGAAGAAGATAAGCATACAATTAACTACACAAGAGTCGAGTAAGATCTTAATTTTGTCCAATTGTTGGTTCTCATGAACATTTCTTGTACATCATACTAATATGTGATTTATATTTTATCCATTTTGTTTTTGCAGGACTGATAATTCCAGATTATTTAAAATTCGCTATTCACCTAATTCTGGTCGTGCAAAATATAAGTTGGAAAAGAATCCTGTTAAGTAAGTTTACTCAACTCTTCATCTGATCAAATTGATTCTAATTATTTACGTTTATATTTTTTAGACAAAATTCTGGAAGCTCAGATGCCAAGTCAACTAATGAGGAAATTCACGGTGGAACTAGTTATTCAAGTCAAGGATCTATAATTCCTAATCAATATGCTTTACCTCGAAGTGCTCTCAAACCGAGCAACAGCATCAGTTCATCTGGCTATAGTGAATCTCAAGCGGATATGAATGGACAATTTGATAGCTATTACAATCAAAATGGCAAGCTCAATCATTATGATGTAAACATATACAATGGTCATCCACCTGCTACCAATCAACTCATCAACAGTAATTTAATTCAGCACAATCAACCAATGTATCGAGTTAATGGAGACAATAATGTTAGCCTTCCGGGGCAAATCAATCCAAATATTGATTCGATGGCTCAATCAAAAATCCAACAATTTAACCATCAAATTCTGGATGGACAATTAAATGGGTACCATGATAATGGACAGTTTAATGATAGATCCAGAATGGTTGTTACAAATGAACGACAACCTACAATGACTGAATCGTATCTAGAAAATCATTATAATGGACATGATGAAATGTTGAAACATCCTTCTGATAATATCAATAATATTTATCAATCTCCAAGGTAAAAAATTACTATAAATGTCAGCTCATTTCGTCTGTCCATTTCATGCATCTTCACTAAATTTAGTCAATTTCAAAGATTTGCCTAGAATCAGCGAAGAACAGCCGAAATGAGTTCAACTTTTCTGTTATTGAAAACCACTTTTTAAATGCATTCAATTAATTTTTCTTTTCTCCTGACTTCTAGACGCCAAACCAATCTAGAATCTCATTATGATCAACCAGTTTATCAACCTCGTGTTACATTCCAAAGTCCACCAAGTACAACAACTTACTTTACTAATCAGGTAATTTTTCTTGAACATTTACACCAAACGTTTGATATTAGCTAATAGATAACTTACTAACAGTCTCTTTTTTTTAATTTCAGATAAACCCTTCTTCAAAAATAACTAATGGATATCCATTGAAAAATAATCCATTACAATTACACGAGATGAGTACTGAACTCTAAGAGTAGATTAGCATGAAAATCAGTGCTGAATCAATTCGCAAATTTACAATTGTTATCATATGTAAATAATTTTACCCTATGTTAGTTGAAAAAATGTATTGTAAATAGATTTATTAATAAACTCTTGAAATCACGATTTCAAACAGATAATTTATAAAATCGACCTTAAACATTTCTTAAGCCTGTTTGGCCTTATTAGGCGATTTAATTAAACACCAAATAGAGCAATAAATACCTTCAAGGGCTAACTTTAATTAGTTGATAATGAAAGGATTAAACCATTAAAGATTAGTGATTTCAACCTTGAAATGTGGGATCAATATGATCGATATGATTGCTTGTATTGAACAAAAGCAAAGCAATTGACTTTGAATTATTTATTCTCATTTAATTCAAGCTTAATTCAACTTGTTTCATTCAAATCATCTTGAAAGTATTGCAAATGGTAAGAAATGATTTTCAATAATCAAAAAGTGTATTGAACTTACAGAGCTCAACAAAATTTTGGATGAAACTTAATGTATTTTGTAGGTAAAAAACAAACGAAATAATAGATTACAATGTTAAAATTAAAAGATTGTCACTGATTGTACATTAAGACTTATTGTCCAGGCCAATCTTTTCGGTTCCTTGGACTGTGTCAGGTATATCAATAGATTTAGTTTCAGGTAAAAAGTATGTCAAAAGTCCACCAATAAGTGATATAAAAGCAAAAAAGGTAAGAATAAAGTTTATACCAAATTGATTAATCTGTGAAAAAAGAAGAACAGAATTAGATTTATACAAATTACTCAAAAAGCATCAATGAATTTGACAAAAATGGCCAAAATATTTAGGATCAGAATTGTTCAGTATTTTGATTGATCAAACTGAATGCAAGTTGTTTCAGACAGACAAATTGAAATTAGGAAATTAGTCATTGAGATTTTACGATTGTTAAAATGAGATTAGATTGTAAGAATTAAGTTTATAGATGTTAATTGATCAAATAAGGTTATTTCAATTTTATCTGATATTCCGCTTGTTCAAGAGATTGCTGTTGAACCTTGCATACAATTAAATTTAATTGAAATTTACCAATTGAGGAGTAAATGGAGCCACCATTGCACCAACTCTTGAAGCAATCGTAATTGAGCCACCAGCAGCTGTGCGAAGAACAGTGGGAAATATTTCATTCTGTTGAACTATAATAACATTATAAGAGTTGGTTATAAAAAATTTGGCGAAGAAGAGCAATATTGTTGAAAAATTAGGCATTGATTGGATTGGAATTAAACCACATAAACAGGTTAAACCGCAAAAGATCATATTGTAGGATGTAAATAGTCGACGACCAGAGTAACGACACAGTAAAAGGGTAAAAATCATTCCCGGTATTTCAACAAGGCCAGAAATTACAAAATTAAGATATAAATCGCCTTCAAATGCACCAACACTGTACGATATGCCATAATAGACTAGAGAGTTGATTGGAAACACAATCCAAAATATAATTGTGTAAAGTCTGATTCGAGGTGTGCGAAGTAGATCCAAAACACTGGGCTTATAGTGTTTATTAGCCGTCGAGGCTTCCCTAGCTTCCTCCTTAATATTTTCACAAAATGAGTTCATCTTTCGTCGTATACCATCCTAAATTGACAGGAAGGAAGAAAAAATGCAAAACGATAATTAATAATAACTCAAAAAGAAAGCAAAAAAATCAAAGCTTTTGGTAAAGTGATGAATCTTTCAAGTTCAATTGAAACAATCTGGGAATGTAAAGCCAATTTAGATGGTAAATTACTGCTTGTAAACCAGATTATATAAGATTATTAATAATAACATTTTTCAAGTCCTGAGCTGTCAAATCTTTGAACTTGAAATTTTCCATGTTGCAAAACACAAATAAATTTTGACTTTTAGCATGTATGAAACTCGAGAAGTATTGCAAATATTTTCAACTGATTTTACCCCAATAATGTTTGACTTGTTGTTCATTGAATATGCTTTGATCATCGTCTTTTCAGCTTCTTCTTCTTGGTTATGAGTTATCTGCCATCTTATTGATTCATCAATGAAAAATGACCATATTAATAAGACAAGAACGGATAGAGTGGCGAATGCTTGAAGAATCCTGAAATTTCGGATGAAATAAGCAATCCCAGGTAAACTGATAAATCCTACAATCCATCCACCGGTCAGTAAAATCCCTGTATCACCACGATATTTTTTACCACAGCTTTCAAAAACTGAAAAAAGAAAGAACAAAAAATAAGAATTAGAAAAATTTTAAATTATTCAGAAGATTTGATTAATAAATTATATTACTTTTAATACTTAAAAACAGTAAAACATAATGATAGCAAAAGTCTGGTTGGATGTAATACTAAGCAAACATAAGTACAATAAAGATTACCAAAAGTAGTCTTTGAATCATTGAATCAATAATGAAATTACTTTGAATCAAAATCGTTTATTTATCAAAAGGTATTAGAATGTTAAGGTTTTATGTTTAAATAGTTGAATTTTTAATGGAAATCTTTGCAAAAATCAACTTATTTCATAATTAATGATTAGCAAAATAATCTGAGGTAATATAAAGATTCAATTTTTTCCAAATCCATTAAGATGACACACATTTAGGCTAAAGTTGATTGCTTGATATTAAGGAATAAAACCCTGCAAAATCATTTTAATAACATAAGTAAATAATATCTAATATTTAATAGAAAATGGCTAAATTCTGAGGTGAAAATGAATTCTAATAATAAAAGAAATGAAAATCAGAGCAATCAATTTAATCTCTTTGATTGATGAAGTCCATTTACAAGCAGTTTCTCTGTCCAAAATAACCCGATGAAGCCAGAAAATTTAATCAAACTCGAGCATAAAACTTGTGCTAAATCCTCATCAATCTGTTGCAGTTTTATTGACAAAACGGAGTTAAATACACAATATAAATTGCTATTCACCGCCATGTTGGTTCAAACATTTTACTGTTTTATCCTCAAAAAATGGATAAATTGAATGCTTGGTTAAAATCAAACTTGATCTAATCTGGAATTATCAATTTCACATAATAATTTCAAGATTCAACAGATCAAACCCATTCTACTTTGACTGCATTAGATTTTTTTCAAAATAAACTGCATTCCTCTATTGTGACAATATTTGAATAATAATAGATTGTGCAAATTGAATAACTAAACATTTATTCAGCTTGGCTTCCCTTTTGACAAGCCAACTTCACAAATGGCCTTTTCACTAATTCACTTTATCGCAGTAATATTATTAATACAATAGAGAAAGGTTTTCGCCTTTAGACTCTTGAGATCAAACAACATTTGATATTACTCGGGCTTCCTACAGTTTTGTATGGCTTTTAGGTTCACTATTTGTTTAGGTTCACCATTAGTATTATTGATACAAACTGTTGCTCAAACCATTTCCAGCGTTTATTAAATATATCATTATTTTATTGCATATTGTGATATTAACAAGTCAACTTGAAAATGATTTCAGTCTACCTTTTGAGTCTTTTAAAGTTTGAAGGTACAACTTGTGATTAATATTGTTATTAAATATGAATTAGATGTGTCAAGATGATTGATTGACACTGGCGTCAATCATTTTAGATTCAAACATTTTATAATGAAATTAATGCAGGTTGTGATCTAGCAAATGTTTTTCATTTTATTGATCGACTTGGTCAACAGTTGACTAAAGGTAAACCTGACAATTTTGTTCATGTAACTGAATTATCTAATAATTATCTCACCATATTCATGTTCAATATCTCAAATTGTTTGATCTCTTTGGTTAGGATATTTACAGTTTATGTAAACACTTATGAATCTTGTCGGTTATGCATTAATGTTTGTTTTTTTAGGCGATAATAGTTTTTGGTTTCTGTTATTATTTAAAAGGTTAACTACAACTATTATAGTAATTACAAAAGTTAAAATTGTCTTGTATTGATATTGATTTGCCGTCGTTAATTGTGATCATTCCATGATTACTTTGAACGGGGAAATCATGAGTATCAAGATTTGCTGAAAAAAAAACAACAATTTGCAAATAATTACTTGGCATTTATTACCATCATCAATGGTTAATTGAACATTAAAACTGTTTCTTTGATAACCAACATTTGACAATAAAACAAACCAAACAATACCTTTGAAAATCTGTTCAACAGTTAGATTGAGAACAATTGATTATTCAATTGCTGATGGAAAATTTAGGAGCAAAGTTTCGTTGATTAAGGTTAACATCGATTCAGCATAAAAAATCAATGGCTATTTAGTTGCTTGGTTAACATTATGTAAACAGTTTATGTTGAACAAAATTGAGCGACTGATTAATTAGACTGAGATTTTGCTTGATTGATGGGTAAAATAATTTACCTGTCATCGCAATATGAATCATGTTCATGAACTGTTTGAACAGGAATGGGAAAATTGAAATGATTCTTACAGAGAGCAAAGAGGACATTTCCTCGCATACAAACAGCAATTCCGAGCAGTAATCTTGATATGATGAATTGCCAAATGGAGAATGAAAAAATGCATGATATTCCTGCTAAAATTTCCAGTGTAAAACTGGTCCAAATGATGGACTTTCGGCCGATCCTATCAGCAACCAGAGCGAGGATCAGTCCACTTGGTATATAGCCAACCATGAAGACAGTTTGGGTTAAAGATGACAACATTGATCTATTGCAAATAAGGTTCCACTGGAAGAAAGGGAGAAAAGATAAGAATGAGTAAAGATTGGAACAATGGATAAAAGTTGATGAGAAAATTTCATTAACATTCCAAACTCGTAGTGGGCAAAGATGGTGATGATAATGGTGTTGGGTGAAAAGGAGGAAAGTTGAGTGAAAAATATATTTATATACATTTGGAAAGGAAAAGATGATTTTCATGTGAGAGTGAAATTTAGATGGTAAAGATGAGGATCAGGGTGAGGATGATAATGAGATGGATAAGGATATGGAAAGGGATGAAGAGGATAAGAGGAGAAAGGTTCAATTCTCTGTGGACATTGGAGGTAATTTGATTTGGTCAATAGTCTGTCAAGATGGATTGGCAAAGTCAACACTATTTCCAATAACATTTGTTTATGTATAACTGTTAAATGGATCACCTTACTCAAGTAAATGATAACCTCAGGTTATCCCAGTCTTATACCTTATCTTCATCATCTTCATCATCTTCATCCACTTTCCTTTTTTTCATCTTGTTTGAGTTTCTGGTGAATCAATTTTTCGACTCGAGCTCCACTTTACTTTGATTGTCCAGAGACATTGTTTGATAAACAACACAATTTCATTTGACACTTTAAATTATTTTTTTGGTTCTTTTTGAGATAATTTCATGATGCTTCAATTTCATGGTCCATGAAATGCTCTAACCAACTACCATGGTTTTCATGCTTCTTTTTGTAAAGACTTTTAAGTTGATTTTCTGGCAATTCAGTTGGTAAATAGACTTGGAAATGGTGAGATAAATGATGGTTAATGAATTATGAAAAGAAACATTTTCAACATTTTCCCCATTCAGATAACTTGAAAGAACTACTGTTTCATGACTTCTTGGATTGTGTGATATTGATTTTCAATTGATTTCAATTGTTTTCACTTTATTCTAACAAGTTTGGATATAACTCAATCTGGCAGATTAATTTACAATAAAAGTCTTGAAATGAACCTCAATTAATGGAAAAAACAAACATTTGAAATAATAGAAGGCGATTAAATTAATGACTGAAGAGGTGAACTTTTATCTTTTTTTCTAATTAATTAGATTAAATTTGAAAGTTGATGGAAAAATTGTTTCTCTTAATGGCACTGATAGAGTATTCAAAATCAAAAGTGTTTCCAGTAGGAATTGTACTTTTATTTTTGACTATTTATTTAACCAGACAACCAAAACAGTACATAGGACTGTACTTTTTTGACAATCCAATTTACCTTTGCTTCAAAGTAAAACGATTGTATTCAATCTTCATGGTAACTTGATTACTGTTTAGATGTACACAATTCAATTTACCTTGAACTTTATTTTACTCTGTATCTGCATCGATTTTGCTCTATCAATATTTATTTCCAGAAAGAAAAGAGTAAAAGAAGAAAAAATTTGGTTAGTAAATTATTAACTTTAATATTTTAACTTTAATATGCTAGTTCTGTAATTAATCATTTCCTAATGAGTCTAATAAAAAAAGCTAATTACAATTAGTTCAACAGGTTTTCAGAGCATATTGAAGCAACTTGTTGATCACAAAATGACTCTAATACTCTTTATATGGCTAGATATTCAAGGTATAGATCAATAAAGAGTTACTTACCTCTGATATAATTGTGGAGTCAAAATTGTCATCGTAAACCCATTTCTTACAGTCGACAAATTTTTCACATTTTTCCGCACTTGTTAACGTTTCATTCTGTCCGAGAAAAAAAGGAAACAAAGAAAGAAGTGAATCAAAATTGCAAATCACAGGTAAAGGTGCGTTGCAAGATTTGAATATCCTTGGTTAATGTTTGAAAAAATGGTTCAGTTTATCATTTCTTACCTGAGATGATGGATAGTCGGCACACCAGAAGTTTGTTTTAGGTGCATAAAACGAGAAACTCATACTATTGTACGATTGTAAAACATAATTAACAATTGCAAACAGGAAGACATTAGTTTGCCAACGTCCCCAATCACCAATGATATCACCTAAACTTTTACACTCCGACATGTTGAATGGTCAACCAAATGGCACTGATTAAAAAGCTAATTTAGGTTGACTGGAAGATTAATTGTTGGGTAAACAGAAAAATAATTAGCCACATATGTAAAAATAATTATTGGAAAGACAGCCAATGGCGACTTACTTCCATAATAACTCTCGATTTTACTTTTAACCTGAAAACTTTTCTCATGTTTTGCTGACTAAAAAACATGAATCCAGTTTTAGAGTTACCGCCATCTGTTGATTGGAAAAAACAACTTGTTTTGTGGCACCATCTGTTGGTTGTCTTGTTGTTGGTGCAAAAAAAAGACAGAAACCAAAATAAACAATCACGAGTGTTTTTAAGGTTTTTGATTTATTGGACACTTTTTTCATTATTTCTTTGATTTGTTTTTATTTTAGTTTGTTGAAATTTGTAGTGAATTTCTTCAATGATGCCTTGGCACTTTGACAACGCTACTCTGCGTAAATCACCTTCAATACTTGATGGCATTCCGTTTGATAAAGAGCAGCGATATAGAAGAGAGGGGGCTCGTTTTATTATTAAAGTTGGTACAAAAATGAATCTTCGTTATGATACTATGGCCACTGGTGTTGTTTACTTCCATCGGTTTTACATGTGTCACTCGTTCAAACAGTTTCCTCGCTTTATGACTGCCTGTTCATGCTTATTTCTAGCCGGTAAAGTTGAAGAGACGCCAAAAAAGTGTAAAGATATCATTAAAACAGCGAGGCCATTTTTAACTGAAACACAGTTTAGCCAGTTCGGTGAGGACCCCAAAGAAGAAGTGTTGACGTTGGAAAGGATTCTTCTACAAACCATCAACTTCGATTTACAAGTTGACCATCCCTATTCTTATTTGATAAAATATGCCAAGAGCATAAAAGGTGATAAAGATAAGCTTCAAAAAGTCGTTCAAATGGCTTGGACTTTTATTAATGACAGGTGGGTAGTTTATTCTGCTATTTATTCAAACAAGTGAAACACAATTCTAAATTTTTGAGTCTTTTACAGCTTGTGTACAACCCTTTGTCTTCAATGGGAACCAGAAATCATTGCCATTGCCTTGTTTTTCCTCGCTGGTAAATTATCACGTTTTGATGTTGTCGACTGGGAAGGAAGGCTGCCTCATCATAGACGTTGGTGGGATGCATTTGTTGAAGATTTAACTGTAGAGCTTTTAGAGGATATTTGCCATCAAGTTTTAGATCTTTATTCATTTCCAATTCCAGATACGCCACAAGATTCTCCTCCAGCAAGTCCAACTCCGCCATCTACAACAAATGTTATAACGAGCTCTGCACCTATGATGGCTGCTTCACAATCATTACCATTTCCACCTCCTCCACCACCACCACCACTTCTTGCACCTCCACCACCACCACCACCGCTTCTTCTTCCCCCCAATGCGCCGTCAATGCTTACTTCCCAGCTAGCGCAACTCAGATCACAAATCGGGCTCCATGACAGTATTCCCAATTGCCCCCGTTTCCCGCTTGCCTCATTTCACTCCTTTTACCACCACAAACAATACTTTTCTTAAATCAGCTCTGCAACCTGTAAGATTAATTCTGTGATTGGTAATTCACTCATGATTCGCACAATTTGCTTACAAAAATAAATGTGCAAAATCAAATTATTTCAAACTTACTCGTGCTTATTTAAAATTTGAGCCTTTTTCAACATTACTCGTGCTTATTTAAAATTTGAGCCTTTTTCAACATTATCTCAAGTGTATGCACTCGAGTTTTCACTTTTGATAAATGAATTACCTTGAACAGTTAATTTTAATCTTAACAATGAGAAAAGTGTTTTTTTTCAATTTAAAAAGTTACAACATCTCCTAATGTAATATCAGTATGTGTAAACAATGTAAAGCCTATGAAAAAATATAAATCAATAAAGTGGAAATAATCAATGTTCCTCAAAAATCTGATTTTTCATTTCAAATGTACTTGTTAACTTTTTTTGAAAACAAACGATGCTAAATTATAATGATATTATCAATCAATGGTCTTTTTAGGGCTAACCATGAATGAAGTTGATTAAGATAATGATGATAGCAACTTGCTCAGTGTTCATTTTACGGTTGGTGATAATAACTTTAAACAAAATAATAAACAATGCAAGCTCATCAATCTATGCCTAAGTGAAAGCAAAATGGTTGTTGGTTATTATTAACAAAAGTAACCAGAATAACTTGAAAGTTACCAAACAAGTTGCTTTTAACCAAAAAATGTGATATATACTGATCTACTTGGCCCAGGATTTTTCATCATGTTGAAGGTAAGTCAAGGTAGACAGGCAGGTAAACAGAGAAACTAAAAGTAGACAGAAAGCTTAATATCTTTTCACAATGTTTCTTGTTTTCCTTGAAACTTTTGGCTTTTTGTTTTCGATTATCTTTTGAGCTATCTGTTGATTTAGTTAGATTTATATCAAAATTTTTAGCTTTTTTTTAAATCATTAGCAAATGTGATGACAATTTATAGAGCATATGTGAAAAACTGGTAACTTTTGATCTGAAAACCTGATCTTGGTTTACTTAAAATACTAATAGTATCAATCCAACAATTTGTATCATCCATCATTAGCTTTGATAGTCCATCGACCTTACTTTAGTCAATTTAATTCAATTTAAATGTCACCAGGAAACGTTATTGCGCTAAGATTCTGGTTGATAGTTTCAAGCTAATGTAATCATTATTGTCAGCCAGTTCATTTAACTTTTGAATTAAGACATTAAATTCAAGAAATTTTTTATTCAACATTTTCATTGATAAGTGCGGACTCAAGAGCAAACTAACAAATTGTTTGATATTATCTAGACTGCACATCAAATTGGTAAAGGTTATTCAATCAATTAAATTTCCCATAAAATATATCTATTAATATTAACGGTTGAAAGTTTGATATACATCCTGATGGAAATAACTGTAAGTCCTGTGGTAGAGGTAACAATTAATTTCATAATTTGGTGAGAGTAGTTTCAGATGGATGAATTGTGCGTATATCATTAAAATGGTAATAACAAAGCAAATAATTATTATTACAATGTTTTAATTTTAATTGCTGCTGCAGCTCAAACCAAAGATGGAAATCTATCGCAAACAAAATCTTGCTGAATCGATCTCTCATCAAACAGGTTGATCCAAACTGTAGAAGTGTTGATAATTACTTGTTAGGATGGATTATTTGACAATCATCATTAAAATAATAGTAATGGTGATGATGATACTATTAAACTGGGAACTGTCCTGAAGTTGAATTCTGAGGCTATGGCACTTTGGGCGTGGTAGAAAATAGAAAATGAATGAATACTGAAAAGAGAGAGGAGAGAGAGGAGATGAAAAAAAATAAGGAGAGGAAATGAAAGCAAAAGGAGAAGAGCGAGAAAAAGATAATATATTTAATATTATTCAATTGTGGGTGGGTGAGTGAAGAGGTAAAGTGGTGTGAGATGAAAGGGACAAGAAAACATTAACAAGTTGTATTGTAAGTCCATCCTAATGTCCATTGAGTCAATTTAGTAGCGTGTTTATTTCACTGTCAAACCACGTATCTACTGGAAACTGGATGATGATGATGAAGAGGACCAGATAATTCAGTTTCTTTTTTCCCTCTCCTTTCAACATTCTGGTCCTGGAAAAGGCGAAAGAGGAAAAGTAAGAGAGTTAGTTTGGAGAAAGAGAAAGAGGAAAGAGAAAGGGAGAGGAGGTCTCTTCTGCGAAGGAGAGACAGAGAAGGGAAACTCTAGCAGCTTTTACTATTATAGTTTTTCTTCTTATATTTCTTGTCTGAAACAGCGAAGTTTGTAACATTTTAAATTAATTATTATTCACTTATAAAAAAAATCTACTTACCATTTATTGTAGTGATTGTGATTTATCAACCTTACTATTGATATTTCTAATTAAAGGTACACTTGGTTCAATGTGAAACCCTTCTATTAATGTGCAAAATCGCCAGTTTAACAATTGGATAACTTTCATCTCTCATTTTCCCTCCATTAACAAGCAACAGAAGCAGTTACAGTGTAAGTGTCTGGCAGCCAGAAGAAGCAAAAAACTGCCTACCTAAAGATATTTTACCTTAAAATCTTCAGGTTTCACTCATTTTCCTTTTTTTCAACTCTTTTGCCTAGTTGGCGGTAAATTGATGGTTATATTTATTGATATTAAAATCATCCTGTTGCTGCAACCTTTTCCATTAATTTTGGATAACCAAGGAGTAAACATTTGAACCTTTTTTTGTGGATCCACATTTGACTCAACATTGATTATTAGAGATCTTTGAATGTAGCCTTCGTGTTGTGTCCTCATCACTCCCAGGGTCAATTACCTTGGCAATTTGTTTTGTTTTAAAGTCTAACAAAGAATTGGTTCAACATTGGACCTGATTTTATCGACTGGAAAAGATTGGATTTTTTTGTACAAAAAAATCATTTGATTGGTTGCAATTGTTCCTGCTAATTAGGCAATTTACAAAATATCTTCACCATGTCTGCCAGATTTTTTAAAATTGTTTTGCTTATTGATAATCTTTTGCTGATTTTCTTAACCATTTTGGGTATTGCATTGAGCATTCTGTTCATTGGACCCCAGTTGATCACTGATTTCAGCGTAGCACTGGGCGTGCTAAGCTTTTCTTATGTGGCCACTGGATTTTTCTTCGTTTTGGCAAGTTTCTGTTTCATTGGTATTGTTTACAGTCATCTTGTCTGTCTCCATTTCACTGCTGCATTGATACTTTGTGCTCCTCTCGCCCTTTCCGTTTGGTTAGTGGTCAAAGAATTCTTATTCTCACAAGATGTCAATTATTATATAGTTGGCGTGTGTATCGTCTACGGGTTATTATGGTTTGTTCAAGTCATCTGTGAACTTTGCTTGGGTTGTTATATTTGTTGCCAGCCCGAGTCTTTGGATGAACTTGATAAAGAAAAGGGTGAAATGAAGAAACTTGGAAATGAAGAGGGAACAGATGAAGAAAAGGAAAAGCTGGTCATTTTAGGCAATGAACCAATCCCTCCTAAACGAACCACAACTCTGGAAGGAGTTAAAGAAGAAGAAAATGAACCCAATCCCGAGGAAGAAGATGATGTTCCTGAAGAAGAAGAAAATGAACATGATTATAGAGACAATATTAGTCCAGGAGATCGTCCAAGATCAGTAATTCATGACCAAGATGTGAGACCAATCGATGATGATCCAGAAATATCACCATCTCCTCCAGGAGGTAAACCAGGACATCCAACTGAATTACAACTTGAAACAATACCAGAGGAGAAGCAACGGTTACTGGCGTAAGTTGTATTGTGCAGTGAGTTTCTTAATTGGACTTGCAAATGCACAGACAAACAAAGCTCTTCCGCACGTTCTCGATTATTGTGGATTGTTTTAATCAGAATTGATTATTTCTTTCTATCTCCTTGTGATGCTTTTGATACTCAATTCTTCAAATCCTCCTTCAACTTTTCCTGCTCATTTTTTAATTAATTAATTTATTATTTGCTCTCCACTTTTTGCTTGTTATAACTTTGTCAATCATCCCTTGCAAAATGTTTTTCTTTGTGTCCATTTGCTTTTATGTGTCACCTCTACTATTTTCCCGATGATATGAACAACTTAGTTTCCATCGTCAACTAATTAATCTCCTTTCATCTCTTCTCCAACACTTCAATTCTATAATTTCATGACCATCATAGACATGTTAAATGTCCATTGGCTACTCCCGAGGACACAAGAGTGTGATTATCGTGTTTTGCTGCTTCAAAAGCTACAAATTGCTTTAAAAAAAGAACTCCAACAAGAATTTTCAAAGATTTAAAAACTTTTATAATCAACTAATTAAATACTCTCAGTTGAATCTTCCACAATTTGGACATCTCAAAGTACTCTTCAGAGTTTAAACCACTACAAACATCACAAAAATTTCAGCTCAATTTTTGATCAACATTATTCCTCTGTTGATCCTTTACGGACTAATTTGTGCTTTGTGTTTTTTTTTCTCTTGGATTATTCACACCTGATAAATGGAAAATTTTTCAAGTATTCCAATCTTTTCTGGTTCAAAGGTGATTGAATTTGGCGAAATGAATTCTGTATGATCTTTACAATCAATCTGCAATGGACAAGAGATGTTGTCCAAAACTTTTTACTAACATCAGTTTTCCATAAAGACAGTTTCAGTTAATTTGCATTTTCTTATGACCATCAAGTGAAATAAACATCTTTTCAACCTATTAACGTAGAAACTAGTATTTGGCAAATCGCAATGGTCCATTTGTCTCTTCATTTCGCCAAAAAAGTAACTCTCTTCATCACATCCAACTCTATCCTCTTTTTCAAGCACAAATAAGCTGTTGATAATATTGCTCAGTTTTCATCGGAAAACAGTAGATAATTGTTTAAAAAATTTAATAGATCTGCATACTACTGCTTGTTATACGCCGAGCTGTCCATCAATGTAGCAGTCACTAGTAACATGAACATAAATGGAGATGGACGAAACTGAGCATTTCTCGAGGAATCCGGAGATCTATCAATATTATGTTTGGCTGTTAATCGGTTACTCTATTAAAATGGTTCTGCATCATCTATGTTTAGTTTTAATAACTTACGTTTTAGTTGTTTATTTAAACTAACCTTCAGTCTGTTCACTTTCATCATTATTGCCGTCCTTTGTGAGCTCATTCTTCATTTTTGGCCGTTTTCGATCAAATTTGAAACAAATACGAATGAGGAAGATACTTTTTGATGGAGTATTCAGAGTGAGAGACAACTGAAGACTGCAAAGAAGGACGAGTTCATTAGATGACGTTTTACAGCACTTTGTTAACAAAAAATGTATAAGTACAACATCGGCCATCTGCATACATCTCACTTATGGAAGCCAGCAATCTCACAATTTTTGATGGTTGATAATCAAATATTAAACCAAAGAACTTTTTTTTAACTAATCAACATCATCATTTTCATCTTCATCAATTTTCCCGTTAATTGCCAACTTTTAATTATGAAAAGATCTGAGGGCAAATTATCGACCTGGTTGTTTACAATTGCACAATTAACTAAAGTTGAGCCAGCGCATTTTAAATTCTCATTCTCTTTTCAACAAGCATCACTCATCATGAATCATTTAACTAATTTGGTAAACACTGTATCTTAATTACACTTCACCATATTTTATCTGGTAAAAACTTTCCTTCTGTGCGTCTCAATAGATAGATGACTGAAATTTCTTACTTCCCTCATTATCATTACCAACAAAACTCATCAAAAATCACCATCATCATAATCAAAGAATAACATCGGAAAAATTGCAAACCATCAAAGAACAAGCAAATAAGATGATGTAAAAGGAAGGATAAAGATTGTGTCACACCGAGCAAAAACAACAAAGAAACTTGGAAATATTTTTGATTTCAATTACCACAAGTAAAAACAATTATCAATTGGCAGCCAAACTATTTGAATTAGTTCTAAATTGCTGAAACTCATATTCTGTATGATAAAGGAACGTAGTGGAGATCAATCAGAAATCGACCATTTTTGAAATCTGATTAGATTAGTGTTTAACCCAGGTGCTTATCCAGAATCAAGGAATCTCTCTTTGTGGGATTCATCAATAAAAATGTTTCAAATGCAAATCCCGTCTGGTTTCACGTCGTCCATACAGTAATTAGACATTTAATATTATTGTTTCATCGATAAAATATTTAATGCCTAATTAAGCTGTTAATATGTGGAATCTTGGTCATCAATTCAACACGTATGGAATTTACTATGTACAAAGAAACAGCTTCAATATAAGGATTAGAAAGTGGATTGTTCCATGATATCAGTCATTCTTGTTTCATCTACTAGTTACAATTTTTCATCTATTTCCCTCCTTTCCTGGTCACCGCAAGTTATTACGTCTCTATCCTGGTAATATTAATTATGATACCTCAGAGGTTGAAATACATCTCAGGCTAATCTTTACTAGCAATCCAAAGATGACAATGAGACTTTCATCAATTTTAATTTCATCTCCTTCATGTACACCAGAAATTTACAAGAAGAAAAAAAAATGTTCATCATCAATCTGTTTACTAAACTTCCTCTTCGCTCTATTTCATCAATGCCGATTTTTGCTCAATTGTTGAATCATATTATTGGCCTAAATTGATTGTAATTTATAAACTTGTTAAACTTGTAAAACATCATGAGAATGATCATGACAACGACAATACTTTCTCTTGAAACTTCCTTCTTTTTCATTTGGATTCATTTCTAATGATCATTCCTTGCCTACTGTGTTCATCGATGGTTCTTTACACCATCACTTTTAAAAGAAGGAGACGACTGAGAAGAAGAAGAAGGAGATTGGAAGAAAGATAAAGATATCTTCATCTTTTATTATTATAACATCAACATTTGATCATTTATAAATGATGGGCAATGATGTTAAATTGGCGCCAAGCTGAGGATGATCAGTTTAATTCAACTCAACTGCAACTTTTGTTGATAATATCTCTCGTAAATGGATTATCAAATAAAGGAGAGAGAAAAAAAAGGAATATTTCAAACAAATAAACTTTGAAAAAGCACAACTCAATGAGATAAATCAAATACTAATCGGAAAGCAATTTTACAAAATTAAACGCTGAAACAAAACGCAATCTTGTAACAATTTTAACTTCTTTTTTTTTAAATTTATTTTTAACAGCTGTGTATTTGCTCGCTCTCTGATATATCTTTCATCTCACTTATAAATTTTTGATTCTTAATGGCTTTTCAGATGTTATCTCAATTCATTTCTTTCATTTCTCTCAATTAATTTAAACAGCTATCATAATAATAACACAATCTACAAAATTATATCAAATGGAAACCGAAACTAGGCAGCAAAATTTAAACAATTATTCAAGGTTTCCTTTCATACGAATTAATTGTACAAATAAACATAAATTTAGAGTTATTCGCAATAAATTTGATTAAAGTCCTAAAAGAAATCGAAATTAACGTTGAATGACTTTCCTTGAGATGCTGGTTAAATATTTAGATAAAAACATCTTTATTTTCAAGATAAATTGTGTTAAATTAAATGTGATGTACATATAATAATATTGTATATATCGTATATTTAGTTTATAAAAGGGTAACATTTTCCGTGTAGTCATTTTATGATTATCATGACTTGGTTTGAACCTGATTAAACATCGACATTGAAATCTCTTTCATTCGGTATTTTTGAACTTTACCGCTGGCAGTTGTTGGAAATTCTGTGACAAAAACCAATTTTCTTGGAACTTTGAAGTAAGCCATCTGAAAGTAATAGAGTTGAAACAATCAGTTTAAGAGAAATGATAAAAAAATATTAAGTTTACCTTTTCTTTGCAAAATTTAATCACTTGCTCTTCTGTTAATTTTTTAGATTCATCACGAAATTTGATCCAAGCACATATTTCCTCGCCAAGTCTGTCATCTGGTATACCAAAAACCTATTTCAAATTGAAATTGTACAATTTATGTTAAAAATTTATTTCATTAATTATATTATGTTACTTACAGCTGAAAACGATATCAATGGGTGTGATATGAGAGCATCTTCAATCTCTCCAGGGTAGATATTAAGCCCACCTCGAATGATGATATCTTTAAGTCGACCAACAATTCTTATGTAACCCTTGGAATCCATAGTAGCCAAATCACCTGTTTTATACCAGTGCGCCTTATTCATGCAAGCTTTTGTTTGTGTCTCATCATTCCAATAACCCATAAATATGTTGTGTCCTCGAGCTAGTAATTCACCTAAAAAGTAAACCAAATGTTTTAATCAGTAAACACATTTATATCTTGTGAGTCTTGACCAATGTGAAAAATGATGACCCTAAGTGTATACAAAAGGGAATAATATCCTCATGCTTACCTTTTTCACCAATTTTAACCATTTCTCCACTAACCTGGTCAATAATTTTGACTTCAACATGATCCAAGGGAAGTCCAACGTTATCTAGTTTATCATAAAGAGAGTCACTACTTATAGGCACTGTTATTCCTGGACTTGCTTCTGTCGCTCCGTAAGCAATGTCAATCGTTTTCAAAGAGTTAACCACTTTGCTCATCTTCTCGGCTACTTGATATGGAACCAGTGTTGCAGCTGCTAACACATGTGTTAATGATGTTATGGACAAGTGTTTGTTTTTGTCAAGATAATCTAATATATCAATCATCATTGCTGGAACACTAAGTAAATGAGTACATTCATGGCCAATTATTGCACTTGTAACCGCTTCAGCGCTGTACCGATAACCAATTAACACTAAGATTGAAGAAATCGTTTTGAAACATTGATTTGGAAAGTTCAATTATCTGGTGAAAAATCAATAAATACCTGTTGTACAGCCTTGAGTGACTATAGGAACGACTCCAACTACCGCTCCAAAGGAGTGAAATAACGGAACTGGTAAACAAACTCGAGACCCTTCGGTCATTCCAGCTCTATAACCCATCATTTGCCCATTGTTAATTATGTTAAAATGTGATAGGATTGCTGCTTTGGGTGGACCAGTTGTTCCCTGTTAAAATAAAATGCATAAATGTCATGTTAAAAAATTTCTACTGATGATTAATCATCATTAACGATCAATGACAATCAGGATTTGCTGTAAATTGGATTGGTGTTTATAAGTCTCTTCAAGGTATACAAATTTTTTGCACTGCTATATGGTTAAAAGACAATATAAAACATTTACCGATGTTGAGAGCAACAAAGCTGGACTATCTGGATCATTGAATTCTGGTGGACTTGCATTGTTATTGATATCTGTTTCACTAGATTCGTTCATTTGATTGATGTTACGTGCTGACTGCATCAAATCATCAAACATTAAGACTTTAGCTTTACCAATGTTTTCTGTTTGTTGTTTACCATCCAATAATACAATATACTCCAATGATTTTGGTAATTTTTCGACTATTGATGTAACAAGCAGATGGAACCTGTTGATGCACTTTTCTTGCTCAGATTCTGGTCCAGGAATGATGAACATTTTAGGATTAACTTTGTTCAAACTAAACTCAACTTCATGTTTGGTGTAAAAAGCATTGATGGGATACAAAATGGCTCCAATTTTAGCAGCAACAAATTGAAGTATCAAAGATTTATAAGTATTTCCAGTCATTGTGACGATAACATCACCACGAGCTATCCGCAATGAATTGACTAACCAGAAAGCCAAGGAATCAACATCAGACTTTAATTGTTGAAAAGTTGCTTGATAATCTTCATGGGTACTGATCACGGCCATCCTGTCTGGAAACTTTTCACATGTTTCATCCAACATTGCACCCAATGTTTTGTAAATGAGAGGCCTACTTGACTGACCAAAAGCATATGAATACTTTGGATCAACACATGCCCTAATCAATAATGAAAACAAAAGATATTTCCGTGATCATCGATGGAGAGATTTTTCATGAATTCAAATTACTTACTTGAATTGTTGAACATTATCAACCACCTTTTTACTTTTAACCTCTTCCATGGTTTTGTTTCAATGATTTTACCAAAAACTGACAATAAGTGAACACTGCCAAATCAAATCACACAGTTGAAAAACAACCGATGTTTAAATATTCACACTGGAATCAATGTTCACTGGAAATTGACAAAGTGAAACTGAACAGTTTTGACTTTCAATTTCGGGTTTTTAGACGTTCCTAGTCACACGGGAAAACTGGTTCGAATCATCAAGTTTTATTAACTGTTAAACCTGAAAGTGTAAACTTGAAATGGAGAGTTGTTTACAATCGACCCTGAATGAGTTAATACCTTGTAGCAATTATAATAAGCCCCTGGTTTAAACAGAGACATTTCAAGTTGACATTTTCCGTAAAAACATTTCCAGATTCACCATCACTGGATAATCAACAATTGCGTCGATGGTTAATTTTAAACTTGCTCTATTTAACTTTAATTTCTCAAAGTTATTGGCAGCCAAAGAGTTAATGGATCCACCAACAAGTAATAAAGTAGCTGGCCAGTGTGGATTACGTTTGCAGAAGATACAGATATTTTGCTTCAAGACATAACAACAACAAAAACCACTCTGACATCAATGAATTGAGGTTTCAATAATGTTATTTTTAAAAATTTGTCTATCCTTTTGATCAAGGTTGATTTGAGTTTGTTTTTATTGCCCAGTCCGAATAAAATACTAATCAGAAAAAAGCCTGAAGGTAAATGTGTTTATCACGTTAATTTTGCAACAAATGAGGTAGTCAAATAATAATCATAGAGTTAATAGCGCTTAGAATATTTGCGATCAGAACCTTGAATAAATTGCCAGTGCCAGCGGTTGTAACAAAATTTTTGCCAATTTCATGTTATCTTTTGTCAGACATATTTATTCTGCGCTTCTGTTAACAGTGGAATCTGAGTTTCCTTATAAAATACAATTATGCCAACCAAATGTTTTTGCCAAATTTAGCTAATTGTCTTCAACTCTCCAATAAATAGAATATGTAATTTTTTCGGAAAATGTAAGTTCATGGCAATAAGTTTACCATGTTAGTTGAATCCTCTTTTCTGGCAAGATATTTTTTTCACAAGATTTCGAGAATCTTTATTAAATTGTTTAACCCTCTTGAGCAGATTGAAAGCTCTAGTTTGATTTATAATGAAAATACACAAAATTGAGATCTCTTGAAATTCAAGACTGGACTTCATCCAGGAAAAATAGATACGTTATTTTTAAAATTCAGGATCCTGAACATGACAAGGAAAACGCAACTATTGAAAAACGTTAATGAGTGTAAACTGTTTTTGATCATTTATTGAAAAGACGTTGATCCTAGACCATTAAAAGGGAATTTAATCATTTAAATCTTTAATTGGTTATTTGAATTTTTCTTTTCCCATTTTTTGTAATGATAGCTAAAATTAACAAGACTCATAGTTAATCTGTCTCAGATTTGGTTTCAATTCATTCCTAAATTTTCAGTTATATTACCAAAAAAGCATTAAAGATGAGATTCAGTTTCTGGAGGGAAATGTTCGCATATATTTCAGAATCTGTGGAAATTTCATCATTTCTATGGTATATTGCCCAGAAAATTAAGTCTTTCAATGACTGTTTATTGCAGGAAAATTTAAAAGTCATTAATTCGTGATTTTCGATGCAAGGTACCATAAAAATTTTGAAACTTTCACAGATTTGAAAAGCTAGGCGAACTTTTCCTTGCAATCGCTGATCAGAGGGAAAAATATAGACATCTTGCTTTTAATCATTCTGAGCTAATGGAAAAAAGTTTCTGGTTATCAATTATCAAACTGTACTTTGCTTCAATATGATGAGCGACGGTCAAGTTGATCATTTTCAATTTATCATCAAATTAAAAATTAATAATTCTGGTAAAATTTCAATCGTCTGCTTGATTAATGCAGCATGTGCCACCTAATAGAAGAAAAAGTAAGCTCAGAAGTTACATGAAAAATGTTTCCCAATCAATTTTAATACATAGTTTGATTGGAAAACTGGTTGAATTGGGTTAAGTGATAACGCTAATGTATCATAAACCACCATTTACCGATTAAAACCACCAATTTTTAGACTTTAATTTAAAGCTGTAACCTTTATTTTTTTGTGCAAGAAAATGATTGAAAATGACATTCAGTGAGTAGTTAGTCATGGAAATATGGTAGTGGTTACCATTGTTGGTTTGTTTGACTTTTGGTTACGTTTACCTCAGACAAACCTTTCACTTTAAGGCTCTCAGCACTTTTCAAAACTGAAGCTAATTGTTCTTGGGGAACAAAAACTTCACCTCTGTAAATGAATTCAACGATAGCTCTAAGATCGGCAAACGGTATGTCCTTCATGATTACAACTGGATATTGGTATGGATTGACAAATTTATTGAAAATATTCTTAAAGTATGATGAACAAGCACTAAGAACCATTTTGTGAGCCCGAATACTTCCATCAACACAGGACAGAGTAACATCAACCATGGCCTCCTCCTTAAACATCCGTTCAAAATGTTCCGACATGTCAGAAGAGTGGTTGTTTCGGCGTAGACAGAATGCTTGAGCCGACATTGTTTGAGGTATTCCTGCATGTTGGTCTGGAGCCGCAGCCATTTTGATTGCAAGTTAAGTTTATTTGTCAGTCAGAAAAGTATGATGAAAACAAAACAAACCTCAACCAAGGATATGATGTGATTTGCTTTCAAATTCACAAGCACAGAGAACAACAATTAAAATAAATCAAAATAATTAAATAGGCTTAATAATTAAAATACAGACAAACTTTTTAAATTGAGTTTGGGCCCTTAAAGAAACGATCCAAATACCGAAACAAGTCTTTGATTTTTAGCCGACTTTTAGGTTAGCATAACCAGTAACTACGGTTAATCTTCTTGGTTAAAAGCGGTTATGCAGTGAACAAAACAACTTTCACCGCCACATTTGAAAAGTATACTAAAATGTTGTTATCTACATTAATAGTAACTAAAAATATCTTGTCAATCTCATCTTTATTTACAGCTGATAACTATCGTCACCTTTAAACTGTTGCTGTTCAACATTGTTGCAAAAAATTCCTGAATAGTGCCAGTGAAAAATATTTGTAAATTTTTCAAAGTGACTTTCGCCTTCTTTAACAATTGTGGGTTTAACTTGAAAGATTTAAAAATTAGACGATAATTTATTTTCTTGTTTTTAAACTATCTGTCAACTTTAGATCGAGATGGGAAGACGCCTATTGTTATTATCTAATTCAACCTGTCCTGGACAAAGTTATTGTCACTGGTGTACTCCAATAATTGATAAATTTCTTGATTCTGGCATCAAAGACATTTTGTTTATTCCTTTTGCTGCTGTTACTATTTCCTGGGATGAGTATAGAGACAAAGTTGCTGGAGCTTTGCAGCGATTCAATGTTTTAGGAATACATAAAGAGCCTGATATGATTGAAGCAATCAATAAGGCTCAAGTAATTTGTATTGGGGGTGGTAATTCATTCAATTTGCTTCATAAACTCCATGAATACAAATTACTTGACATTATCAAGAAACGAGTTGTTAATGATGGTGTGCCTTACATTGGTTGGTCTGCTGGATCTAATGTAGCCTGTCCCGATATACGTACTACTAACGATATGCCAATTATTTCACCTTCTAGTCATTCAGCCTTGGATCTTTTCCCGTTCAATATTAATCCACACTACACCGAGAAGACTATCCCTAATCATGGAGGAGAGTCTAGAAAAGATCGACTTAACGAAGCTTTTGCAGTTAAAAGTCACCCAATTATAGCTCTTCCTGAAGGTACAGGAATCAAAGTTGAAAATGATAAATTTCAGTTCTTCAGAGGAGATCTACCAGAATTTCTTCCATTGATTGTAAAAGTTTGGAAAAAGGGCAAAAATGGTGAACTGGAAATTTTGGAGATACCTCTTGAGCAGCATAATTCCGATTGGAAAACATTTGATGACTTCGATTCAAAGAATTAAATTTCTTTAGCTTCATCGGAACGTGCAATGTTTGGTAATGTTTTACAATACATTGTATGCATTATTATCAAGTATCACCTCAAAGCGAACGAAATTTTAAAAAGATTGATATTGTAATAGTAATTATAAAATTAAGAAGCCTCTTTTATGAAATTATAAACTTTTCTATTGATATAATAAAATAATAACAATAAATAATAATCTTTGATGTTTGTAATGGATTATTTGCAAGGAATTGAAGGAAAGACTAGTGAGAGGGGGGAGTAAGAGAGAAGATAGCAAAGAGTGGTAAGACTTGTTACTTGAATAACACAGTTGATGTTTGTTTTCATTTCAATCTATAGTCATCAAAAGTTCATTTGAAATAAATATGTCTCGTTTTTCATCAATCTTAATTACTGGGGCTAACCGTGGACTTGGTTTGGAATTTGTGAAGCAATTTATAAAATTTGACCCTAAAGTAGACACTATCATTGCTGTTTGCCGAAATCCTGATAATGCTCAAGTAAGCTGTTATTTTAGTGATAGTCTAAAATATAATCAACTTCTCTTTCTGTTTTTTTTTATCATTACAGGAGCTTCAACAAGTTTCTTCATCTACTGATAATGTGAAAATAATTGGACTTGATGTTAAAGATTATTCTAAATATGACCAAGCATATGAACAAATTGAGAAAATCGTTGGTGACAAAGGATTGGATTTACTAATCAATAATGCCGGTATTGCTTTACGAGGGAATCTTGATGTCGTTACTCCACAAGATATGTTGGAAAATTTTGAGGTCAATGCTGTGGCTCCATTGATGTTTTCTAGAAAATTGATTCCACTGGTTAAATCTTCAAAGACTAAAGTGATCGTCAATATTTCGTCAGAGCTTGGAAGCATTGCCAACTGTTCAGGGCAAATGTACCCATACAAAACGAGCAAAGTAAATTCATTTCATTCATTGATTATTGAAGCTTAATATAATTGATCTTTTCTTGAGCTCAGCCTCATTACTGATATTATTGGATTCAATTTTTGAAATAATCGTTTTTCATTTGACATTTCAGGCTGCTTTGAATATGGTTACAAAATGTATGGCTTGTGATTTGAAAAAAGATGACATCACTTGTGTTGCATTGCACCCAGGCTGGGTTGTTACCGATATGGGAGGACCAAGAGCTCATCTCAAAGTGGACGAAAGTATATCTAAAATGATCGAGGTCATTAAAAAGATTGACATTAACTCGACAGGAAGTTTCTTGTCTTATAATGGTGAAACGCTTCCTTGGTAAAAAGTGCTTCAGTTTGATGTTAATTTATAAATTTTGCTGCCTTTCATTTCGATTTTTCCGAAAATTCATTATAACTCATCATTTTATCCTAGTAAAAAAACAGGCTATCAAATTATATACTAACCGAAAAGATGATGTAGAAAGATTAACCAAATTAATAAAATTTATTTTGTTTTAAATTGTTTAAATTAAATGTGATTAAGCATTGTTTTCTTTAGAACTTTTTAGGTATTCTTCATATCTCTTTTCTTGTTGTTCATATAATTTCATCAACTTTTTCAACGAGGACTTGCTAACAGGTTTTCCTTCGGCATCATGAGTTGGTAGACCCTGCAAATAAAAAGTCAATTTAAAGCATTATTAATAAAGTTCAATTTACCTAATTCAAATTAAATGTAACTTGAACTGACCTTATCGTCGAACTGTGAATATTTATCGGTTTGATTAATAAATAATTGAGATGGTGGAATTGCTTTTTGAGCATCTTTGATTCTTTGTGCTTCCTCGAGCTCTTTCTTTTTCCTTTCTTTTTCAAGTATTTTTGCTTCTTCTTGGTTCTTTTTTTCTTGAATCTCTTTGAGAAGAACTTCTTTATCCATGAATCTAATTTTTGTTAACATTTGACCTGCCGTTTCTCTATCTTCCAATTTAACTCCAAGATCCATTAAATTTTGTCTCAATGCATCACATTCTGTTAAAACTTCGTTTTCTTTCCTTTCTAGACCAAACTGTCTCATCTCCAATCTGAAATTAGCTAATTCTTGAATCTTTTCTAGAATTTGTTCTTCTTTACTTTTTAAATCAAGTTGTCCCTGTGGTGGTAATTTCACATCAGCTAGTTCATCTTTTTCCCAAGCTCCAAAGATTCTCATTAAATTAATGATATAATGTTTTACATCAATCAAAATTTTTCTATTTGGACTAAGATTATCCTTCAGGTAAATGTATACATCACTGATTAAACTTGAGACATAACGAAGAGCCAATTTTGTATCAAAATTATCACACAAAGCATCCTCAATACTTTGCTTGACCTCCTCAAATCTAGATGAAAAAGAAAAGTTTTGTATTAAAATAAATCATATTGAATTTAAATTATCTTACTTTATCATGATATCACCATCTCTTCTCGATTTTTTATAAGAAGAAGCTTCATTCAGTAATGCATCTTCAATGGATAATAAGAACTCCTGAAATAAAGAAAGTAAATTAATTTTGATAACTACTTGTATGATTGGTTAGTAACTTACATTGAGATATTTTTCAAATGATATCGCATCTTTCATTGTTTCATCGCTATAATCTAAAGTAGCATTCCAAGTGTGAAGAAGGAAAGCTAATCGCAATTGTCTCCAAGAATGTTTGCTTAATGCATCTTTGATTGTGATGAAATTTTTCAAAGATTTAGACATTTTACATCCTGAGATAGTTAAGTGTCCAGTATGCAAAAAGTAATTCACCCAATTGTCTCCAGTATCATAATAGGCTTCAGACTGTGCCATTTCATTATCATGATGAGGAAATTTTAAATCATATCCACCAGAATGAATATCCAAAGTGTCACCAAGGGTATCACTAGCCATAACTGAGCATTCAATATGCCAACCAGGTCTACCTTTGCCCCATGGACTTTCCCATGACGGCTCACCAGGTTTAGATTTTTTCCAAAGGGCAAAATCATTGGGATGTTTTTTATCTTTAACACTATCACCACCAGTAGATAAAACACCTTCTCCTTCACTCAATGCTTTCAAATCCCCTACAGCTTCGGGAACAAGTTTCGCATATTCGTGCTTTGGTGAAGAACTGAATTTAATTGTATCAAAGTAAACCGATTGGTTAGATTCGTACGCATAGCCATTCTTGATGATCTTTTCAATGTAATCGACGATTTGTGGGACGTATTCACTAACTCTTGTTAATCTACCTGGGCCAGCAACATTCAATTCAACCATATCGTCGAAAAATTCAGACTCATATTTGCGAGGTACATCGATAAATATATCGTTATCGGTAACACTAGACCCATTTTTGAAATCCAAATATTCGTAGAGAACTTCTTTGCATTTTTCGAGATTTTCTGCAACGTTGAGACCATCAAAAACCTTACAACCATCAAAAAGTCTCGTCATCATAGCTTTTTTGTCAGGATCTTCTTCTTTGGTAAGTTTATTCTCATAATATGTTATTGCATTTTGAATATCTTCACGAAAGACTTTCTCGTTAAGTTGACCACTAGAAACTTCAGATCGATACTTTTCATACAAATACAATTGTCTAGCTTTCTTGATAATCTTATCATCAATGTCTGTAATATTCATCACAAAGTCAATATCATAACCGAAATAGCCAGCTAATATACGTCGAATAATATCCAAAGAAATATATGAACGTGCATGGCCCATATGAGAAGAGTCGTAAACAGTAGGTCCACAATTGTACCATAATATTTTTCCAGAATTTTTTGTGAGAAAAGGTTCCTGAAAGTACAAAACAGCTTATTATCAAGTTAAGATGTAAGATTTCATCAAATCATTAAATTTACCTTTTTTCTCGAAATAGAGTTGTAGACAACTAGTTTGTCTCTTCTTTCACGCTGCTCATGTAATTTTATCAACTTGTGCAAAAATGGATCGTCAACTTTTCTGTCTTTGCCATCATCAATTGATTCAATCTGTAAATGAAATGAGTTTAAAAGTCAAAGCTGATTAAATTAATTTGCAAAGCAATACAATAATAGTTCAACTTACCTTGCCGCCAAACTGTGCATAGTTGTCGATCAGATTGAAATATATTTGTGGTGGTGGAATTAATCTCTGCGCTTCTTTCAATATTTGGACCTCTTCTGCATTACTTTTTTGATTTTCCTTGATGTCCAATTGATTACATTCTTTAAGAATATGACACTCTTTTTTATCCAGACCGAATCTTGCCATTGTTTGGTTGAAAACGTCTCTACTCTTAATGATTAGTTCATCCAAATTCGGGGAACCGTATTCAGCTAGAGATGCTAGGGTTAAGCCAGGTTTAGTATCTTTTTCCCATGCTCCGAAAATTTTGAATAAATTGACAATATAATTTTTTATATCAACCAGAGTTTCTTTTTTCGGATTAGGATTATCCGTTAAATAGATTTGCACTTCATGGATAAAAGCCACAATAGCATCAAGAGCACTTTTGGTATCAAAATTATCACACAAAGCATGGTTAATAACTTCCTTGATTTCTTTGAATCTGAATGAAGTAGTAAAGTTTTGTATTAAGATTAAATTATACTCTTGAGTTTTTGTTTACTTACTTTATTTCGATATTATTATCCCTTGTTGATGATTTATAAGTATAAGTTTCATTCATTAGTGCATCTTCAATGGATGATAAAAATTTCTGGAACAAAAAGGACGTAAATTAATTTTGATACAAACTTCTAATATTTATTATTAACTTACATTAAGTTTGGCTTCGAAGTATAATGCCTCTTCCATTGTTTTATCGTTATAGTCAAATGTTTCATTCCAAGGGTGTAGAAGGAAGGCTAATCTCAATTGTCTCCAAGAATACCGGCTCAATGCATCACTTATTTGAACGAAATTCATTTCTTTATCTTGATCTGGTTTCACCATTTCGCTACCACGACTTACAAACTTAATATCATATCCAATCGAATTAATGTCCGAACTGTCTTCAAAAATATATTTCTCGATGAAATCGACACAAGAACAACTATTTCCATCTTCATAACTAGTTAATAAGTCAGGATCTCTGACATTAAAAGCAACCATATCGTCAATAATCTTAGCATTCATTTTCTTGACATTCATTACAAAGTAAACATTGTAGTCAAAAAAGTCAGCAAGTATTCGCCGAATTATATCCAAAGATATCAGTGAACGTGCATGGCTCATGTGAGAAGAATCATAAACAGCAGGTCCACAATGATACCATAATATTCTTCCGGGTTTTCCTGTCTTGAACGGTATCTGTAAGTAAAAATGTTTATGAGATATTTTATAAGAAACATATGGAGTCATCAGTATTTACCTTTTCTAGTGAAATAGGACTATGGACAGCCAATCTATCTCTCATACCTTGACAGGCCATTATAAATAAATTTAGAAACAAATCAATAAAGGAAAAATATCAAACAACCACATCAACACTTAAAATGCTGCAAATGAATGAAGTCAATGATGAAAATAATGATGACAAACATCATCGACATCTGGTGGCTATTATTCTCGTATAAAACATCTGATCTTCATTCTTGCTTTAGTAATTATATTTCATGTGATTATAGCTTAAAAGTTGATTGTTAAATTGAACTTTTGCAAAATGTTAAGATCAATAGTGAAATCTTTAATTTTTAATCAATCAGTCTTACCTCATACACCAGTTGGTCCAAGTGCCATTTCAGCCTTACAAACCCGCAATATTTATTACGACCGTAACACCAGTCAACCTCATACACATCCAGAGGCTCTCAAGAGATATTTCAGACTTCGTTGGGGTGGTTGGATTCGTGCAAGACCAGGCTTTAAACGACACTTATGGAGGAAACCATTCTGGCTGCGTTGGTGGGCAAGTCAACATATTTTTGTGAAAAAAGAGGAATGTGAAATTCTGGAAAGGATGATCGCTCCAAAATACAAAAAGTCTCGTTATTTTGTTGATGATATTTACGAACCTTACCATAAGCGAACCAATTTTGATACATGCCCACCTGGACGAAGTCGAGTCAGCTCTAGCTGGGTTAAGACTGCACAAGAAAATTTGTAATTGAATGAGTGCATCAAAGTAAATGCATAAGAATAAATTAAGTAGATTCAATATTTAATTTGATGTCTAATTTTATTATTCTGGAATTAGTTAATTTCAAACATATTTTGCTTGTAGTTTAGTTTAGTTGTAGTTTGTTTACATTAGTTATTTTATCTTCAAAATGGTAGTTTGATCAAAATTAGGTAAACTAATAACGTGTGTATTCACATTCATTAACCTCGATGTGGTAAATAAGGACGCCAACGTTGGCCGCCAACCCTAGTACAGAATCCATAACAATATTGTTTTATATTGAAATTAACCAGCAGTTTACTCCATTCATCCCCATTATCAGAGTATCTTTCAACAGGAAGTACAGCTTTGATTTGCTTTTGTAACTCGGAGTTTGTAAGTATTCCTATTATCTTGTCCAAGTATACTCTAGTACTTTGATGTTTACACCAGAATTGCTTACAAGCACTTCCATGAGAATTTCTTGAGTCAATTAGGTCAACATTCACATCAAAAAGATGCTCGTGGTCACTTAGGATACCAACACAAAAACGAAGAGTAAAACAATCGCCATCATTAAATTTACTTTTAACAGTTTCCTTTGAATCATTTCTGGCTTCATATCTGTTGGATAAATTTAGGCAAATAATTAGGAACAAAATCAACAAATCAAATAAAACGATTTACCTCAATAAGCGATTTGTATTTCTCAGCCAAAAAAATGATTCTCCATTCGCAATGAAGCTGCAACTTATGTATAAAATTGGTATTCCGGTGTAGACTGCAAGCTATAAGTGTTGATTATTAATAAACAGCTGAATAACCATTTACTTAATCTTACCTGTTGATATATTTGCTGGTGGTATTCACAGGTTTCCTCTGTCCAGTCAATAACAATGTCATGATAATCTTCACCACTCAACTTAACTTTGATTGTTGTTTTATTATTTTCACTCATTTCAGATGAAACTTTACTGATAGAAAAAAATAATTGATAAAATATAAAGATAAAGTTGTAGATAAAGATTAAAAAATTAAAACATATTTAAACTCCCAAACACTTGGTCAAAGTTAACCTTTTTTGGTCACTATTCATTTGAAATGTTAAAATTTCAACAAAAATGCTGCTCAAAAACAAGTTTGGGTTGCTTTGATCGTTTCCAAAGAAACAAAAGCAAATAGTAAAATGGCCGGTTTGAGCTGACCTGACATGATCTGAGCAGATTTCCTGCAAAGCAGATTCTCAATAATAACTATAATCTAAAGTAGCATTCCAAGTGTGAAGAAGGAAAGCTAATCGCAATTGTCTCCAAGAATGTTTGCTTAATGCATCTTTGATTGTGATGAAATTTTTCAAAGATTTAGACATTTTACATCCTGAGATAGTTAAGTGTCCAGTATGCAAAAAGTAATTCACCCAATTGTCTCCAGTATCATAATAGGCTTCAGACTGTGCCATTTCATTATCATGATGAGGAAATTTTAAATCATATCCACCAGAATGAATATCCAAAGTGTCACCAAGGGTATCACTAGCCATAACTGAGCATTCAATATGCCAACCAGGTCTACCTTTGCCCCATGGACTTTCCCATGACGGCTCACCAGGTTTAGATTTTTTCCAAAGGGCAAAATCATTGGGATGTTTTTTATCTTTAACACTATCACCACCTGTAGATAAAACTCCTTCTCCTTCACTCAATGCTTTCAAATCTCCTACAGCTTCGGGAACAAGTTTCGCATACTCGTGCTTTGGTGAGGAACTGAATTTAACTGTATCAAAGTAAACCGATTGGTTAGATTCGTACGCATAGCCATTCTTGATGATCTTTTCAATGTAATCGACGATTTGTGGGACGTATTCACTAACTCTTGTTAATCTACCTGGGCCGGCAACATTTATTTCAATCATATCGTCGAAAAATTCAGACCCATATGAGAAGAGTCATAGACAGTAGGTCCACAATTGTACCATAATATTTTTCCAGAATTTTTTGTGAGAAAAGGTTCCTGAAAGTAAAAAACAGCTTATTATCAAGATAAGATGTAAGATTTCATCAAATCATTAAATTTACCTTTTTTCTCGAAATAGAGTTGTAGACAATTAGTTTGTCTCTTCTTTCACGCTGCTCATGTAATTTTATCAACTTGTTCAAAAATGGATTGTCAACTTTCCTGTCTTTGCCACCATCAATTGATTCAATCTGTAAATGAAATGAGTTTAAAAGTCAAAACTGATTACAATTAATTTGCAAAGCAATACAATAACAGTTTAACTTACCTTGCCACCAAACTGTGCATAGTTGTCGATCTGATTGAAATATATTTGTGGTGGTGGAATTAATCTCGGAGCTTCTTTCAATATTTGGACTTCTTCTGCATTACTTTTTTGATTTTCCTTTCTGTCCAATTGATTACATTCTTTAAGAATATGACACTCTTTTTTATCCAGGCCGAATCTTGCCATTTTTTGGTTGAAAACGTCTCTACTCTTAATGATTAGTTCATCCGAATTCGGGGAACCGTATTCAGCTAGTGATGCTAGGGTTAATCCAGGTTTAGTATCTTTTTCCCATGCTCCGAAAATTTTGAATAAATTGACAATATAATTTTTTATATCGATCAGAGTTTCTTTTTTCGGATTAAGATTATCCGTTAAATAGATTTGTACTTCATGGATAAAGGCCACAATAGCATCAAGAGCACTTTTGGTATCAAAATTATCACACAAAGCATGGTTAATAACTTCCTTGAAGTCTTTGAATCTGAATGAAGAAATAAAGTTTTGTATTAAGATTAAATCATACTCTTGAGTTTTTGTTTACTTACTTTATTTCGATATTATTATCCTTTGTTGATGATTTATAAGCATTTATTACGACCGTAACACTAGTCAACCTCATACACACCTCGAGGCTCTCAAGAGATATTTTAGACTTCGTTGAGGTGGTTGGATTCGTGCAAGACCAGGATTTAAAAGACACTCATTCTGGCCATTCTGGCTGCGTTGGTGGGCAGGTCAACATATTTTTGTGAAAAAAGAGGAATGTGAAATGCTGGAAAATATGATCGCTCCAAAATACAAAAAGTCTGCTTATTTTGTTGATGATATTTACGAACCTTACCATAAGCGAACCAATTTCGATACATGCCCACCTGGAAGAAATCGAGTCAGCTCTAGCTGGATTAAAACTGCACAAGAAAATTTGTAATTGAATGAGTGCATCAAAGTAAATGCATAAGAATAAATTAAGTAGATTCAATATTTAATTTGATGTCAAATTTTATTATTCTGGAATTAGTTAATTTCAAAGATATTTTGCTTATAGTTTAGTTTAGTTGTAGTTTGTTTTCATTATTTATTTTATCTTAAAAATGGTAGTTTGATCACAATGAGATAAACTAATAACGTGTGTATTAACATTTATTAACCTCGATGGGGTAAATAAGGACGAAACTCTTGACGAACCGCAGCCAAAGTACAGTATCCACCTAAATATTGTTTTATATTGAAATTAACCATCAGTTTCATCCATTCATCTCCATCTACAGAATATCTTTCAGCAGGAAGTTCAGCTTTGATTTTCTTTTGTAACTCCGAGTTTGTAAGTGTTCCAATTATCTTGTCCAAGTAAACTCTTGTACTTTGATGTTGACACCAGAATTGCTTACATTCATTACCATGTGAATCACTTGAGTCAATTAGGTTAACATTCGTATCAAAAAGGTGATCGTATCCACTCACGAGATCCACATCAAAATGAAGAGTAAAGCAATCGCCATCATTTAATCTACTTCTAACAGTTTCCTCTGTATGATTCAGGATTTCAGCTCTGTTGGATCAATTTCAGCAAACTATTATAAACAATCAACGATTTTAAATAAATCAACAATATTTACCTCCACAAGCGATTTGTATTTTCCATCAAAATAGCTGACTCGTCTTTCAGTATTATGCTGCAATTTATATATAAAATTGGTATTCCGGTGTAGGCTACAAGCTATAAATATGTTGATTATTAATAAACAGCTCAATAGATATTTGGTTAATCTTACCTGTTGAAATATTTGCTGATGATATTCACAGGTTTCATCTGCCCAGTCAATAACAATGTCATGATAATCTTCATCACTCAACTTAACTTTTATAGTTGTTTTATTATTTTCACTCATTTTACACTTTACCTCAGACTTAACTTAATAAACTTAACCAATAGGAAAAGTGTCTGTTGTTAAGAAAGGAAATGAAAAAGTATTGTGTTAAAAATGAATATTGAGGTTAAAAAATATTTAAACTCCCAAAAACGTGGTCAAAGTCAACCTTGTTTGTTTACTATTCACTTGAAATGTTAGAATTTTAACAAAAATGCTGCTCAAAACGAGTTTGGGTTGCTTTGATCGTTTCCAAAGCAACAAAAGCATATGGTCAAAATACTGTGTTTGAGCTGACCTGATGTGACAGGACTCACATTCGATATCAAATTGTACCAAATAATACTTTAAATACTCGGGATAATTTTTGTGCAATTTGGTCAACTCTTTCTTTAACTCTATCTTTCATTATATTTTCAATGAAAAATTGGCAGTAAAACTAAAACGAGGTACAAAGTGAATTAATATGAATCTTTTAATGTACAAAAAATTGCTATTCGAGTAAAATCAGAGTAAGCTGTAATCGTATAGACACAGAACTTGATAATCCGTGAAACTATGTTCGTGCTGTCCAATTGATGCCAGAGCTTCATTAGTAGTCAATTCCACTCTACCAATCTGTTCATCACCCTTGCGCCCAACTTTTGCTATTTTAATATCATATTTAGATGCATAAATTCCGCCTACTAGAGCACCATTCGAAGCATTATCATCTTTACTGTCTTGCCAAACAAATATTGAATGATCCTCAGCTATGAGTATTTCAAATTCCTTATGTTCATGAGTGTAAAACCAATAAGTAACTTTACATGACGCTTGTTTAGAGCTGTAAGTGCCAGGTAAAATTTCTTCGCCGAAATTGACACGACAAACATAAATTGGTTCAGAGTCATCTTTAGTACCAGCATTAAAAGCATTCACAAGAGATGTCTCTTCATCAACAAACTGTATCCATTGAGGTTTAGTCGATTTAATTTTAAACGCTGTAACAGAACGAATAAAGATAGGACATTTTTACAATGCTTGCAAGAAATGAACATAAGACTTACCATATTCTTGGATGTTGCTTTCTTGGAGGTTTGGAGATCTATTACGTATAGTTATTGTTACCACAACTCCAATTGTTATTACAGTAGCAATTAATGAACAAATAATAGTTAACTGTTTAGTTGACAATGAGTTGAGCTTGATACATGGAGCCATTTCAATGCTCGATCAATTAGAAATATAATTTAAATGAATTGTTGTTTAATTGTTTGTGCTTTACCTAAAAAACTCCCTCAAATACAATCAGTAAATAACAATATCTCATCTCAAACCCCATTTTATTTTAATTATCTTTTATGCACTGAAAGCATATTGATTATCGTAAATAAGATTATTGGTGTTGAATTGTCCTTCGCTGAATGAATAAATCAAAATCAGAATCTGATTGAAACAATTAATCAATAGACGCAACACTGAAGACGCGAGTGACCCAAGAATGATCTACACAAAATTTCTTAAGCAATTTCGCTTATCAAGTCTAGCGATTAAGCAAATCGAAGCAAATAATCTCACAAATCGTTATCATCATCATGAATTGAAATTAAAATACAATTCCATCATTTAAAGCCGCGAAAAATGTAGTTAAAATTTATTAAACTTAAAATGAGTTTTCACAGTAATCAATTTATGACCAAATCATGAAATAAAACGCAATCTTGATTTCAGGTAATGGTTCAGTCGAGTCTTCATTTTCCTCTTCTGAATCTTCTTCATTCAAGTTAATTCAGTTTTCTGGTTATTTAGTAAGTTTTTTGGTTTTTGGGTTTGAAATTTGTTCATTTTATTGAAATCATCTGTAAGATCTAACTAATGTAATAAATAACTAACTGTGATACGAATGTTGAAAATAGTAAACATGGAAATACACAATTTAAATCTCAAATAGTAAAATTCAGAATAAAATTAGATCACAATAAGATAAGGTGTGATTCACATTTATTAACCTCGATGTGGTAAATAAGGACGAGACTCTTGAGGATCCAGATTTGCAGTACAGAATCCTTGAAAATATTGTCTTAGATTGAAATTGGGCAGCAGTTTCCACCATTCATCCTGCAATTCATCTCCATCTTGAGAATATCTTTCAACAGGAAATTCAGCTTTGATTTGCTTTTGAAATTCTGAGTTTTTAAGTATTCCTATTATCTTGTTCAAGTAAACTCTAGTACTTTTATATTTACACCAAAATGAATTACATTCATTGCCATGGGAATTTCTTGAGTCGGTTAGGTTAACATTCACATGAAAAATCTCATCTTGATCATATAGGAATTGCATATTAAAATTCAGAGTAAAGCAATCGCCATCATGAACTCTACGTCTGAAAAATCTAACTGATTCATTGCGGGCTTGTGCTCTGTTGGATCAATTTAAGCAAATCATTAGCATTAACAATTAACAAATAAATTTAAATCAAGAAAAATATTCACCTCCACAAGCGATGCACATTTGACATCATCATAGTTGATCCTCTATTCGTAATGAAGCTTGAACACATAAAAAAATGTGGTATTCCGGTGTAGACTGCAAGCTATAAATATTTGATTATTAATAAACAGCAATAATCATAGAATAATAGAATCAGCAGAATAATCAATTAGTTAATCTCACCTGATCATATATTTGTTGATGGTATTTGTAGCGATAATCAGTCCAGTCAATAACAATGTCATAATAATCTTCATCACCCAACTTAACTTTTATAGTTGTTTTGTTTTCACTCATTTTAGATGAAACTCCAATCGATTTTTAGACAAATATGATGAGATTTATTTAAAATGGTAAAGACTATGAGAAGATATTGTGTTCAAGATGAATACTTGGTGAGAAAATGTCTGAACTCACAAAAACATGGCCAAACAAACTCTTTTTTCGGTTCACTATTTACCAAAATTTCAACAAAATGTTGCTCAAAACAAGTTTGGGTTGTTTGGTGGTTCCCAGAACAACGAAAGCAAATGACTCAAACTACACCAATAGGTGACGCCAACACGAAGCTCTACCAAGTTACAAAGTGCTTTATTGTAATCGGTTAGAGCTGACCTGATGTGACATTTGATATCAAGTTATACCAAAAAGTATTTTAAATACTTATCTTATTTTGTTTATACACGAAACTTACTTTACTGATGTTTCAACACTTTTGGTGAAAAACCAGAAAATTGTTTTACTTTGAGAAATGACATTTTTTGTTACTGTAAAACAAATCTATTTCAACGAGTTTTTGAGAAATTCAATTTGACCTTAAATATCATGGTAATGGTATCATCTACAATCATAGTTCTTGAGCAAACATCAGACTACATTATGGGCTACAATATAATGGAATATTAGAACACTCAAAATACTACTGTATAAAAAATGTTATAGCATTGTATTGCTCATGTAGTCAGATTTGACTTGGTAAAGTTACTAAACACAAATCTTATTCTTGGTATGTTAGAAGGATCTTCATTAGTTTAATCTTCAGAATGAAAATTTGATCACAATTAGGTATATTAATATGATACATATTCACATCTATTAACCCCGATTGGCTGAATAAGGATGACAGCCTATTATCTTGTCGAAGTAAACTCTGGTACTTTGGTATTGACACCAGTATAGATTACCAGTTTCATTATATGTTTAATAAAAACTGGTGCATTAAAACTGAAAACGAGAAGCAAAGTGGATTAATATGAATCTTCTGATTTGCATTAAATTGATATTCGGTTATAATCAGAGTAAACTGTAATCATATAAACACAGAACTTGATATTCTCTAAATTTATGTTCGTATTGACCAATTGGTGCTAGAGCTTCTTTAGTGGTCCAATCCACTCTACCAATCCGTTCATCATCCTTGCGCCCAACTTTTGCTATTTTAATATCATATTTAGATGCAGAGATTCCTCCTATTAGTGCACCATTTGAAACATTATCATCATAACTATTAACATCTTGCCAGACAAATATTGAATGATCCTCAGCTATGAGTATTTCAAATTCCTTATGTCCATGAATGAAATAATCATAAGTAACTTGACATGACGCTTGGTTAGAGCTGTAAGTTCCAGGTAAAATTTGGTCGCCGAGATTGACACGACAAACATAAATTGGTTCAGAGTGATCATTAGTACCAGCATTAAAAGCATTCACAAGAGATGTCGCTTCATCAACAAACTGTATCCATTGAGGTTCAGTCGATTGAATTTTAAGCGCTGTAACAGAATGAATAAAGATAAGACGATTTTTACTCATGAAATGAACATGAGACGTACCATATTCTTGGATGTTGCTTTCTTGGAGGTTTGGAGATCCATTTCTTATTGTAATTGTTACCACAACTCCAATTGTTATTACAGTAGCAATTAATGAACAAATAATAGTTAACTGTTTAGTTGACAATGACGTGAGCTTGATACATGGAGCCATTTTAATGCTCGACCAATTATAAATATGATTTAAATGAATTGTTGTTTAATTGTTTGTTTTTTTACCTAAAAAACTCCCTCAAATACAATCAGTAAATAAAAATATCTCATCTCAAACCCGATTTCATTTGAATTATCTTTCATGTACCCAAAACATATTGTTTCTAGTTAATTAGATTATTGGTGTTGAATTGTCTTTCGCTGGATGAATAATGCAGCTAAATCTAAATCAGATAAACTTCAGAAACTGATTAAAACATTTAAGCAATAGACGCAACACTGAAGATGCAAAATTTCTTGAACAATTTCGCTTATCGATTCTAGCGATTAAGCAAAACAAGACAAAAAATCTCACAAATCGTTATCATCATCATGAATTGAAATTAAAATACAATTTCATCATTTTAATCACTGATACTTCATTTGACAAGTAGTATCTTTGCTCAACAGAAAGAATTAATTGTCAGATTGTTTCATCTAAAATCGAGAAAAATGTAGTTACCATTTATTAATAAAACGTAAAATGAGTTTTCACAAATGTTGTGTTTGAAGTTTGATAATTTTGATAGTTTAGCATTATTAATGATTAAAAATTTTATACCTAAAAATCTAAGTGTAATAACTAACTGTAATACGAATGATAATGAAAATAGTGAAACACTGAAATACACAATTTACTTCTCAAAAAGTAAAAATTTGATCACAATTAGCTAACTGATAACGTCTGTATTCACATTTATTAACCTCGATGTGGTAAATAAGGACGCCAACGTTGATGGGCATGTAAAGTACAGAATCCTAATAAATACTGTTGTATATTAAAGTTAACCAGCAGTTTCATCCATTCATCCCCATTATCAGAGTATCTTTCAGCAGGAAGTTCAGCTTTGATTTTCTTTTGTAACTCCGAGTTTGTAAGTATTCCTATTATCTTGTCCAAGTAAACTCTAGTACTTTTATGTTTACACCAAAATGAATTACATTCATTGCCATGGGAATTCATTGAGTCGATTAGCTCAACATTCACATCAAAAAGATGATCGTGATCACTTAGGAAATGAAGACAAAAACCAAGAGTAAAGCAGTCGCCATCATTTAATCTATTTCTAACAGCTTCAGCTGCTCTATTCCTGGCTGTATGTCTGTTGGATAAATTTAGGCAAAAAATTAGGATGAACAATCAACAAACTAATTTAAATAATTAAGCAGAAACATTTACCTCCACGCGCGATTCATATTGCGTATCCAAAAATATGATTCTCCATTCTTAATGAAGCTGGAACTTAAGTACAAAATTGGTATTCCGGTGTAGGATGCAATCTATTAATATAAATGTTCTGATTATTCATTCTGACAGTCGAATAATCATTCAAATAATCTTACCTGTTGAAATAGTTGTTGATTGTATTCACAGGTTTCATTATTCAAGTCAATAACAATGTCATGATAATCTTCATCACTCAACTTAACTTTTATTGTTTTTTTGTTTTCACTCATTTTAAATTTTCATTTATTGCTAGGCTTTGCTGGTGAAATTTATTCAAATAGAAAAGATGAAGATGAGAAAATATTTTGTTCAAGATGAATACTTAGAAAATATCTGAACTCTCAAAAACGTGGTCAAACCAACTCTTTTTTGGTTTACTAAAAATGTTGAAATGCTGCTCAAAACAAGTTTGGGTTGCTTTAGTCGTTTCCAAAGCAACGTAAGCAAATGGATCAAAATAATCGGTTTGAGCTGACCTGGTGTGACGGGACTTACATTCAAGTTGACAAGTTATACCAAAAAATATTTTAAATACTTGATATATTTTTGATATCATTTGGTCGACTCTTTCTCTCTTTCATTGTATTATATTATATTTTCAATAAAAACTGGTGCATTAAACTTCAAACGAAAACGGTGCTGAAAACGAGAAGCAAAGTGGATTAATATGAATCTTTTAATTTGCAATGAATTCGGTAATAATCAGACTTAACTGTAATCGTTTTAAGGTTCGTAAAATAGGTGTTTATATCAAAATTTAATCTAATTCTATTTTTCATCCAATCAGGTCACAACCGATTGGAGCTCTAAAGGTTTCCTTACAACCCGATACTGTCTCAGTGGATGAAAGCTGTAGATATAAACAGAACCTTCCATGTTTCAATATTACTTATTGTATGATTCTGAGAGGACAATATCTTAATGGTCTACATACGGTCGAAGTTAAAATTGATATTGATACATTATTAGGATCTGATGGATCAATGTCAAGAGGACAATTTATCGTTAATAATGAAAAGCTGAAATCATTCCGTAAAGAAACGTTGATCGAAAGGGATAAAAGGTTTTGTGAGAAACCGATTCAAGTCATGATTAAAGTAAGTTAACTTCGATTTGCCATTTTATGATTAAGCTTCGTACTAAAACAATTTTTATTTACTCAAAATACAGAAAGATATTCGGGATAAATTAACTCCACTAGAGTTTACACTAAATTACCAATTATTGAACAGATTACCCCAGTTCTGCTCTAACTGTCCACACTTGATCGACACCTCAACAATATCCGAGACAATACCTTTTGAAACTGGCTGTGGAGATGATGGAGTTTGTGTTTCGGATGTAACCATGTCTTTATTTTTGGCCAACAAAACAAGCAAACTTGGATCACTTATTGAAGGTTTTCACAGTTCTGTTTATCTGATTATTGCTCTTAACAATGCTGGTGAAAATGCTCATGCAGCCAAGATAACATTGACTGTTGAACCACCTTTAAAAACATCTTTTGAAAGCATCACATTTTATGAAACCAATGATACGAGTTTAACGCTGAATCTGGATGTTGGTAATTTTCTTGGTTGATTGATTGAATATTAGAGATCTTCTTTTGAATGTAGCTTTCGTGTTGTGTCCTCATCACTCCCAGGGTCAATTACCTTGGCAATTTGTTTTGTTTGAAAGTCTAACAAAGAATTGGTTCAACATTGGACCTGATTTTATCGACTGGAAAAGATTGGATTTTTTGTTGTACAAAAAAATCATTTCATTGGTTGCAATAAGGTCGGACGAAAAAAAGTCAAAATAAAAGTGAAGATTACAAAATTTTTTATCTGAAAATAGGAAAACCCATTGATAGCAACGGAAAAATGAAGAAAAAATTTTGGTCGCCAAATCAACATTCATTAACCACGATGTGGTGCATAAAAACGACACTTTCGAGGGCCCGAGGTGTAAATACAGCGTCCATGTAACTGTTGTCTTATATTGTAATCGGTCAGCAGTTGCTTATATTCATCGCTAGCTTGGGTAAATTGGACAGGAAGTTGAGCTTTGATTTTCTTTTGTAGCTCAGTGTTTTTAACTATTCCTATCATCTTGTCCAAGTAAGCTCTGGTATTTCTGTGTTGACACCAGAATATATTACATCCATTATCATTGCAATAGCTTGAGGCCATTAGGTCAACAGCAAAATCAAAAAGCTGATCTTGATCTTTACAGATATATGTACAACAACGAAGATTAAAGCAATCGCCATCATTAAATCGACTTCTATTTCTTTCATTTACATCAAAAACGGTTGGAGGTCTGGTGAATCTATTTAAGCAAGCTATTAGCAATACGTATTGTATTAAAATATTTAGTATAAACATTTACCTCCATAAGTAATCTGTATTTTCCAGCCCAAAAGGTATATTGAAATTTCCAGGAAGTATGTAGCTGTTTTTTATATAAAAAATTGGTATTCCGGTGTAGGCTGCGAGCTGTAAATGTTTTGAGCATTAATAAACGGCAGAATAATGATAGAATAATAGAATCAGCAGAAAAATCAATTACTTAGTCTTACCTGTTGATATATTTGTTGATTGTATTCACAGGTTTCATCTTCCCAGTCAATAACAATGTCATGATAATCTTCACCACTCAACTTTACTTTTAAAGTTGTTTTGTTTTCACTCATTTTAGACGAAACTTTATTGATAATCAGGAAAATATGTCGGATGAAATTTATTAAAAATGGTAAAGACTATGAGAAGATATTGTGTTCAAGACTAATACTCTGTAAGAAAATGTCTGAACTCACAAAAACGTGGTTAAAGCCAACCCTTTTTTAGGTCACTGTATCACTAAAAAAGGTTAAAAAAATGTTGACTTAAAACTAGTTTTGGGTTGCTTTGACCAATAATAAATAGGTTACTAAAACAACAAGAGCAAAATCTTCTGAGCACATTCGATATCAAATTAAACCACAAAATATTTTCAATACTTCATCTGGTAAAGGCCCAAAACAGCCAAGTCAAAACAGCCAAGCTCAAAACAGCCAAGTCCAAAACGGCCAAAGTCAGAACAGCCAAATACAAAGCTGCTTAAATCATATCAATTCAAATTGCAAAAAAGTCCACAAAAAACCTTTCTATGGATATTGATAAGATAATTAATTATAGTTGATTAACTCCGATCGAGTCCTTGAATAACCTTGAGCGCTCGAACTTATTGTTGTTCAATCTGCATAAGCACATGGTTCAAGTCTGAGGTATGTAGCACTAACCGTTCGGAACTGTTTTGACTTCATATATTGTATAGATATAGACTAATAAAACGTAAAATGGGGTTTCACAGCAACCGGTTTATAAACAAATCATGAATTAAAGAAAATCGTGATTTTGGAAATGGTTCGTCGAGTCTTCATGTTCCTCTTCTGAATCATCTTTATTCAAGTTTATCTCATTCAATATACTGATTCCGTTTTCTGGTTATTTAGTAGTTCCTTTCATTTTTAGGCTTAAAATTTGTTCATTTTTATTGGAATCTTTTAAAAAATCTACAATTTTGATAAACAAACTCTATCCTAGTAGGTAAAGGAGTAGCTGAAAATATTGAGCCTTTTGATTTGAATCCTTTTGACTTTTTTTGTAAATTAATTTTAAATGATTAAGAATTTTTATTAAAATTTTTAAGAAAATTTTGTTGATTATAATTGTAGTTTGCTAATTGTGAAGTATTGTGAGTATAATATCTAACTGTAATACGAATGATAATGAAAATAGTAAATTACGGAAATGCACAATTTACTTTACAAAAAGTAATCTTCAGAATAAATAGTTTGATCACAATTAGGTAACTAATAACGTGCGTATTCACATTCATTAACCTCGATGGGGTAAATAGGGACGAAAATGTTGCCGAACCTGATTCAAAGTACAGAATGCATATAAATATTGTTTTATATCGAAATTGGCCAGCACATTCATCCATTCATTAAAATTGTCAATGAATCTTCCAGCAGGACGTTGAGCTTTGATTTTCTTTTGTAACTCGGAGTTTGTAAGTATTCCTATTATCTTGTCCAAGTAAACTCTTGTATTTGTGTGTTGACACCAGGAACGATTACATTCATTACCATGGGAATTTCTTGAGCTGATTAGGTCAACATGCACAGCAAAAAGATGATCGTGATCACTGCTGAGCCACACACAAAAACGAAGATTAAAGCAATCGCCATCATTAAATCTACTTCTAACAGTTTCCTTTGTATCATTCCTGATTGAATCTCTGTTGGATCAATTTCAGCAAAGTATTAGCATGAAAAATCAACAAATAAATTCAAATAATTAAGCAGAAACATTTACCTCCATAAACAATTTGTATTATTCAGCAATAAGGATGATTCTTCTGTCTCAATGAAGCTGCAACTTATATATAAAATTGGTATTCCGGTGTAGGCCGCAAGCTATAAATGTTTTGGTTAGTAATAATCAGCAGAATAATAATTTACTTAATATATACTGTATAATAATATACATATTTACTTAGTATTCACTGAATAATCATAACTTAATCTTACCTGTTGGAATATTTGTTGATGGAATTCACAGGTTTCATCTGTCCAGTCAATAACAATGTCATGATAATCTTCACCACTCAACTTTACTTTTATACTTGTTTTATTATTTTCACTCATTTTGATTGAAACTTTATTGATTTCTAGGAAAATATGTCGGATGAAATTTATTATTATATTAAAAATGTTGAAGACTATGAGAAAATATTGTGTTCAAGATTACCACTTCTGTTTGAAAATGTCTAAGCTCACAAAAACGTGGTTAAAGTCAACCCTTTGTTTGGGCTGTATCACTAAAAATGTTAACAAAAATGCTGGCTCAACAGTTTTGGGTTACTTTGACCAAGAGAAAAATCGGTTTCTCAAACAAAATAAGAAAATAGTCAGCTGGCATGAGCTACGCAGATTCGTTATCAAATTATCGCACAAAATATTCTCAATGCTTGATTCTCAGCTATAAGTATTTCAAATTTTTTATGTTGTAATGTTATGAATGTAATATCAATAAGTAACTTGACATGACGTTTGTTTAAAGCTGTAAGTTCCAGGTACAATTTGGTTGGCGTCAGGGCGATTTACACGACAAACATAAACTGGTTCAGAGTCAATATTGATACAATATTGAAAGCATTCACAAGAGATTTATCAAGGTTTTAGTATTGTAATGCAATCTTATTTACTCTTATATCGAAAGTCAGATTTTTAAACATATTTATGTATTCAAGCTATTTATGATTTATTTTGGTTTTTTTTTCGACAATTAAACTTATCGAATCTAGCGATTGAGTAGCCCGAATCAAATATCTAACAAATTATTATAATTATGATTTAAAGTGTTTATTACACAAATTGAAATTGAAATTCAATTTCATGAAATAAAAGACAATCGTGATTTCGGAAATGGTTCAGTCGAATCACCATTTTCCTCTTCTGAATCATCTTCATTTAGGTTTATCTCGAGCTCTTTCAGCATATTTGGAGTTATTGCCATGCTGTATCGTTGTTTGAGTACTTCTGTTTGCTGTCTCGTTTTCCGTTGAAAAAATCCAACCTGTTGCAAGTAAATAATTCATGAATTTTTTGCACTAATTGGTTGAAATTGAAAACCATTAAACATGGATTTGAAAATAGTTACCTTGACTAGAGCAATAATTATTAAAAGAAACAAAAATAAACCAGCAAATGAGCATCCTGCAATAATCCAAAAAGAAGCAGCTTCTTTGTAAGGCAATTGATTCAATTGAACTTCAGACAGGGCTGATTGTGACCATTTCCCATTTCCAGTGACCATTGAATCCAGAAAAGCCGTTTTTGCTTCAGCTGTGTAATTGAATACACCAATATGGGATCCAAATGATTTCTGTAATTTTTGCAAGTTTACCACAACAATCAGCCTAATATTAACTGATTTTGATCCTGGTCCAAAACTACCAAGTCGACATTCAATATCTTTACAACTAGTAGTTGAACAATCCTGAAAAATAATATGATTATATTATTATTATGTTAAAAAAGCATTTGAGAGAATGGTTTCCATTATGTGAACTGATTATTAAGTAAAGTCTTTTGACCGACAGGATCATATTTTCGATCTATCAATCTAATCTATTTTATACTAGGTGATGACCAGCTAACATAACAAAACTCACCAATTTAGTTACAGGATCTGTGGACAAATTTATGCTTTCATTGATTGATCGTTTCTCTCTTGAAATCGAAATTTCCTCGCTTGATCGGAGAGCTTCTGACATTACCATTCCATTGGATGAATCCTCAACTGGCATCTGTTCTAAGCCTGATTTGCTCAATTCACATGTGATTGTTGTTGAATCTAAAGACTAATTGTAAGAGAATACAAAGTATTGATTACTTCAAATGTGGACATTAAGGATACATATCATAACATACCTCGATTTTGGGTTTGAAAATAAAATTAGGTTCGTTTGGCAATGAAGCTGGTAAATGAAAAACAACAACTGGACTCCGAATTGAACTATAATCAGTCTTGAAAATTGTGAAAATCAAAACAAATCGTTCATAATGTTTTGACCGAGTGTCTGGATGGTCGAAAAATACAGGCATACTTTCATGTCTAAATGAAAAAAGTAGAAAATTGATTAATTTTGGTTAAACTAGATATCAGTCGACTTAACGTACCCAATAATGTCCAAATGAGCAAATCTTTCAACTCCAATTGTCAACGAGCTTTTAATCGGTTCACCTCCTGCATAATCACTTTTGGTAGTGAAGACAGAAAAAAAATTGATCTTTGAATGTTCAATAAGAGACGATCTTAGATCGAAAAGAATTTGTAATTCTTTTGAACCAGGGCCAAGAGGATTACCAACATCCAGATTCAGCGTTAAACTCGTATCATTGGTTTCATAAAATGTGATGCTTTCAAAAGATGTTTTTAAAGGTGGTTCAACAGTCAATGTTATCTTGGCTGCATGAGCATTTTCACCAGCATTGTTAAGAGCAATAATCAGATAAACAGAACTGTGAAAACCTTCAATAAGTGATCCAAGTTTGCTTGTTTTGTTGGTCAAAAATAAAGACATGGTTACATCCGAAACACAAACTCCATCATCTCCACAACCTGTTTCAAAAGGTATTGTCTCGGATATTGTTGAGGTGTCGATCAAGTGTGGACAGTTAGAGCAGAACTGGGGTAATCTGTTCAATAATTGGTAATTTAGTGTAAACTCTAGTGGAGTTAATTTATCCCGAATATCTTTCTGTAGTTTGAGTAAATAAAGATTGTTTTAGCACAAAACTTGATCATAAAATGGCAAATCGAAGTCAACTTACTTTAATCATGACTTGAATCGGTTTCTCACAAAACCTTTTATCACTTTCGATTAACGTTTCTTTACGGAATGATTTCAGCTTTTCATTATTAACGATAAATTGTCCTCTTGACATTGATCCATCTGATCCTAATAATGTATCAATATCAATTTTAACTTCGACCGTATGCAGACCATTAAGATATTGTCCTCTGAGAATCATACAATAAGTAATATTGAAACATGGAAGGTTCTGTTTATATCTGCAGCTTTCATCCACTGAGACAGTATCGGGTTGTAAGGAAACCTTTAGAGCTCCAATCGGTTGTGACCTGATTAAATGAAAAATAAAATGAAATGAAATTTTGATTTAAACACCTATTTTACGAACCTTAAAACGATTGCTTTATCAGAAAAAGGAGCCCCAATCACCAAATCTGGATATTTGTTGCCATCAATATCAACACCAGCTGCTATACTGAATCCAAATCCTTTTAAATTGTACGAAGGAAAATCGGAACAAGATATTTTCTAGAGAAACAATAAAATTTGATGATTATTTTGTTAATTCAATTATTCAAATTACTTACCTGTGAATATAATCCAGAAAGGCCGACTTTGCTTCCATGATAGATGTAAATTGATCCGCAGTCATCATCTTCATAAGGAGCTCCAATTACAATATCTTGAATGAAATCATAGAATTGCATAAAATAATTAATTATCTTGCAGAAGATTGAACATTATAGTATTTTTAATACCTTTATATCCATCAAAGTTAATGTCACCAAGTTCAGCTAAAGTTGATCCAAATCTGGATTTAGGTGTTCGATCTCCATATAAAAAAGTTGGGTTAAGAAAATGCTAAAAACAAAAATGCAACAGTTTAAAATGATCCTTAGGTTTGCATAGGATACTAACCACATCGTTACTTTGATAAATGTAAACTCTTCCAATGTCACCTCTTCGTGAAATATCAGGAGAGTATAGAGGGGCACCAACAATCAAATCATCCATCAAATCACCATTAATATCAGCAATCAATATAGAGTAGCCAAAGTATTCGCCAATTTCTTGTCCTCTTAAAACTTGATATCCATAAATGCTTGTGAGTTGTTCGGAAGCAAGTAAAGTTTCAACACGAAAATAATAAACCTAAAAAGCATAATTAAAGGTTTTTTTCTGTTCCAGCAGTTAAGATTGAATTTATTTACCGCTCCTGTATCACCTTCTCTTGGCGCACTACTTGCGATGTAAATATGACGGCTTTGAAATAAACGGCCAGAAGCGATTGCATAACCAAAATAAGAGTCAGATGATGCTTGAGCAAGGGGTAAATGACGAATCAAGGGGAAAGAGTAGGAACTTCCAGGTGTATATAAGACAATTGCTCCTCTCCATGTATAAAATCCAGGTGCTCCAATGACCAATAGACCATTTTCCTTATTGAAATAGATGATTCAGTTAGTAACGATTCAAAAGGGTAAAAAGTGACTTACTTTAATAAAAAGACTCGAGAATCCAAAAATTGAATGCGAATAGTGATATTCCTTACCCACAGTTTGAGAACCTATCAACAGATAAAAATTGTAAACATGGTTTACATTTGAAACATGTAGATTAATGTTACGTCTTTTGCTTTTCCAAGTTTTGTTGACTTACTTCTACTCTTGAATGGTTCAATCATTTGATCATATTTTGAGTTTCCATTTGGTTTAATAAAATTACAGGCTCCATTTGGATAGTAAGATGTTTCAGCTTGATATTCATTAATCCGAAGGAAGGAACAAGCAATAACCTTATTTGATGCAGCTGATGATCCAAATTTGGTTGCTATTGAAGAACCAAGTAGCATGTTTTCAATTGTATCCACATTATCCTCTGAATAAAGAATCGTCATTTGTTAATCACTACAGTTTGATTAGATAGTTTTAAAAACATACTTGCAGGATCCATTATCTGGTTACATTGTGAAGTTGAATTGTTCAATGGGCAGTCAAAAACGGCTCCAGTCCTTATTGATGGATATTTGAGGGAAAATTGTTTTGGAGCTCCGATGAAAAATCTGTTTTAGTTAACCCAAGTTAATGATTAAAATTAGATTTAAAAACTATTCTGCTTAATTTGTACTGTAAACTCACCTTACTTGCCTATTTTGATAAAAAGCTAGGGACGCACCGAAATCGTTGCCACTGGCTGATGACTTCAAAAGTATTGGAAATTTGGTATCGATATTTGAAGAATAAGTTAATGACCAGATAAATGAAAACAAAAAAAGATTTAGTAACAATTCTGGAATTAAAAAGATCATTTTGAGAGCTTGTTAAACAAGGTTCCACTTAAATCATGAGAATCTTACATTATGCTCATTCGAAATTCACAATTTTTCAAAGGATGTTAACAGGAAACGGGAAGCTGACATTATTTACAGTCAAATTTGTTAAAATCGATATAAAATTGAAATTTAGACTGAAATTCACATACATTTTAAACAAATTCAGGCTTATTATAAGGATTAGATTGCAGGAATTAAAGGAATCTTCAATATATCAATAGACATGTTGATTGAAATGAAGCAAAGTTATCAGATGTAAATTTGTATATTTAACTCAAATTTATTGCAGATACTATTGTAATTATTCATAAACTATCTTCATCTTGCGATTTTTTCCGTTGAATTTTGGATGATTGTTTATACTTTAATTATAAAGTTTAATAATAAAGGTTTGATCAAAGAATAATAGCTTCACTCGACATCGATTACCATCGATAGATCGATTCAATATTTTGTTTTTCATCAACAATTTTCAACGTGACTTTATTTTTCTGTTTGTTCCCTGATTTAACTTGAAATTTATTTTGTTTTTGTGATTATTTTGTTTATTCTCGATCTGTATGCCATGGAAGGAACATTCAAGCCAAAACATTGTAAAAAGCTTTTCAAATTGGTTACCAAAAAATCCAAGATTGGGAAAAGTGACAATGTGCAACAGAAGGATGATTTTTTACCAAAACTAAAACCTAAAAACTTCAAAATCAAACCTAAACTATCACGTAGTGGAAAATTGAATGTACATTGTAAAAAGCATTTGGAATATTCCCAGTTTAGAGCTATGAATGAATTCATTTACAGCAATAACAGTCGAAGTGGGTTCGATTACATGAAAGATGCAGACAGATTCAATAAATACCACGAAGCATATGAAGAAATTGTTCGTAAATGGCCAGTGAAACCTGTTGACTATATCGTGAAGAAAATTGAAGAGTTTGCTGGTCCTGATTGGGAGAAAGAATGGGTTATTGCAGATCTTGGTTGTGGTAAGAAGCCAACAATTAAGCAGAAACTTCCTAAAGCTAAGGTTCACTCATTTGATGCAGTATCTCGACATCATGATATTATAGCATCAGATATAACCAAGGTTCCTCTGGAAGATCATTCAATTGATATAGCTGTTTATAGTTTATCCTTGATGGCCACCAATATCAAAGATTTAATTTGTGAGGCCAATAGGCTATTGCGGAAAAAGGGTATTCTCATGATTGCTGAGGTATCATCACGGTTCGAAGATGAAAGTGTAGATAAATTTCAAGAAAAGTTGAAACAATATGGATTTGAAGTGGTAGAGAAACAATTTTTACCTCCAAATGATTTTTTTGTTTTCATTCTTGCTACCAAAAAGAAAAGCCTGAAGAAGGAAAACATTTCAGAATTACCTGCAATAACTTTAAAACCATGTTTGTACAAGCCTCGTTAAATTAAACTATTTTTTCTAACATTAAATTTGTAAAATGAATGTTATTATATTGAAGTCTAATAATAATTAATGGATAAATAAACTATACAATGTAAATGAATAAATATTGTTTGAAATTCAACTTTGCCGCGTTGCTTTTAACTTTACTTTGCTCGCTTCTCATTGGCTCATTTGTTTTCAATTTTTGGAGCCAATTCCAACAACTTTTTTGCTTTGGTTACCTCGGTTGCTGAGTTTATAATTGTAAACATAATTTTGCTTCATCTGTTAATCATCAGTAAAGATTTGTCATTTAAATGGATGATCAAAGGATTGATCATTTTTTACAAGCCATTCCTGAGGAATCGTCTTATAACACCAACTCAGCTGCTCTCAGGTAATTCAACTTAATTTAACAACTCTTTTTGTTTAATTTTTTCTTTGTGTTTTTGATGTTTAGCCCGAGTCAAGATTCATTCAGCTCTCTTGATGGGACTCATTATTTGAGTATTTCGTTAGATGATACTCCGATTCTGCCTGCCATTGATGGAAAAAAAGTTAAATCCTTTGAAGAGCTTGTTGAAGAAGCGTTGAAAAGAGATGACAGTCCTGCAAATCTTGACGATTCAGATAAGCCGAAAAAACCTTTTCTGAGAAAAGGTTCTGGCCTAACAAGGTTTGCTCCAAAATCTGATGAACCAAAAAGAGAGCGTCGTACTTGTTGCAAGAAAAAACTAGAACAACAATTTCGCAGTGAAGCTGAGAAATGTGTGCAAAAATCTGATGAATATTGTCCAAGAAAAATAGATGCAAACAAAACCAATGGAAGTGCTCGAAGTAAAAAAGTTACCATAAAATCTGCACCTCAAGTGGCTAAGCGATCTGGATCAAATAATTCGGAAATTCAAAATGGTTTAAATAGATATTCAGTTGAGCCAAAAAAAGTTCAACCAAACAGGAGATCATTATCTGGACAGGGTTTGTCCAACGTAATCCTTTCGCAATATTCTAGTGATTTTGAACCCATCCAACAAAAAAAGAATAATGTTATATCTCACGGAATCATTTCAACGGTACGCAAACCTAATTATTTATAATTCTAAGTTTTTGTTTGAATTTAATTTCTATCTTTTATCATAGGATAATAACACAAAATCCCCCAAAATCTCAACCAAGGATAAAAAAGTGAATTTTGAGGATGATGAGCCTCGAGTTGTAGCTTTGGAACGACTTTTAAGAAACATAAGAATGAAACAAAGCAAACTCCAGCAATTACAAGAATTGCAATCCGATGATGATAGTTGGGAAGATGAATATGAAGAACCAGAAGTGATCAGAAAAGATGCGAAAATAAAAAATTTGCCCAAAAGTAAGATTAATAAAAAACTCACCCGAACAGGAACCTTTACATTGGGTAAAATGAATTCAACTAAAGATTCTGAATCCAATCCTCTTTCGGCTCCAAAAGTCAGCAATTATACAATATCACTTAAGCGTAAAATTGAAACATTGGAAGATCGATTGCACCAACTAACTACCAAGTGTCAACAAAACATTGCCGATTACAAGTCTCACGAAGCCCCAAGTGAAGAGAAATTTTCCCCGGAGAAGATTTTTTCTGAAATGAATGAAATTAAGAAGCATCTTTTTTCATTATCAAATAAGTTAGAAACAATCGAATCAAAATTATTGAAAAAAGAATCACAAACGCAAGGATTGAAAATAAACTTACCTTCATCCAGTTCAAAAGTATTGACATCACCTGAAACATCTCTTTATTCACAAATACAACAACTCCAGACAGGAACACATTTAACGCTCAGTAATGGTGATCAGATAATGAAAACAAGTGACAATACTATTGTAAGTATTTTTATTGATATCTATACACTAAATTGTATTTTAATCTATTTTTTTCATTTTGATTAATTTATCCCCAAGATTTATAGTTATATATCTGGAGTGAGGCAAATAACTTATACTGATGGAACTCGTGTTGTTGAATTTCCCAGGTAAAATTTTGAAATTGATTTTTCTATCGATAATTGCCAGAAATTTAATTCCAATTTCATTCTTTTATTAGTGGTCAGATTGAAAGGGTTGGCACTAATGGTACTAAGACCATATTTTACCCTAATGGTACTCAGAGAGTAATTCGTCCGGATGGTTCAGAGGAAACAATAACTCCTGATGGAACGATCATTAGAGTATCAGTAGATGGAACTGAAATAATTGAACTTTCCAATGGAGAAAGAGAAATACGAACTGGCGAGTTTAAAAGAAGAGAGTATTTAGATGGAACAATTAAAACTATCCATGTCGATGGAACTGAAGAGACCCGATTTGCGAATGGTAGATTACGAATCAAAGATAAGGAAGGAAATTTAATTGCTGATTCTTTGATTACACAATTCAAGGGTCTAACATAAGATCAATTTGGTGCAACATTTTTCGACATTTAATGGCATTCTTTTAAAAATCACTGAGAATCATTTTAATTTTTGTTGTTTTATTTATTTTCTGTCATATTCATGATTTATAGGTATACTTAATTTTTTACAAATTACATGAATTATAATTTATAATAAAATATACCTTATGTTAATTATGATACATGATGCATTTGCTTGGAAAGAAAATTCTTAAATAATGTAATAATAATGTAAAGCTGAGATAATTCCAGTATTAGATCAATCAGACCCGCTTCTTCTTCTTCTTTTTAGGTTCATCAGTTTCATCGCCAACCTCCGGTGCAGAAATTGTTTCATCAAATTCACTTTTGATTGCAGCTAATTTTTTCGCTTTCTTGGCGAGTTTCTTGGCCTTTTTGCGAGCGGATTCACTGTCTTCAACTCCTTCGTCTACCATTGAGCCATTATTTTCATCAGTGATCATCTCATCCAGGCCATTGTTTTGATCGATCTCTGCAGCATTTTTTTGCTTCTTCTTTTTCTTTTTCTTTCCACTTTTTTCATTTTGGTTATCAGCAATTGAATCATTTGCTTCATCGTCAACGTTCATTCCATCACCAATCTGTGAGTTTTCTTGATCAGCCTCTGAAGCATTGCTTTGCCTATTCTTTTTCTTCTTCTTCTTTCCACTCACTGGGGTATCAACGTTCATTTCGTCAGCATTTTCTTGCTTAACATCTACAATGTCGCTTTTCTTCTTCTTCTTTTTGGGTTCACCAGTTTCATCGGAAGCTTCCAAGTTGGAAATAGTTTCATCAAACTCATTTTTAATTGTGGCTTCTTTTTTAGCTTTCTTTGCAAGTTTCTTAGCTCTTTTGTCAGCTAAAATACGAGCCTTTTCACTAGCCTCGACCATTACATCGATGTTCTTTTTGGGTACGTTTCCATTTTCATAGAAAGCAAGTCTTTCTTCAACTTGGTCTTTCAATGTAACTCCGAATACATCTGCTGGCTGTTCATTAAAGCAATCAATTCGAGAAGCAATTGAACATTTATTTGCCAAGAATCTAGAAATGCGACCTTTATTTTTAGGTCCTGCTTTAGAGATGAAACTTGAATGGAAAAGAAGACCATGCTTGGGGGTGTTACCACGTGTTTTTAAAGCTCTAAACAAAGCTTTTTCGGCTCCTAAAATCTGGACAGTCGAAGCTGGATACTTGGCTAAATTGATCAAACTACCAGCATGAGATATAAGACGAGCTCCAACCTATTAAAGTAAATAATTAAGTTAAACATCTAGACAACATACACAGGTGCCAAGTAAAAATGAAGATATCGTTGTTAACTTACAGTTTCTCCAATAAGAGCAGATAAATTTGGGGCTACATTGGCCATTCGACCTTGCAAATAACCCATCAACTGACGCCGATATTGAACAAGATTAATAACTTTTGATGAAAAGCTAGAAATATTTATTAAATCTATTTCGGCAATATCCATCCCCATTGAAGTTTTCGCCGCACTTATGATTTGACTGCAGGAATCCTCATTATCGACGATATTTTTCAGCTCTGGATATATAGTCGTCTCGTCTATTTGCTTTCTATCACCAATCAATTGAACAACACAGGCGTAAAGATAATTATCATTAACAATCTTCAATAATTCTGGAAAATGATAAGAGTACCACTCTCGCAGTCTCATTGCAAATGTGTTTATGTCTTTATCCAATTGATCTAATAAACTTATGCTTTGAATTATCATGTTATCAGCTCTATTAACATTGAATTTAACTTTACTTCTGGAAAAGGATCTAGCCAGACCGGCTTCAGCGGGATCGATTGTGGTTTTGGCTGTTAAGTCGAGTAACTTATCAGCATGGAACCTAATTCCTCGAAGAAGCTCAGGAACAACACCAGTGTGTTGACAAACAATGCGAGGGAATTTCTCTTGAATAGCTGTACCAATTTTAGGATCAGCAACACCAAGAGCCATCTTTGCTTTACCATGTTTCTCCAAGAATGTGATTAAATCTTCAGATAAGTTACCCTCAGATAAAGTCAGCATGTTCTCCAAAGAGGTAGCACCAGTTTTAAATGGAGTGAATGCAATTAATTTGACTAATTTCTTGAAATTAGAGAAATTTAATGAAGCTTTCTCAACTTTAGGGATACTTTGAGCTATCTCTTCATATTCATCTACTCTGAATAGACTGTAACCCACAGCATGTTCAAATAAAACATGCAACTGCGAAGAAGCCTGAAAAGTAAAAAGAGTCAATTTGATTAACAGGAAAGGGACAGAATTGAATTAGCCAAAATTACTTACCATAATTTGATACAAAATAATAACTATAATCAAATAAAAACAAAATCGGCGTAATTAATAAACAACAACACCAGCAACGAAAAAAATGTGTTAACCACGTTTTTATTAAGCAGTTTCTTCAGAAAGGAACTCATGTTTTCACACATGCCCACCACAGTGTACTTCTGCGGCCCACCCTTTTTGGTTTCAAAAAAGGCAGTCAGGGTACAAGACCCATTGGGGAGATGTTATTGAGTTTTTTGTTTACATTATTTCAGATTTATACATTAGTAAAAAATCTTTTTATGTTTTGGGGTTAGGGTTATTTGTCTGTTACATTTGTTAGCAAGTATTCATTAAGTATTTTCTGTTACAAATAGTAAAAAATTATTGTGAATTATAGTTAAGTTATTAGATTATGTCTGTTTAAACGTCTTTGTCTTCGTGCAACGATGATTCTTGAGTTGGGAATTTGTTGTTCGCACATTTCCAGCTTGTTGTCCAATATTTCCTCTAGTTTCCTTAGGTTTAATGTAATCTTGGCATCAATGCTTCTTGTTCCTTCGAAGCTCCATCCTTGTACCTCTGATCTTATCTCTTCCGTTGATTTACAGTCATTCAAGTAATGGTGAATTGTGTGACTTTTGCCTTTGTAGAAGTTCACGTATCTTACTTTTAAGTTGATACGAGAGATTAACAATAAGGCTTGTTCTGCATACATGTCCCCAATCATTCCAAAATTTATAACATTTAATCTGTAACTAAAGAAGTTACATATCGATCCATCATCTTTTAGAAAATTGTCTTCAAAGAAATCATCGAGTTTTGATTGAGCTTTTCTCAGAAAATTATTCCATGTGATTATCTTGTTTTTGACAACCTTAATGATACCTTTAGGTCTATCTAAGTTTTTACTTTTCTCTCCTTCCATCCATACGAATTTTTGAGTGTTCATATTGCACAAAGATGCAACATAACTAGCAGAATATGATCTTTGATGCTCAACTAGGAATTTAGGTAAGATGTACGTTACCGCTTGATTCTTTGTCTTCTGTACCATTAAGAAGATCGCCAAGAAATGGTTCTCTCGATCACCAGTTGTTTCCTCGATTCTAAAGAATGATATCTCTTGATTTGTAATAACTTGGACAATTTCACCTTTAAGTTTGTAGCCTACTTGAGGCAGTTTTGGTATGAATAATTTAGGTGGGATTCTTTTGTTGTAAAAAACCTCCATGTTGGGCTTTTTTATGAACATTGGTAATGGTTGAAAATACTGAGTAAAAGGCCATTTACTTAGATCCCTTGATGTTCTTAACACAGCTACGAGGACATTTTTAACCCAATGTTTCAGAGGGTTTTCAATACCCAGTACAGCAATTGGTGTCCATGATGAGACATTTGTCGGAATATGAGATCTTCTTTTCAGAAATATGTTAACTCTATGAATAATCTTAGAGAACAATGTCTCATATTCTTTGTTTTGATAGAGCACTTGTGGTGATATCGAGTATAATAGCGAAGTTGCATAGGCGTTAAAGATGTATTTTTTAACTATCAGTGGCAGATATTGAAGTGTAGCTTGATTTCTCGTGAGCACCATTCCAGTGGATTCAATTTGCATATCAATATTAAGTATTGACGCAGACAAATTGAAATTCATTCCAACTATTTTGGCATAGTTTTTGTTTTTACCATCGATGATGCGAGTTTTGTCTTTGTTGAAAGTTAGATTTGCTTTTTTGAGCTCCATTTGAAGTATCTCAATTGTCTCTCTTTGCTTTTGACTGTTGGTGTATACAAATAAATCATCCGCGAAGGCCATTATGTCTATGTTTTTCATTTTTACCAGTCGTATTACCTTATTCAAGGCGATGATAAATAAAAGCGGACCGACACTCGATCCCTGTGGAACTCCATAGGGATCAGGCTTGTATCTGAATTTTTTATCCACTTTGGTTCGCAGCCATCTACCATGAATAAATTGTCTTATCATAGAGATGTCAGTTGTTTCCATCACCTTGGAGAGTTCTTCAAATGCATAGTCCATGTTCACTGTATCAAAAGCCTTTGATACATCAGCAATAACAAGCTGTTTCGATTCACTCCATTTTTCAGCCAGTAAAACATGTAGATCCAATACTCCCAGTCCAGGTTGATACGCAAACTGAGTATTCTTTATCAGAATACGGCTCAAAACTTGTTTAATTCTGCTTGATAATATTTTATCATAGATTCTCAGCATGTAATTAGAGATTCTAATTACTCTGAATGTACCATTAGGCTTTGGAATGAAGTGGGCTCCAAAGATTTTAATGCTTTGAGGAATATAACCTTTTTCAAAGGTTGTTTGAATCAGTTTGATGAGTTCAGTCTTGTTCTTTTCCCAGAATTTTGTCCAAGTCTTTGTGGTAAAGTTATCTGCATACCCAGATTGTCTCTTGAAGATCATGCTTTCAATCCTCTCCACCTCCTTCTCCGTTAGATAGTTTTTTTCAGAACCAGATGTATATGTTAGATGAGGATAGTTGTATATAAAACCCCATAATTCTCTCTGTCTGCAATCATCATCTGATAGTATTGCTGACAGAGTGTTATTAGGTTTTAGTATCTTGTTAATCAGTGGCCATACAAGTTCAGGTTTGTTCAAATTCTTTATGATGTAAAGTAATGAATTTTTTCTGGTTTTTTCTCGCTCTATCAGTTCTTGCTGTTTCAAGTCCCTAACCATCTCATTTATTTCTTCTGAAAAGTCAGTTTTATTTTGTCTTTTTAGGATTTTTATTCTTTTTCTCATTTTCCTAATTTTATGATTATGTTTTTTGTATCTAATTAAGACTCTTTTATCATTATCAAAATTTGTGTGTATGATTCTTCGAAAGGTCTGATCTATTTCATAGGCATTTGACATGTCAATTTTCATTGATAGGTCATAGTCTTTTAATGGTGTAAAATAAGTTTTATATTTCTGGAATCTTAGCTTTTCTGAAAAAACTACGCTTAAATAGAAACTAACCTTAGCCATTTTATGATCTGTAACTACTTCTTTAGTAAGCTCAAAATCTCTAGCGTCAACATTTCCTACAATCAGGTCTAACCATGATACTAACTCACCACGTTTGAAGGTAAAATTTTCCAGATTTGGAGGTGGATTGTAGATTGTTAGCGAGTTTCTCCACAAGAATTCATTCATGGCATTTGCAGTTTTCTTTGCTGGTGTAGTGTACTTTATTGACCATAACGGATGTTCCACGTTGAAGTCACCAGCTATGATGATTGGAAATTTGAGGTATGGTTCGATGAAGGAGATGAAGGTTAGCATTTGATGATGTAGATCTGATGGGTTAATGTACGCTGAGCAGATTAGCATCGCTTCTTTCTCATTACCAATTAACGCTACTGTCATGTTCGGTATTGACTTGTCGTATCCATAGATTCTTAAATTGTTTGCCACGATAACAGCCGTTTGATCATTCACTATTATATTTTGTAGAGAAGCTTGTTGAAAAAGTGTTCGTCTATTACTCTCTACCATCGACCCCACTGAGTTTCTTGTCTTGGTTATGATGTTGATAAAGTCTTTAGTTTCTCTGAATCGTTTATTAGCGTTGAAGTGGTAAAGTTGCATATTCCAAGGGGAAGGTTGGTGATAGTGATAACCAGTCTGACTTGATGTCATGATTAGCAGCAACTTGTCTGATTTTTCTTTGTAGCAAAGGACACTTAGATGATAGTGTAGAATGGTTAACTTGATTGGGAAAGCAACTTGCACAAGTGAATTCCCTTTCAGATCTTGGTGTTTGACAAATTTGGGAGTCGTGTAGAAGACAACACAATCTACACTTGGTATGACGATCACAAGTGGTATAATAATGATCAAAACACCAGCAATTTTCACAAACAATAATACTTATATGGTCGTAGCACTTCGAGGTAAATTGCATAAAATTTAACCAACAATCGTTGTCAAGTAATTTCTCACGATTTTGATGACTTATTTGCAGTACAATCGTGGTATGAGTTTGTTGATGAGTTAGAATACGTTGAACTTCAGTAATATCGTCGTCAATCCACTGATTTGCAGCTTTAATCATACAAGTTATATTTTCTTTAGATGGATTCGAGAGGATGGTTTCAATGCTGAATTTTACTTGAGCTGGTAGTAGACGACGGACCGAAGTTTGCCACTTAGGAAAGACTCTAGATATTGTTTCAGAGTATTCTTCTATGAAAGATTCACCATTAAAAAATAGAACTACTGTTGAACCAATTTTTTTAATGTTTCTTATTTTGATATGTGGCTGTCCAACTCGATTTAACACAGAGAACAATAGTCGTTTCACAGTTGAAGTATTTTCAATCGGATTGTTTTGATTGTCAATCAATTGAATAGACAAACCAAAGTTTCTTTTGAGGGCTTTAATTGGAAACCAACCAAGTCTTCTTGCTTGTAGTTCACGGTAAGTTTTAAGTTGAATTGTCGATATACTTGCAGGCATAAACATATCTATTTTAGATCGTTGAAGTTTCACTTTCTGAAGTAATTTTAACACTGAGATGAGAAGTTCAGGTCAAAAGGTTTTTCACTGTCCAGTCAGGCGGTTATTGCCGGAGGATTCAGTCGGTCAGTTGAACACATCTGTTGCTAATTGAGTTCAGTTTATTTTATAGATTATTAGCTTAGTGAATTAACACATAAGGATATTTTTGAATTAAGTTCTAGGCTTATTTGGAAGGCTTTAGGAGTTAGAATCAGATTACTGGAAATGTTAATTGAATTTTATTACTCTGAGCTTTAAAGTTTGAGGAAAGTGTTACTTTGTTTTAAGTGATTTCGGATAGTTTGAGGGTTTAAAGAGTAAGTATTGTGAGAAAGTTTTACTTTCGGGTATTAGTGTTAATTAAGTTAAAGTTAAGTTATGAGAAAAATATGGTTGATGAGAAAAAATCTAGGTAATTGGATCAATTCATAATTAGAGAGTAGTTGAAATTTGTTTTTTCAAGTTCGTGTTGAAGTTTGATGCGATAAACTGGACAGCTTTTATCCCATACATTCTGACCCTTTTTCATACAATTATGGCAAAATTGTTTTTCAGGCTTTGTCTTAGCTTCACATTCTCCAAAATGATTAA